ATGCATGAAATTTTGATAGAATTTCAAAGCTACCGCCCAGATGGCGCTCTTAACAATTGATGAAATACTCATGTTGATGAATTAAACAAGGGTTTGTATACTAAAAAAGCCCGTGAAATTTTTTGCTGTCAAAGGCGATGGTACTTGCTTTATTTAGAAATTTTCCACCTTTACAAACATGTCCAGGTAGATGACCTCTTCAGCTGTCAATCAATATACGCCTATCCACACAAACTACCTCATAGTTTGTCATAAGACGTTAAAGTTTAACTCTTAGTCATGAATGCGCTAATATATGTAAGAATTTTAGTTATTCGATGCGAAAAGTCTTGTTTGGACGCGTTTTAACGACGTTTTTTATTCCGTAAACCGACACCTCTACCTGACTATTGGACTCGTCCAATCACCTATAGTAGCCACTCCCCTTGTTTGTATTAGCGTTCTTTGACGTTTTTTTTGGCTAAGTATATTCCTTAGTCTTATATTATCAAGAAACTAAAAGAATATCACAAAAAGCGATGTTTATAAGTGCATTTATCGTTCATTGTGTAGGAGATTGTGGCGCCATCTTTAAATGACACAATCCCATCATGCCTCTCAGGTTGCGCATGCGTACCTTCACAAATGCAAATGGCGGCACTTGTTATTGTCCCGTATAAACGTTGATAGTGCAACTTTATTTGCCGATTTTTCGATAGCAGGTATGTTCGGATTAAAACCTTTGGATTAAACGCTAACAAGAAGGTTTTATGCACCTAATAAAACCATTTTGGATTTTCGTAATACTGTAAAAACTGTGCTTTCAAGCCGTTTTTTCCGACGCCTATTTGGCCTAAGCATCACATCGAACGTCGGGTAACATCACATCTTTTAGTAAACATAAAATATATGCTATATAAACTACTTTTATTAAATTAATTTTTATCAAATCGTTAAGTATAAAGAATTCTTTGTATTTTCCGCGCACAAAACGCAGAGAATTATGAATATGTACGGAAATATAGCGATAGTAAATAGTTGGTTTGTTGCCAAGATGGCGGGCAAGCTCCCATGGCTTCCTTGCAAACTTTAGATTTTGAGGTGATCTCTGCATTAAACATCAATAATTTATTGTTAAAAATATAATTAACTATTTAATATGATAAAAATTTAGAAATTTGGCGCTAAGATCAAATTTATTTTGCCGCAAAATGTCGGATCACGTGTTTTAGAATTTAGTACATTTAGGCGGTTCAAAAAGTCGGCGTTTTAATCCCATAAAAAAGTAAATCTTTTCTTTTAATTAATTGTCTAACTTACTTTTGAACCTTCAATATGAGTTACATTTAAGCCTTAAATACTAGCAGAAAATTTTGTGATGTCTTTGAAATTTCCAACTTTAATAAAATAATTAAAGCATTTTGGAATCATTTGAGAAATTCTGTGAAATTTAGCTAATTTATGTCTTTCTATTATCAAATGTTTTAGAGAAGATATGTAGTATATAGTCTAGAAGAAAGAAGGCGAGCAAATCTTTCTTTTAAATATCCATGTCAATAACTTTTTTCAGTAATTCTACTTGAATTTTATGGCCTAGAAACTTGTTTTTAAATAGGAAAAATTGAATTTATAAGACTGTACTTATGCAATTAACTGCTAAAGAAAAAACTAGAAAATTCGATGACTCAAAATTTATTCGTTAGCACATTTCGTGGCAGCAATTTAGCTTGAATTAGAGAAAATCAAATTCAAAATATTGCTTAATTATAAATGATATATTACGTTTTGAACCGAATACTTTTTCAGTAACGAAATGTTCTTTTTTAAAAAACTAAAAAATGAAAGAACTTTGATTACAATATACTATTGTGCACGTTTATTACGAAGCTTTAAGCGTATAATTAACTTTGAGTTAGGCTAATCAGTTGCTATTGATTTTTGCATACTTTGTAATTTTTCGTGTCTGATGGGGCAAGAATATAAAAACTTTTATTTTAGTTTTTTTAGGGAGGGTGTATTTATTCGTGGCAGATGAAATAGATTTACTCAAAGACGAATCCAAAGCCAGAATTTTCTAGGGATATCTTATCGCAATTGTTCCCATTTAAGATTATGGATTATTTTGTGTAAATAATGATTAAGGATATGTCTTTCACTAAATATTTCAGCAATTACTAAAACTTTAATTAAGCTTTCGAATATGACTAGAGTAATGTATAGAATGAAAAGCATAACAAAGAAATATTAATAAGTAGGAGATTATTTCTTGATTGAAAAACAACAATTCGATTTTAGCATTCATTCTAATCGTTAATATATATTACAAACTACTCTATATGCTATCGTTATCTTGATTAATTGTAATAAAATGTCTGACTGAGCTTTAAGGGTCTTTAAACATGTTACACTCTGATGTTATTTATAAAGATATTCCCAAAAATGAATCCCCGACTTTGGTTTTTTGAGTTGTTTGTGATATTTTACTGCGAATAATCCAATCAGCATTGTTCTAAAATTATACTATAATATAATAAATAGCAATACTTAATTAAGTTAAAATTTTTAGGAAAGGCATATGAAGACATAACCTCGAAAGCCATCATATTGAATGGCGGCAAGATGCCGGCCGAATACACCGAAACAATATTGACGTGTGAAGGCGACTACGACGATCCTCAAATACAGAATAGGGTGCACGAAGTCCGCCGAAAACTCGAATCTCTCCTTCTACCCACCCGACATTCTTCTTCGGCAGCCAGCAGGCACCGCTTACACGTCAAGAAGGTGGAACCTTGGAATTCGGTACGCGTAACGCTGAGCGTTCCTCGCGAAGCTGCGAGGCGTTTAGCCCAGCTCGCTCAAACGAACGGTCAAGTTCTGAGGGATTTGGGAGTATTAAGTGTAAATGTTCATGACGGTGATCGCGTTCTATCATTGACGCTCGCCCCGGAACCAGGTGGTTCGGAAAATCGAGTCGTTGAGATTCGAACTCAATCGTCCACCTCAGAGAGCCAAGCTCAGCCTGCTGAAGGTTCTCTATCACAGTTCTGCTCAGTGCCATCTCGTACGCCGCCGAATAGCGCAAATAGCGCCCTCCTTGTTAACTTACTGCAAACTGTCGCGAAGACTAGTGAACATCAGCTACCGCAATGTTCTTCAAGTAAAGATCATCAGTTGGTGTCTGGTGCTGTTGGTGTTTCCCATGCCGAATTACGGAATACAATAGCACAAGGTCATGCAGGCATTCCACCCGAATTACGGAATGCAATGTCCCAATGTACTTCTACACAAAGTAATATGAATACAATGAAAGAACATCATCCAACGCTTTCGCATGGTAACAGTTCTGTTCCTCTTGAACTCCGGAATGCAACTGCAAAAGACCATCCGCTTGTACAAAGCCATGCAAGTAGTATTCCCCCAGATCTTAGGAATACGCCCCCAGAGCAGCATATGGGGCTAAGTCCTACTGGTGTTCCTCCTGAATTGCGGAATACAATAACACAACTCGCTTCTAATTCCTCTTCTAAAGAACGCCACGTTACTGTTCCGTTTTCTCAAGCTCATCACCCTGAATACTGCAATCGAGTTCGACCCGATTTAACTAACATGATGAAAGAACATCATCATAGTGGTATTCCACCTGATTTGCGGAACGCTACAAAAGAGCATCCACTTGCTCAAGTAAATGCTAATATTCCTTCTGAACACAGGAATGCTACAAAAGAGCATCAACAAAGTAGTATCTCTCCTGAAATGAGAAATGCTGCGAAAGAACATACATTGCCTCAATGCACTTCCGGTATTCGACTGCAGACTCCGCAGGAACATCAGCAACATGTACCTCAGAATTCTATGTATACGGTACATCACCATTCAAATGTGCCTCCTCCTCCACCACTCCATCACCCGCCGATGTTTTCCGGCAGGTCAGTTACAGTACCGCAAACAACTGCAAACAACCACCATCAACAACAACCGCCCACTAAACGAAGGAAGACTTTGGAAGAATCACCAACTTCCATGGCAAATGTCTTACCGACTCCCCCGTATTCAGCAAGTCCGAAAGAGGCTCCATCGGACAGTGGGGCACAATCGCCCGGAGGAACGCCCTCTCCTAAAGTTAACGGGCCAAGTAAATCAAGTCCGAGTCCCGTTGAAAACGGACCTTCCAAGATTGATGCTATTGCATGTCGTTTACAGCGACAGCAGCAGCCAGAAGTAATGACAGTTGGGTGTGTTTTAGCTTCTAATCAGCCATCTTCAAAGTCTGGAGTTATTGGCCAACCGAAGGTAAAAGTGAATTTGAAGGACGTTTTGAGAGCTCAGGGACCTAATCATAAATCGCCTACGCCCGATAAACTGTGCGTGAATATTTCCAAACTGCTGCAATGCAACGGTGCTAATAATCATTGTAAGTAATTTTTTGTTTCTATTCTTCCTAGGATTTTTTTTAGTAGAGAGGTATTAAAAAAGTTGTGCGTTCCCAAATATTAAAAAACTCTTGAATGACGTATGTTCCATACTACGTTATTTTTTTTTTCTCTTTAATAGTACAGTAGTTTTTAACGAAAAAAAAATAATCGATAAAAAAAAAGTAAAAGGGTTTAAAGTAAAAAAAAGATAATATACCTTTTAATTCTTTCTTTTATTCTATGAAATTTTAAAGGATTGAACAAAAATTGATGTCTATATTTACAAGTAACATTAATACTGAAAACTAAGGTTTCAATACTCGAATTTCGTACGTATATTTATAAATTTCATCTGCAAAATCTGTTATGCTGTTTAGATACAATTGAACATGAAAGTTTAATATTTGGCTAAAAAGTTTAAAGAAAGCCTGGTACAATATTTTTTTATAGGGCATTCAACAATCATTAGTTGAGGTATTATTATATAATAAATTCAAAATTGGAATATACATATATACATAACTCTCATAGTCTGGTATCACTTCTTTAGTTTTTTAAATATGCTAAAGTAGAAAATAAGATATTCTTTCTTTGATATAAAAGTTAATTTCATGCAGTTAAAAATTATTTTATGAAAGATATGTATTTTAAAAAATCAATAGCTCAAGGTTAAATGTTTTCCATAAGATGACCTTGTCGTGTCTAGAATGTCATTGTGTACTCTTGAATATAATTTCACAAACAGGAAAAAATTAGAATCAACAATTTATCTCCAACGCTAAGACTCTGTTTTAGGGAGAAAAAAATCGTTTGTTATATGTGCATATAATAAACAAGACAGGAATATGTTTAATAAGTAAACACTTGAAAAAATTGAATGGATTCATAGTTATTTTCATTGAAGCTTTGCTTTTTTTTCGTATTTAATAAATAATTTTTTCATGTATATTTCTACTAAAATGAAGGTTTAAAACTTCAAGGAAACGTTGAAATTTTTAGGCGTATTATAATAAAATTATATATATACATAAATACAGTATATATATCCTGTATATGTCTCTCTCCCTCGCACGCTCATACCTGCCTGTCTCTATCTCTCTCCTACTCTCCCTTTTTCTTTCTTTCTCCATTTATCTTTCCACTCCTCTCCGTATCCCCCCCTCCCTCTCTCTCTCTCTATATATATATATATATATATATATATATGTTTTATATAAAAACGTAAGTGTGAATAAGAGAATAGGATTTTATTTACGTCGAAATTCAGATATTAAGACATTTGTTGAATTTTATTTTGCTTATTTAAAGTTAATGTAAAACAAGGGAATCTATTTTAGATACTATTATCAAAGTTTTTTTTTAAATGTTCGCATTAGTTCCGTAATATTTACTCTGGAAAGTTCAAAATTCTAAAAGGGGTGGAGGCTTTTGTGGGTCCTAATTTCCGAATATATTTTTGACAATATCCCACTTATATGATGTGTCATGTATATACGGGTGTCCGATGATGATTAGTAGGAATTTTTAAAAGCAAAAATGGACGTAAAAAGCGGAAATGATTATATTGTGAGTAAGGCGGCTAGAGCGTTAACAGTTCTTGGCTCGAGGCCAAGCTGGAATCGTGCCAGTATTTCTACGACTTTGATGCAGATGGCGCTGAATCCAACATGTGTTTAAGAGAAATTTCTTATCAGAGATACTTGAATTAAAATTAAATGTATTTCCTCCCCTTATTTGAAATAAAGACTATATAAGAATAATATTCTTGAAATGCCAACTGCTTCTACTTGTATTTAAAAAAAAGTAAAAAAATCGAACTTGATATTATCGATTTTTTGAATAAATTGTGTGGTTGCTAGAAAACAAGGAATTCAAGTTAGGATTCATATTTGTCGAAAATCGACTGTAGAATGTTATGTTCTAATGCATATATAAAAGCAGGCTGTTAATCGTCTGTAAGTCCTTCTTGAAGAAAAATGTTATACGAGTCTTTCGATGTTGTAAAGAGAGAGAGAGAGAGAGAGAGAGAAATACACACTATATTTGGTAAACAGAGTTATCAAAAAAAGTAGTTGTAAAATATCAAGGTTAAATTTTTTAGCAGATAACGATTATCTAACAGAAAATTAGGAAGAAATTTATTCTGCATATTATATAGATAAAATGACAAAATTGTAAGCGCATGTTCTTTAAGTCCAGCCAAAAAATGATTGATAAGAATGATTACTATTTAAAGGACTGAAATTAATATATAATATCTTATAGAAATATCTTTCTATACCAGACTGAATTTTAAAAAAGCATCATATACAATTTTTATTTGGTGGCTAACTAACAAACAAAGAATTTGCTATACTAAATAGAATTTGGAACAAACTATCGTCTATTATGAGAAAAAAAAACATGTAAAAGTTTATTGCATAATTTATCAGGCTACATAATTCTTTTAACTACGCACTTCCTTAGTTATATTTATGCCCTCTCTTCTTCTCTTTCATCTTTATTTAAATTGTTCCTTATCTATAAAAAATAAATAAGCAAGCAAACATATTGTTAAAGTTGTAACAGTAAATTAATTTTTATTTTCTTTTTGTTCATAGTATCGCAAAACAATTCCTCTGTGGAAAACGAAAAGGAGGAGACGTCGTCTAGCGATGCCTCAACACCGCCGAATCCGTCACCGACTCACGATCACAACTACATGACGTCACTTAACGGCGTCGAAAAAAAACCAGCTCAAAAACGCTCTTCGGTGGCGCAATTGTTAGAAGAACGTGAAAAACGGCGGCAGGAGACTCCAACAGCATCAACAAATATGATGGCGGCAAATTTCACCCTCAACTTGACTGAATCAGTTCAGAAGGTTATGACGGCGCTAGAAGATGAAGAACTTGTAAATGGCGATTTATCGCCCGCGTCCAAAAAAAGGCCGAGGGAAGAAGGCAAAAATGAAGGAGGCGGTGGAACAGGGAGAGGAAAACGGAGATCCGAGTCGCCGCCTAGCGCCGATTAGATCTGATTGCTTTTTTTAAATGTAGCCTTTGATGTACTAGATTGGCTAACGCATTATTTTAAAATAGGTTTTGACCGTACAGACTTTTTAAAAAACTTAATCAATTGAACAATAAGTCTTATATTTTCCTAAGTTTCTTTCCCTAGGGTTAAATGAGAGGGGCTGTTCGTCTCCTCAACAAGTACTTGTCTGCTATAATAAATATACAGTTTATTTGAAAATTTTTATCAGTTTTAAGGAAATAATGAAGGTACGTGTTACTTTTATAAGTCAAAAAAAATATCAGTGTTTTTTACTAAGTTAACAATTAGCAGACAATAATCAAACCAAAAAAACATACTTAAGAATGTGAACTAATAACATAAGATGATAATGTTATGCTTTAATTTATTTTTCGTCTTTACTTGTTAATTACTTCGAACTAGTATAATTCAACCCTTGTTATGTTTACTTTCCACGGAAATATCTGTTTAAGAATTTTGATAAAAAAAAGAACGAAAACCTTTTATTGGCCAATCTTGGATATCTCTTTTTGTACATAATGATCGGTGTATAGGTTTGTTTTTTTTCTGGGCTACAAACAAAATGTGCAATGCGAACGAAATTGTACAGTGTTTGGAAAACTGGAAAGCAATTATGTGTACAGCAAATTGTTTAAGTTCTTCCAATTTTGTTTTGAAAATACGAAATGGTTTTTGTTTCTTTTTGTAGACAAACAATTTGTTATCTGTCATGCATGTATAAAAATGTTATTAAATACGATAGGCATTTTGTATATTTTTGTATGAAAATTTTATTATTGTACTCTTTTTCATGGTGCACTCTCGAATAATTAATAAATTTACCAATTCTGTCTCAAAATGCCCGTCGCTGTCTTTACCAAAACAAACAAACGAATAATATACAAAGTAGCGAACGTGTGTCTCCGTTATATGTACACATCTTTCATCGTCTTCAGTTTTAATTCATCCTGAAATAAAGTCATGCTATCAGTTAAATCGTAATATGTTATTTGAAAATTTTAAAGACCACAAGGCATAGATCAAGGTCTGTTTCTAAATCTAACTCTTTGCTCTACATAGTATACGCATAAGTGTATAAATAAATAAATATGCAGGCTTTGTATCATCGATGTATCGACAGAGTTAAACCTCAAACATTCATCTACAGCCATCTGGTGCTTGATTTTGAAAACTAATACTCACTTTAAAAATGCCGGATGCATAAGTCCCGCTTGCGCTGCTGTTTGTTTACTTGTTGACGGCATCAGCAAAACCATTGCTCTATGTGTATGAGGAAATAGTTGTGTATAATTCGGCAGTGGGACATAAGCGGCGGTAACCATTCTTCCTCCAAACCAACGGCCGTGTAGAGCATTCACACTAGCAACAGCGCTTGCTATTGAAGGACATTTCACGTAAACATTTCCTTGTGGACTAGCTTTATCAACATAGACGTGAACACATCCGCCATGCTTGTTACACTCAGTAATGACATCATCTTTTATTTCTGTTTCCCAGTCTCCACTTTTATCAGAATTAGTATCAAACATGTTTGATAACATAAAACATTGTGTCGCTATCGGCGGGGTTGTGACAGCCTGCTGTAGGGCTTGTTGATGTTGTTCCTGCGGACGTAAAATACGCTGATGAATTAGAGCATTCCAGATTTCTAGAAACTTACTCTCATATTCTGATTTACCTGAACACTAAGCGCTGAGGCAGCAGGCTTTGGTAATTGAAAACCTGTTCCCTCAGCTAGTTTGGCCATAAGCTGAAGTCTACCAGTTGCCCCTAAATCTATACCTGCCCTATCCATTTCATCTGTATCAATCATGCTACCAATACCATCCATTTTTTCAGTTACATGATTTACTTTCATAGGTCGCCCAGCAATTTCAAAGCCGTTCAGCTGCTCCATTGCCTTTTTAGCATCTTCACTTCTAATAAATGTAACGAAACCGAACCCTTTTGATCGACTTGTTTCTGGATCCAATACTAGGTTTATGTGTTCAATCTAAATTGAAAAAAAAACAAAACAAATTTAGAAAAGGTTTTACATAATTTTTACATAGTCACTAATATTTTACTCGACGAAATACTAATTATCAACTTGTATCCAATTACCAATGGTATGGCTAATGCTCAATTAAAACAAATGAACTATGAAGTTTCTTCAATAGCTGATATAAAGATTTTGAATATGAAGATGTACGGAAGAGGATATAAACTAAGACACTTACTTTGCCAAAGGGTTCAAAAATTCCTCTTAGCATATCTTCTGTTATATTGAAATGCAAAGATCCAACATACAGTCTCATTGGGCCCTGTGACGCTCGTGCAGTTTCTGCCTCAATTTGTGCAGCTTGTTGAGCAGCTCTATTTTTCTCAGCTTGAGAGACTTGAACAATTATTGGAACACCAAGTAGCTTTTGACCATTCAAACCTAAGGCTAAATTCACAGAACTGGTTTCCTCAAATTCGACGTAAGCGATACCTTTTGATCTGTAAAAATGATTAATTGTGCTTTATTGTGCTTTTGTTTTAGAAAAATTTTATGATAAAGTATACCGTCCGGTCCTGCCATCAGCAATTAGGCGAACATCGTAAACTCTCCCAACAGAGCTGAAAAATTCTTCTAAGTCTCTTGGGCGAATTCTCTGAGAGAGTTGCATACAAAATACAGTTCTAGCATCACGTTCTTCTGGGGAATATTCATAATTTCTGGGTCTCTCACGAGGTGGCGATCTACGACGGGGTGACCTTCTCTTCTCTCGACTCCTTGAACGTCTTCGTCTGTCTCTATCCTTTTCTCGTTCTCTTTCTCTGCCTTTTTCTCGATGTCGGTCTTTACTTCTAGACCTTCTCTTACGATCTTTGCTTCGACTTCTGCTTTTTCTGTTTAATTAGAGAGAACTCTTTTAAAATAGAAAAAAAAAAAAACATTATGCAAACCTCTTAGTTCGGTCCCTGTCTCTTTCTCGTTCACGATCTCTGTCCCTGTCGCGATCTCTGCTAGAAGCTCTATGCCCATTCGATTCCTGCATTTCGTATTAAACGGTTCACGTAGATCAGCAACACATGCCGAAAGTTTCGGGCGTGGCCGCCAAATTGAACAACACATTTTAGTAAAGATAGTAAACAAAGATTTGTTTACATATATAAAATAAATAATAAAGAAATCTATTAAAAAAGGCGCAAAATGGCGGCAGGCCCCGGATTGATCATTACCTCATCACGATCGTTTTACATTCATCCTCTTCTTGACTACTGTATAGATTAGTATTACCATATAATTGCAATCTTTTTGTTTAATTATTTAAATACAAGTTTTTTCTTTTTATATTATATAAAATTTACGCACAAAATGTTGGTACCTTTCGCCTGCTGCCCACAATATGGTCTTTGTAAACGATCTGAGGGCGACAATATTCAGAGTAGACTCTTAGTTTGTCACACTATATTTTACATTAAAGATTATATATTAACATTTTCTTAAAATACAAGCCATAAATCTGAAATTTTCTTCATGAACTTTGAATATACATAATTATAAGTAATGACTATACTTTAAAAATTAAAAGCATAGTCATTAGAATAATGATTTAGATTTGTATAATAAAAATCCATGATACAGATTATATTCAAGCACATTTTGATATCAACGCCATTTCATTTTAACTTGCGGTTTTTGACTTAAATACTGACCTCTTTTTTGTAAGGAGCCTCAAGCATCGCTTCTACGTCGAAATCATCAGCCATTTTTTCCCTGTTAATCAAAAAATTTCAAGTTTCAAGAAAACAACTTTAGCTGTATAAAACAAGATGGCGGATGTCTGCTATAACGTAAAACGATAATCGATTTTAATCGATTACAATTATATCGCTTCAGATGTAGGAAATTCACCGTAATTAAAAGACATTCTGTGTATATTGACGAACAGATTACTATTTAAGTAGATTACCCCCAAAAAATTAGATAGCTATTGGGTGCTGCTTTGCAACCAATTGTTACTCGTTACTCTTTTTTGGATATAACTATGATTATTTATATTCCGAAGTTAAGATCATCGAAATAAACTAGCTTTATGCGGAAAAATGAACAAAATAGAAAACACGATTTTATCAATAGTTTTTTAAATAATATATAAAGTATTTTCTGACACTTGTTAATGTTTAGGTGAAGGGAATTATAAAAATTGAACATTAATTGCGATTTGACAAAGATCACATGTTATCGATTAACTTCGGGAAGGCGTGAATTTTGAATCGATTATCATTTTCTCGTTCATAATCCAGGGAAATCAATTTATCATGTCACATACTAGTCTAAGAGTACTTGCAAACGCAATACAATCTTACCTTTATTATATTTTTGAATTTCTCAATTAAAAATTACGACTAAAGGAATGTTGCAGCAGTCGGAGTCAGGATATCACCGTAAATCAAACGTCTGGCGAACAAAAATGGCTTCCGATCAGTTATTTTCGTAAATAAAAAGGAAATGTAATTTACATATTTAAGCAACATATCGAAATAAGATGTATTAAAACATAATAAATGAAAAAGAGAGGGAAAATGAGGATGGATATTTTTTTATTAATTAATAGGAGTGATATTTGAAATAGACGAATCAACAACGTTCACTATTCAATGTAGATATTCAAGAACTGTGTTTTTTATTATCTATTTATAAAGTTATAAGCATTCATAGAAAGATCTGTTAAACTCGAAATGAAATAGTATTTTAACTATATTTTATTTTACAACATTTTTCATTTACATCAGTGATAAATAGAGCAAATTATTCAATAAATGAAACAAAGAATAAAACAATTGACTTTACATAGTATGAGAAAAAAAATGTTTTCTGAACTTTGAACTGCTAACTGGCCAATTAATAGTTTATTCAAGTCGCTTAAGAAAAACAAGTAGTATTTTATATAAATAGTAAAAAAAATGAAAAGATTCAATTTGTAATAGAAAATTTTACTGTTTTATCAGTAGAACACTCTTTTAGAACAGTTTGATAGAAAAAGAATCCCTGTATAATCTCTATAGAACTTCTTTTTATACAGTATATAATAAATATATGCATGTATATATATATATACATATATTTAATTATTTCTATATACCTTCTTTTCTTTCACCATAATAACAATTGAAGAAAATTTATTTCGACTCAACAGACTAAAAGACGTACAAAAATGATTCACTAAAAAAAAGGCAAACTGTATAAAAAAAAGGAAAAAAAACGAACTAACTCTAAAATTAGTTCACAAATAAGTCTCATTCTCTTGTTAGTTAAGTATTCTATTTGGCTGAGCAGTTGACTAAATGACTCTGTAGAGAGCTGTCTCTTTTGAAAGAATCACCGCAATGTGAACACGTATAAGGGGAAGAATGCTTGATTGAGTGTTTTGATTTTTGATGCCTTTCCAAAGGCGCTTTTAGTTTGAAAGATGCATCACAGTATTGACAAGAAAAAGGCTTGTAAGAAGAATGAACCGTTCTTACATGCCTTATCATATTACCTCTCTGCTTAAAAGATGCTTTACAGAATTCACAAGCATAAGGTTTGGTAGTCGAATGAATAGTTAATTTATGCTTGTTGAGTGTTCCCGGTTCACTGAAAGAGGCGTTACAAAATTCACAACTAAATGTTAACTTGCCAGATGAATGTTCGATTTTTTTGTGCAGGTTTAAGCTGGTACGATACTTAAAGCACGTCTTACATATTCCACACGAGAATGATTTTTTTGACCCCTTCTTAATGCCCCTTTTACTTAAATGGGAGTGCATTGAAACAGTTGTAAGTCTTTCCTTTTCCCACTGATTAGTGTTCATATCGTTCTAAAAGAGAGAAAAATATAGTCAGAGTCTATAAATGACGAGATAAAGGAATAATCTTTCAAATTACCTGCTGAAGCGGGAAGGAAGTCATTGTTAATGTTGCTAAATCTAATTTGTTTTCTTCATCACTATGATTGGTCGATTCTTCTTTATCAAAAGCAACTTCTTCCGGGGATATAACGACAATTTCTAAATTTTCTTCGCTTACTTTAGTTGGCCCTGTAACCGTTTTTTCGCTTGTCGCTTCAACTTCTTCAACTTCTTTTGCTGTATTATCGCTCTCTACGAACTCATCTAGTACGTCGCAGAAATACGGTTCCGCTCTTTTTTCATCTTTCAAAATATCTTCGTTGATATGAATTAAAAAGTTTTCTCCTTCCGATAAAACCACACCAATTACGCCATTGATTGAAAATTTCTCTTCTGTATAGAACTCGTTCTTACACAATTGTCTAACTATTTCCGTCAGAGTTCTCTTGAATAGCTTCCTTTTTTCATTCATTTTAACTATGAAATTCTTCCAAAAAGTTACTCTTGTACTATTTTTCCACTCAAAACTGATGTAAATAGAACAACCGGCCTGTATTAGGTTAAACACCGTGTGTACTATTACTAACAGTATTATTAGTATTGCCGAGGTCAAAAGGTTATTGGCGCCTTTCAGCGTTTAACCAGTTTAAAAAAACTCTCTAAAGTTTTTTGTTTAAATTACATGAAAAATTTACTTTAATGCATAAATTAATTATTTTATTTATTTTTACAAATATTTTTCAATAATTTAAGAAAATAATTTTTTAGATTATTTCGTTTTTCTCACCTTTTTTTTACATAAACAAAACAGACCACTTCTATTTTGGAGCATTCTTTTATTTCGCGTATTAGTCCCAGATCATCACTCACTTTTCGTGTTTTTTTTCTCTAATTGCTTCTTCATCTTCACTTATAGTTTTCTCATCTATTCCCCTTTAAGAGATAGTTAACGCTTTATTAACTTATAACTTATACAAACTTGAAATAGTTAATAAACTAAGAGTTAATTCATTATTAATTGAACGTAAATGAAAAGGTTTATCACTATAGTACAAGTATTTAAAAGGAAATACTATACTATGACATTTTTCAGAGACAGAGTTCAGAAAAACGACTTGTCACTTTTCTTACGTTTAAATGCGATTCAGAGAAGAATTGTAGTAGGGTGAAATCTATTGTGTTAGCTTGAATTTCGAAAACTTTTTAGTCTAATTCTTGAACTTTGTACTATGGGAAGAAGAGAATATCATTGATATACTGGGTTTATTCAACAGAATACACACATTCATATATATACAGCACAAATATAAATTTTACAATGTCGTAACATTGAGAAATATGATATTGTATTCTATTAATTGTCAAGAAGTTATCCTTGTACGTTGAAAATCTCTTCTCTGAGCCTGTAAACCCAAAAATAATGAAAAATCCTTATTTAAAAGCGGGAATCGTATCAAAATACTTTTTTGAATGGATGTCGGTTTGGTACAAAACGAAGAAGAAAATAGAATTAGAAGATTTGTACGACTGTATGGAAAGTGATAAATCTCAATTTTTAGCTTCAAATTTAACAAAACTTTGGATAGAAAGACACAAGAGAATACGTAGTAATAATAATCTTCTGTGGTGTTGCCTTCTACAATTTAAACTGATGATATTAGTTTTATTCTTTTTAGTATTGCTTGAGTTTAGTACCAAGTTGGCTTCTCCTTTTTTTCTTGCCAAAGTTATTGACTATTTGGAAAATTCTTCTACCTCTAAAACTGAAGCTTATCTATTCGCTTTAGGTATTGCGCTCACTTCTTTTGTTTCTAGTAATTGTAACGCTTTTGTCTATCATAATTTGTATTGGATCTCTTCTAAACTTAGATCAGCGACTAGTTCTATGATTTATCACAAGATACTCAAGTTGAACACTAAATCATGTAGAGTATTCACTTCGGGAAGAATAAACAATATGCTATCAACAGACGTTGAAAAATTTCAATTGGGCATTATGTTCTTACCCGCCTGTTTAGCTTCACCTTTTCTCTTTTTGGCTTATGCAACTATACTCATTACTGAGGCTAAAGTAGCTGGCGTTGTTGGACTTGCATTGTCGTTACTCATTAGTGTATCTCAGTCTTCTTCTAGTGTGATTACGAGTGTTTTAAGAAAGAAGGTTGCTTTATGGACAGACAAGAGAGCGCATGCTATAAAAGAGCTTATTGCCGGTGTGAGAATTGTGAAAATGTACGCTTGGGAGAAACCTTTTAAAGACAGGATCGAGGAGTTTAGATGTAAAGAAATGAATAAGATGTTCTTCAGCAATGTCTACAAAATGATAAATTATTCGCTATATCTTCTATCTGGAAAATTAGTCGCCTTTTCAATCATTCTAACTCATGTACTTCTGGGCAATGACCTTTCTATTAATTTCGCTTTTAAAATCATTTCGTGGACGGAAACATCCAAATTCTTATTCTTTATGTATGTACCACAGCATTTTATGCATTTTCACGAGCTTAGAGTGTCTTTAAGAAGAATAAACGAATTTCTAATAAGCGATGATAGGAAGGTTAATATAGAAAATTCCAAGACTAAAACCGATTCGGAATTGGCGATAAAATTAAAGAATGGAGTGGCTTCTTGGCAAATTAACTCTACCGATAATTACCAATTCACCCTAAGAAATTTAAATGCTAATATTCAAAAGGGAAGCCTCTCAATCGTTTTAGGAGTGGTTGGTTCAGGAAAGTCGACACTGCTTTCCGTTCTCCTTAACGAAATCAATTTAATAAATGGCTCTCTGGAGATTAGCGGTAGTATTTCCTATGCTGCTCAATTGCCGTGGATTCTTAATGATACAATTAAAGAAAATATCATATTTAATAGCGAGTTTGATAAAGAAAGATACAAACGAGTGTTGGAAGTTTGTTGTCTTTATCCTGATTTAGAACAGTTCGACAAAGAAGATAATACTCTCGTTGGAGAGAGAGGAATGTCTTTGAGCGGTGGGCAGAAAGCAAGGATAAGTCTGGCTAGAAGTATTTATAAAGATTCTGATATATATCTTTTTGATGATCCTCTCAGTGCAGTTGATCCCAAAGTTCGAGATTCGTTATTCTATAATTGTATTAAAACGTTTTTAAGAGGAAAGACGGTTATTTTAGTAACTCATCATCAAGATTACGTTAAAGACGCCGATCTAGTGTTTCTACTTGACAATGGCAACTTTTCAACTGGTGACAAACAAAAAATAATAACCAATCTGGAAGACAAAGCTTCACATTTTCATAAAGACGATATAGAAAATCAACTTGACGATAAGGAAAACGAGAGAGATAATATGTGGGAAGAAGATGTCTGCTTAGGGTCGGTTTCTTGGTCAGTTTATTGGAATTTTTTAAAAAGTGGTAGTCTATGGATATTTGGATTTTATTTCCTTCTATCAACTTGCACTCAAGCTACTCATAACTTTACAGACTTTTGGATAACGAGATGGTCGGAACTGTTTGATAATAAATCAACAAATGCTTCAGTTGACGATACAAAACCAAATTCAAACTTTCATATAGCAGTTTATTGTTTGTCAAATGGAGTATCGTTAATAATGATATTTATAGCTTCTTTTCTGTTCTGTAGGGGACTTTATAGGGCTAGTAAAGACTTTCATCGTCAAATGCTCTTTCGAGTATTGAGAGCTCCAATATCGTTCTTTGATTCAACTCCTATCGGTATCATTCTTAACAGATTTACAAGAGATACCGGTTTTATGGACGATTTGCTGTTGGTTGTTAGTGCCGATACACTACTATTAGGATTTTTACTTTCTGGAACGTTTGCTACTGTTTGTATCTTGAATCCATTCACCCTTACAGCCATTCTGCCGCTCCTATTTCTTGCGGTATACTACCGGCAATATTCTTTGCCTAAGACAAGAGAGTTTAAGAGATTAGACGCTCTTGCGAGATCACCGGTATATACTCACGTTTCAGAGACAATCGATGGTATTCAAACAATACGATCGTTCAATATGGAAAAGAAGTTTACTGATAAATTTCATGCGTTTCAAGATAGGCAATCAGTCGCGTGGTTTCTCTATATCTCATCCCACAGATGGTTGGGTAGGAGACTAGATACAATGATAGTGATATTTATTTCTATTACCGCTTTTGTAACTGTTGCCGTTAAGGGCTACTTAGATGCAAAGCTATTGGGTTTATCGCTTACTTATTGTGCAACCTTGCTATTCGAAATGCAGTATTTTATAAGACAAACAGGAGAAGTTGAAAACTTGATGGTATCAGTAGAAAGAATTCTCAAGTTCAGATGCCTAGAAGAGGAGAAAATCGATGGCGATGAGAGTCCAATTTGTGAAGACTGTTCATTTTGGCCAAATTGTGGAAATATTAAATTTGATTCAGTATCCTTATCGTATAAACAGGACAATCAGCCAGTTCTTAAAAATTTGACCTTTGAAGTGAAAAAGGGTGAGAAAATTGGTATTATCGGTAGGACTGGGGCGGGTAAATCGTCTTTATTCACTGCAATTCTACGTCTAACCGAACCTGATGGAAGAATATATATAGATGGTAAAGAAATCAAGTCGATTTCCTTAGCAGCACTTAGACAGGCTATATCGGTCATTCCGCAAGATCCAGTTCTCTTTAGTGGAACCCTTCGATATAATTTAGATCCGTCGAATGAATTTTCCGATGAGGAAATTTTTAAAACTTTAAAACAAGTTCAATTAGATAAGAAAATTGAGAAAAATCCAAAAGGGTTATCGTTAGAAGTTTCCGAATCGGGCTTAAATTTTAGCGTTGGCGAAAGGCAGCTGATTTGTTTGGCAAGAGCTCTACTTAAAGATAATAGAATAATCTTAATTGACGAAGCAACTGCAAACGTCGACAATTATACAGATCAACTAATTCAAAGAGCGATAAGGAATGAATTTTCAATGTGTACTGTATTAACCATAGCTCATAGAATGAATACTATACTAGATTCAGACAAAATACTGATTTTGGAAAATGGTCAAATACTAAATTACGATAGCCCAGAGACACTTTTATTGCGAAAAGATAATTTATTTGCTGATCTACTGCGATCTAGTGATCAGAATGCCGACGTAAAACCTATTAAAGCACAAGATAAAGATGAAATAATAGAAGAGGGTGATGGGCGTGGGGAGGTTAATCCAGGATACAAATCGGACTAACCACAATCTACTATAGAGAAACTATACCAGTTTGTTTGTTTCAAAGAGTGCAAAGGTTATTTTTTTTTGCTAAAAAATAAATGTATTAATAAAAGTGTATACATTAAAACCAGCTACAAGCGAAAATTTCATAAAGATTAATGCAAAAATATTAAGATTTTTGTCCGAAACATCGCGTTCACTCCTTTTCCACAGAAAGCTGCATAGCTGATAGACAAAGCCAAAAAAAAATTAATAGTTGAATAAAAAACTGAACAAACAACTGCTTGCCAAAACAAACTGCCAAATCAGTTTGACCACTTTCCCATTCACACTTATAAAAACAGGGGTCAAGCTTTATTATTTTTTTTTTTTTGTTAAATAGCAGACTAACTTTCATACAATTATGTATAAGGATATACATGAAAAGTATTATGATAAAAGCATAACTAGCAACAAATTAGGTTTTAAGGGTTGTTTTTAATCCTCTATGATCCAAATTCTACTATTTCAAAAGAACGAAACAAAAAAATAGACGACACTTTTTTTTGCAAAGTATTTACTACTGCCGTATTTTGAAAAAAAAAACATACAAGCAATAAGCAAAATTTTACATACATTAACAGTATGCCTTCATGGATTTTCATAGATTATACTAATTGCTATACTACTAACAGTTAGTAGAATCTTTGAAATCCTCGAAAAGAGAAATCACCGAGTCGAAAGAGATATCGAAAATGAAACAAAAATCAGGCATAATTCTTCGACGCGCAAAGTAATATGAATATATGTATATATATATATATAAACTAAAAAAATTAGGAATCGTCAATTTTTACTAAATTTTCTTTTCATAATAAGTTGTAAGCGACTTCTTTTTACTTCTTTTTTCCCTTTGTGAAAGAGGGCATTCTAAATTTTTTCTTCTTCTTTTCACTCTTTCCAATTTCTTTAGCGGGAGAGCCCTCGCGACTGCCTTCAGTTGCGGCACTTGAAACTGATTTCGTAGGTGAAGCCGCGGCTGTAGCATCTTCTCCGTTCATAGATACTGTAGGTGGAAAAATTAAATTTATAATCTATTGTTTAAATTATTGAATTAGAAAGAATTCACGATAATCATAAATCTTATAAAGAAAATCATTAACATTTAAATAAAAAAATATCAAGAAGTTATTCGCAAGTTGCACAAAAGATTTTTTGCCCATTTATCCTTAATTACAAGACAGAGAGTAAGTATTTTAGAGGGATACAAAAAGGCTTAACACAAGAGTAAATAAACATTATAACATTAGCCAATATCAGGAGCTGTAAAAGTTTTACAAAATATTCACGTTGTTAGTGCAAAACCAATAGTTGGAGTGTATACAAATAAGCAAGATACTAAAGCCTATTCAATTTCAGTATGCTTTTCCAAACATTATTTAGAGACATGCGAACCCTGCCGACAGACGGCGTTACCTCACCAATACGTCTCTGCTCCTGAAATCTTGCTAGTCTAGATCTCCTTAAATCAACATCCTCAGAGGCACCTCTTGGTATAGTCTCTGACAGGTTGTTAGATTGGGATGTAGAATTATAAAAAAAATTTAAACTTTTTAATATAAACTTGCTTTAAAGTATTAACATATTAACTATTCTGACAGTTTTCACTTATCAAATTAGTTAGTTAACTTTTGTAAAAGCAAGAAAATATTCAATAGATAAAAGCGAATCAATAATTAAAAAAGCATGTGTTAAAGAAGGAATATCTATAACTTACGAAGTTTTCTAGAAGGAGTTTTTTCCGAACTCGTTCTAGGGTTGCTTTGGGTGGTGACAGCTATAAACAGAATACATGTACATGCAATGGAAACAACATTCAGATGATAAAATCCTTCTCGCACCAACCTATTTCAGTGGATGCTGCAGGTTTTTCGGGAATCGTCGACCCTCTAACTGTTAGTTGAAACAACAAAATATCTAACTAGAGCTAAATCTAAAATATTGCGTGCTAATGTTAGTAAGTGTTAAATATCTTAATGGAAAAACTGACAACATATAATGGTGTATGAAAAAACGAGTTTCGAAAAAAAGGAAAATTTGGGATAGTATTTCAACTTGTGCATTAGATTATGATAGTCTCAGTAAAGTAATTACGGCTTTTATGACTGCTTTGCCATTACGTGAATAATACAAACCTGGGTCTAAATTTTTAAGCTCGTATTTATCTGGTCTACGAGCACCACCAGGTCTATCAGTTAGGTCCTTCAAGTCCTCGTTTAAGTTAACTAATAGACGCCCATAATGTGATCGCAATAACAAAAATTACAAACATAAACGATTGACATCGATCTATAATTGACAAAAAAAACAAACAAACCAACCTGACTGAACAGTGGTGGTTTGTAGAGTCGATGGAGCTTCTCCTTGGCGTACTTTCTTAATACGTTCCTCGGTAGAAATCAGACGACCTTCTGCCCCAGGTGATGGAAGTTCTCCTAAGTAAAATAGTTTGTTAAGTAATAATATTCGACGATATATTGAATGACAAGAACCTCTTTCTTTTCTTTCCAGATCCTGTTTGTACTTTTGCAAGTCATCTTCTGTCATATTTGTAAATGGATTTGGTGTAACAGTTTGCTTGTAGACTGTAGCATTATGTTGGTGATCGCGTTGTATAATTCCTTTAGATGCAGCCCCAATAGTAATTATTTGATCAGGATTATCCTGTCATCAAGAATAATATAAATAAATATGCAATATCACTCTTACATAAATATACAAACAAATATACTGTCAGCTGTCAGTAGATGTCATCGACTGACAAAGCAACATAACATTGTCAGTTATTTTTTTAGTATGGCATAAAACTAAATAAATAAATAAAATAGATAATGCTGACATAACACTATATTGATGAAAAAGATGTCGCTACTGTAGCCACAATTTTAACCACGTCCTCAAACATACCTCTCTACTAGTACTTTTCACTGCTAACTATAGAGCACATATGAATGAACTAAATGAATTATAGCGTATAAAATAATAAAATAAAAGAGTCTCCGAGGCACGCCAGACATCGATTAGTGTTCAATATTAATTAAATCCCAACATCTGCTATATTCTGGCTAATTATTCATTAATTATTCTTTTTAGCTGGAATACTCTGTACTCATGAGACAAACATCGACTCTAGATTCTAGAGTATTCAAACTTCAGAAATCGTTCTCACGTGGCAATAAAGGACAGATGTTGTTTGATCAAAATGTTTTCTGCTATTAACGAAATTTTATTCCGTGAAAATTCGATGATAAAATTTTTTTAATAGTTTTATTTAAAAAAATTATGCTTGTAGTAAGTGACATAGGCTTACCATGTAATTTTTTTTACTTTGAGAAATTTATTCAACATATTTTAGACGGTCTACTTGTAAATCAATTAGTCTAGTAATTTTGCGCTATCTTAACCAAATATATCCGTTCAATAAAAAGCTAATTTTATTAGATCGATGACCGACGGCGTGGTGAACAATGGGAACGTAATAGAGTAAATAAATCTACTTTTAATGCATATTCCCACATATCTTTATTAGATATGCCTCATATGTCGCGTTAAAACTTTTGAACAGTTAAATTACAATAAAGGATAATGTTTTAGGGAAAAATTTTGATTTAAAACTATTTCATATTTCAGCTAAAATCCTATAAAACTAACTTGAATTTTATTGCATTATTCAAATACTACCTACTCAAATTTTTTAGGCAATGGACTAGTTATTTTAAAAGTTTTCAGTATAATAATAGAAATTGTTGATTTCGTAAATAAAAATTTTAGAACTAACAAATGACCTCAAGGCTTCAACTGATAAAACTTTTCTACGGGTCAAAAAATATACATTGGTTGAGTGACGCTTTATTCGTTTCATTCAATAGTTAGGCCTACAGGTGGTGCCACCTTCACAGTTACCTAGAAAAGTTTCTGTTTAACGTTAATTAAAGTAACGGATTCATATCCGGGGTAATTGTTTCCCTGGTATTGTATGGATTAAAGGAGTAGCATGATAGAGTTATGCAATTAACTGCTAATAACATATCAAAATACCCTTAAATGTATCTACTATAAAGGATATTCAAGGGAAAATGATATTTGTAACTAATTCCTTTGATCTATTTGCTAAAAGAAAAAGCATAGTAATTCTATAAACTATGATTATGATGCTTTGCTTCCAATTATTTAGATATGTTACGAAGGTATAATTGATTTAATTTCAACTTTTACAATGATGGCGATAGCATAGAATTATATAACATCTTTGATTGGAAGAGAAAATAAAAAATACATTAAATCTTACAGAGGAGATGAGAAACACGTTAAATCCAAAATTTTCTCTCCCATTTCCGGATTTAAAATGCCTGGCGGCACTTTCATCAAAAATAGAATAAATAAACGAGTTGACAATGGACTTTTATAAAGAAATGATCCACGATTAACAAAAAAATTCATGCCTTTCAGTCTGATCGACGTGCAAAAAGGTGATCGAATAATCTTATTCATCTTTTAACACACGCAGGAGAAGCGAAAGAGTCAAGAAATATAAGGATATTGCTTATACCACTCCTATTCGTTGTTGACATTTGAATAAAAAATTGAAGCTTTCATATCTACAACTTAGTCTTAAGCAAAAAAACTATAAATAATCATACAAACGACCAACTCATTCGCTTTTATAAGAAATTATTAATTTTCTAGTGTATCCAAAAAGGCTTTTGATGTTGTTTCTAAGATATAAAATTGAATTCGAACTAACCTGCATCTGTCTAGCCTCATCCCAAGTCGCACCCTCTAAAATTTTAGACTGAGGACCAGCGTCGATTCTATCTTCATAATACTCCTTCCTAATTTGTTGATGTTTTTCCCTTAATTCGTGTGGGTTATGTCCTTGGGGGGCAAATTGGTTTGGATTATCTACGACCTTAACTGTCTGTCCTCCATTTCCTCCGTCTTTCGATTCAACCCATACCGTAAACTTTTTGGGATTTTCGGTGGCCCCAATTTCTTCAATCTATTTGCGTTTTTTTAAGTTATTGTTTTAAGAAGATTACCAGAAAATGGCAATTGGAAAATTTTGTTGGTGGAATCGTCGGTCGTAAAATTTAAACAAACTATGTAATGTTACATATTACGTGTAAAAAAAAAGGTTTACGATAACTTTCATTCAACTTAACTCTAATCATAAGTTATATCTACATTGACGAAGGTATTAAAGGTAATACAAACAAGTTCAAAAATGTATACAATTTATAGTATATATATATACAGTATATGTAGATTTGTAATATATCAATGTAGAGTGCATGCATTAGGTAGTGTTATTTAATTCTTATGTAACAATTTAGTACGTTATGGTGTTTGAATTTAAGACTCGTAATAAGATATTTTCTGTTTTACAAAATTAAAACTTTTAATAAGTTTTTATCTAGTATAAAAATCTTGTTTAGATCTAGCGGTTTAATTTACATATTATTCTATAAAATGACTGGTAGAGAAGTATTGTGTTTGAGACTTTCTTATTGAATCATATGTCTAATTCTACTAATGCATGCAAGAAGAGCATAACAGCTATTTCATCCTTTAAGTCAATCGTGACTTGAAAATTTGTAATTGATTTATCTACAAAAATTTAGATAAAGCATGCAAGTGACTGAATAATTAGGTTTTTAAACTATCCTACAAAACACAACAAAATGAAGCTTTCAACGAGCCGACCTTTTTTGGTCAAAAGATATAAAAAGCTGCTTACCTGTTTTTTTTCATAAACATTTGGGGATCCTAACCACTTTGTCTTTTTAGCTTTTTTCTGTAGTTCTTGATGCCTTCTCATAGGGCTCATAGGTTCATCAAGCAGTCCAGATGATAATGCTGCTGGGGGATATTCGATTTCGTCGTTCAATCGACCTTGTCCATCTTTACGAGAAATTGATTGGTATGGATAGTCAGTTCTATACCCAGCCTGATCCAACAATCGAATATAGGCTTCAAATTCTTGTTTACCGCTCGACTTAAAAGAATCAGCTATTTTTTCGCGTTCTTCTTCTGGAATCAAGCTCAAGTTATCTAATCCAACTGGTAGGACGCGAATTTGGGCTTCACAAGCAGTTAAAACCTGGTTGCCTATCCATGTGGCCTCTTCAACAGACTCTCCTCCGATTAGAAAACCACAGTTTCGAATCATCAAAACCTTATTAGATGGGCCTAAGCATCTATTGATTGATAAAATGTCAATTAACATTCGATTTGCCGAAGAAAATTCTTAATTACCTGATTATTTCTTTCTTTTCTTGATCATTCAGACCAGAGAAGGAAGCAGCTTCGAAAGTGCTATACTGTCCAACGACACATGCGTGTTGAGAAATTGGTAAGAGTCCGCTTTTCAATGAAGAAACAGCCAGGGCATTGGGACTTTGCAGAGGAAGAAGAACCTTAATATCTGGTCGAGCAGCATGAATTTCGGCATAAGTAGACCAGACTTTCTTATGATGTTCTAAGGTAGTAGAACCAGCATCCTGAACCTGACCAAGCATGTCAACTTTGATCAGCGACGAGGCGGTCAATTCACTGGGGAGAAGACCTGGAAAACGTAATTGAAAAACCTAATTAATATATATTTTGATTTTGTCAAAAAGTTACATTTGTCGAATAGAGAAACGAATAGGTCTTGTTTGTATTCTAAATCAATCTATCTTTTATTTAGATTCGTTTTGTATTCTTAATTCTTTTGTCTATTTACGTTAGACTTAGATTTCGCGACCGAAAAAAAGAATAAGTACCCTATATACGGATTTTTTTTTGTTTTCCCTTAATAAATTAATATTTACATAATCAACAATCGTATACAAACGCCCAACAAACATGCTAAAATAGAAGAATTGTAACTCGTATTTAGAGTTAGCAGGAAAAATGTTTAATATAAATATAGACAATTGACTCAAGTTTGCTATTTTAATTATCTACTGATTTTTGTAGGGTAAAATACAATTTTTTGCATAGTCTTAACGTCAAATAGGTCAAACAATCTCGAGAAGATACTAATCTATTAACCATGGCCTATTCTACAGGTAAAACGTATCAATTTTCTTATGTCAAATCATAGAAAATTTGGCCTCAATTTTAGCTGCAGATGAGAAGTGAGCATGTCTGGGTAAGCGTAGAACATCAAACAAGTCCAGTATAAGTGACATATAAAAAATACGATTAACAATAGACAAGGTACTTTGAAGAAAAAACGTATTCTTTAAGTGCGAGCATATTACAAATGTAAAATGATAAAAGCATGCGAGTACAAAAAATATGTGGTACATGATTGATAGACAGCTTGTACATGTCTTTAATTTAATAGTTTATCATCTCTATTATTCATGAATTGACTATTTATTATAATTGAAATTAAATCAATTTTTTTTTAATATTTTATGCCTTATTCACCCTCATATTTATCATATATATAATAAATTAATTGAATGTTTTTCCTACCCACGTTATGACTAGAAACTAAAGAAAACCTATTTTATAAGCTAGCAGGAAAGGCATATGTATTTATCGACTTTATCTCTTTTCTTATTCTACTCAATATATATCTTGTTTTTGGTATTGCTTTAAAGTAAATAAATCTCAACAAACCTGAGGGTGGTATCAAGAAATGCTCGGGATTCTTTCCGAGTTTTAAGCTCAACACCGAATTGCTTCCTGTCGTCCAGCCCAACGTTTCAATAAGTCTGGCGGTACTTGCTAATTTGCATCTTGCCGCTTTTTCAGAGTTAGAGTATTTGAGAGCATCCACACCTCTTAAATCGCTGATAGGTAAGACACCGCTGTGAGAGAAGCTTATTCCACCTAATTCAGCAGGTGTACGATGTGATGGCAATACGAGCCTGAAAGAAAAGTTAATATTTTAAAAATCCTCAATTATTCCATAGAAAATAACAAGTATAATACTTATTACATAGGATATTATACCGATATCAAAACATGTACATGCATAAATTTGGCAAATTAACAAAATTGTTCAATTTTTCTTTTAATAATCTTACAACTCAAATTCAAAGAACCTAGTATTCTTCCTAAGTTTTTACTATACATGATCAGTTGGAAGTTCTGGAATTCCTTGAGGTTTGAAAATATCCGCAAGGTATACTTGCTTTTTGGCTGTTGGTGTGAAATATAAGGTCTAGCTGCTTTTTTAAATTGTACTTACACAGTACCTTAAAAATTATTAAGCAGAAAAGCTAAATTAACATTTCTCATCCGCAAAGCTACTTTCTAACATACTAACAACTTAAAAAGAACTTAGACTACCGTTAATCGAACCTGTATAAATATGCAAGGAATGTTCTAGGGAATGCCTTTTGCAGGAGGAAAATAAAACAGACTTAATCATATGTCAAATCTACTCTCTTATTTTGTGGATTATCTCAAAATTTTTGGTCTATTTACGCTTGTAGTTTACATAATAAATGTTTATATTGGACATATATAATCAGAAAAAGTTTGCCTATAAAACCCATATTTTTTATACAAGCGAAACTAGTAAATACCAAGACAATGCCTCCATATTATCAAAATTACGCTGAAATTTGAATTACTATCATTCTACCGGAAATCATTTTTTTGGTTAAAATAAGCCAATAGTATTTGTCAAGTGCAATGTAGAACATTTATTTTTGGAAAGCATTCAAACAGGTTTCGTCTAATTGCTTTACTTTTTATATTATTTTTAAATGAAATATGTCGAAAACTTACCTCGATAGTTCTTGGAGAACAGCAAAGGATTCAGTTCCCTTTCCCGGTACTAATGTATCGTTTACAATTTGTTCTAATTCATCTTTGAACGATTGACTTGTTAGAATTTCATGAACTCTCTTTCTTGTATCCATCTGTCTTAAATCTTCTTTCACGTCTGCAGGACGTCTGATTTGACGTTGATATTCTGGATCGTCTCTATCGACGCCGTTTACTAGGTCGCCGTTAGTCTTGTCGGTCATTTTTTATAGCAGCAAAACTTTCGTTTTCTTCTGCAAACGCTGTAAAACACATCCGAGTTAGGCGTGAGTATTTAAGAGAACAATTGAAATATGAAACAGAACAACCTATGGCCGATCAATACGCCCGTCTTTTGGGCAGGACAATTTTTTAAAGATTTAAGCTTTTTTTACTTTATTATAAGAAGAGTGCGGATAACACCAATGCGAAAAGACTGAACCTATTTTGGCTGTGCTAATTATAACAATTAACGCGAAATTATATCATCAGTAGAATTAAACACTGCTAAAACATTTGTTTTGCTATTATAAACCAGAAAAACTTAGGTTTAGCTTTTATTAGGAAATTTTTTTAAAGATCACAAATTACCTAATAAAGTTAACCAATATATATATATATACGCATATACTTAAATATTTTTATCATAATATGTGCATTGAAGGTTAAACGCTATGTATCGGATATATGGTTTGTTTGGGAACACCTTGAACAGTAGTATCATATTCTAATCGTTAAAAACTACATTTGTTTATTCTAAAACAACAAAAGATCAATCTGAAGCTGAAAAATTCAATTTTGTTTTAGTCTTTCTGTTATTGAGTAAGCAAAGATGAATAGTTAATGCTCTGATTGAGTGAACATGTGCTGGTTTATAGATAGTCCTATCTATTTATAATAATTTAATGATTAAAAAAAACAGCGATTCGTTAGCAGGGGGATAAATTTCGATTTCCTGAGAAGTTAAATAAAATATTTGAGAAGAGGCTAATGTAAATACTTGACTTACTCTATTTTTTAATTGCGAATAACTGTTCAAGTAAAAAAAATCAAAGTAGCCTCAATAAAAATTTCCATTAAGTGTAATAAATTTTCAATCTAACAAAACACTCCGAAAAAAAAGCCGCAGAAGGATGCATTACGAAATAAGTTTGTTTGTTTTCAAGATTGAAAAGTACGCCTTGCATAGGTTAACTTAATTTTTTCATCTTTAGAGTTAATTTACCAATGTTTAAATTACTATTTCATTATAAATCTAGACAATGACTAATTTATTACTCATTCCTATACAAAAATCCTGTATTTGCATAGTCAAACGAACCAGGCTCATGTCTTTGTAAATTGAAATACTATCGGTCTTTGGCAAGGTAAAAAAATCGTCTTCGTTTGGATAATAATAGATAAATTTATGTTCAACCTGATCTAAATTCTTCAGTTTAAAGCTTAATCTTTTGAGGATGTGTTTTTCGTTAGAGATATCAGATTACATCACTGCATCAACAGCTTGCTGACAAAAGCGCTTAATCCTGATGCTTGACTAAACGAACTTTATACTATTATAGGATTTAAGTTAACTGAAATTATATTTACGGAAAAAATTTAGAGCAGATTATTTTTTTGTTAAAGATAAAAGTTAGACATAGTGCTATAAAACTACCAAAAAAAATCAGGTACAATTTAGATTTCAAGTACAATTGATAATTTATGCTATGACTGTTTTAACAATTATATGAATAAACAGCTTTTAGATATGAATTTCAATCGGTCTTTGTTAGGACTAATTTAAATACTTTCTTCAATAATGTCTTAGATGATTGATTTAGAATATTGAATTTTGTTAACGTTGAGAAGGCTACTTTTCCAGGACGACACCCTATCTCGTTAAGCAAAAATACTTTAATGTTATCATATGTCTTTGCAATATTCGTCGTTCAAAGGGGCGCGGTTTTATCTTGGTTTGTTTATCTCTTATCTAACACAGAAATCCCCTTCGGGTATCCTGTTTCGCGTCACGTTCTCTATATAAAATTATTCTTAGGAAATAAGTAGTTCATGAAATTTTGCAAATCTGCATTATATCTAGATTAGAGAAACCTTAACAATAAGCAATAAATAACTTTTTCTTAATATCAATCTGTAGCACGTTAACTTAAAAGTTTTCTACGAGAGATTTGCGATAATTGATGATTATGTGAATGATTCGACAGACATTCTAAATAGATTTATAACTTAGTTCATTTCAATAACGCTTAATAAGATCGTAACAGATTGATAATCTGAAGATCGAGAAAGTTAAAGCAGTAATAAAAGCCAAACCTTTGATTAGAAAATTTCTACTATTTTACATTTATATCAATACTCCACAGTATTGTCCGATTATATACGTGCCGAATGAACTGGGTCAAAACGTTCGAAGAGCAGACAAAAATGGCAGACAAAGAAAATAGTTCCCACTTAACTCGATTTTTTTTTTTTAAATATTAAGTGAAATAACTTTATACTGTAGAATCGTTTGATTCCGAATCGGCCTTTTTGTACTTGACTTCAAACTCAATTAAGGCGGTTATTTCCAAAAAAATAGAAATCGAAAGGTCAATCGGCCGGCGTAAAACATCGTTCATCGAAAAATACAATTAATTCGACCAAAATACGATGTTAAGGCATTTAAATGTTAACTTTCGTAAGACTAACGGAGAATATCGACTTACCTGTACTGATAAGATGATGAATAAAATAGGTGAGCGATAATCCGATGTATAAAATCGGTTACAATTATGAATAGTGCCGGCTTGTATTAAACCGCGAAACAGACTACTGACATCTATCGGTTAAATACGAAACTTGCTTTTTCAAAATAGAATAGAATTATCTCACAAAGAGCTTTATAAGTTGGAGACAGAATGAACTTAACAAAAACATTTTTAATTAAATTTGGAAACCCTGAATATAACATAAACTATAAAAAAGATTATAAATATTAAATTAAAAACTTAATTACATAAAATTAATAATAGAAAACTGTCAAAGTATGTTATAGTTGACCTACACAGCTAAGAAGATATTGTTATGACCTTTCAAAGTAGAAAAAAAAAGCTAATAAAATTAGAAAAGTCATGACTCTATCATTGAATGTTTTGTCTCGTTTTGTGCTTGTAATAGATATTGTTTAATTTAAATATACAGTATTATTAATTATTTTAGAAATTATCGTGATACGTCTGAAACAATCTGGCATTGAAGAAAATAGTTGTTACTCTGTTTATTATATAAAGTATAGGCTTAAATATATTAAATATCAACAATATTACAAAATTTGTTAAGTTATTTTAATAATTTTTCTTTGTTAGAGTCAAACTTATATGATAAAGGTTAATATATTTGTTAGATTGTACTGTCGAATCATTTGACCCTTTTCAATTGCTAAACTTAACAAATAGAAAAAAAAGAAAACACTTTTGACCTTACCGCAAAAGAGTTGTCTGGTAACCATATGCAGTTTAGCTTGTATAAAGATAATTGTGCTCTATGCAAGCTTATACTAGTGTAAAGTGGTGAATCATAATACATATTTAGGGGAGATGCAATTTCATACTTGGACCATTAATCCCAATTGTCTAGGATTATTTACAGCTAAAAAAAGACTAGCTAAAGATAGATGAGATATTTAAAGAATCACCTTTCTTTATCCGTATCACTATCATCATTTTCATTTTCTTTCTAAGTTATATAATTTTTATTTATTTTAAAGATATTCTAAAAATTTTCTCCGCCCCTAATACATCTCCTAGCCTCATCATTCTCAGCTTGATAAAAACATACAGACAGGATATATATATATATACACTAACTAGCATCGCCATCTGTTATCTAGTCTTCTTATATGCAAGATATGTATATATTTATACTATCCCTAATGAAAGGGATAAACTTATCAGTTTATTATAAAGAGGAAGAATAGCATAGTCTTTTTTTCTTTGTTAAAAGTATCTGTTGATAATATTTCAATTGTTTATTAAAATATCTAATCGACGTAGGAAAAGATTGAAAATAATACAATAAATTTTCAAAAGTATGTGTCTATAAAGATAATATTCTCTTAAACGTACTTGTATTATTTATCAGATTAATTAATGTAAAAATTAACTCTTTTGTGATACTATTGATAATAAGTGTCTATGAAAGAAAGACGCATTAACTATTTTTATATTCCTTACATATATGTATAATACACAACATTGATCGTAACGCTTGGAATTTTCTAGGATATACAGAATACATACAGTATATATATTATACATATGGAATAGAAATATAATCCACATATAAGATTTGTATTATTATTATTATTATTATTATAGCTAAGTCTAGACAACGCAACTTTTGTATTCATTAACAAATATATTAAGAAAGATGAATCGATTCTTGTCTAGTTTGTTTTTTTTTTCTAAGACCTAATGGTTGCTACACGATCATTGGCGAAGTTCTTTTAAAGAATAGAACTAAGAATATAGAACGTTTTCTTTGAATACAAAATTGTGGTAAGTTTTTCAGTAAGAGAAAGAATTTTAGAGTAAACAGAACTATATTAACTGGTAAGGGCTTAAGATAATTTAATAACTTTTTAATAAAATAATTGTTTTCTACACAAACCTAATTGCAAATTCTGTTGGAAAATCAATCTTTATCGATTATTCCATATTGTATAAACTGTTAAAAGTTTTACAAATCTCGGCATTTATAGTGTATAGCGAGACACAAAAAGAAACGTAAGAATCAATAAATTTAATATTATAAGACTTTGAAATTAAATAGATACCTTTCCCGCTCAAAATTCTATGTATATTAGTTAACAATGATATTGAATATTCTCAATGCTGACTCGTTTCTATATTTAGGCATACTCTGCAAATGTTTTTTACGTCTAAAATTGACGGGAGCTTTTTAGACCAGGAAAAGTTTTTTTAAGACTTACCTGATTACGTCATATCCTTTTTTGTAAATGAACAGGACACACCTGAATCAGAATCCTGCTCTGTAGAGACATTATATATGATAATACTTTCATTCTTTAGGAAAAAGTGCAATTAGATAGATATGCCGCTGTGGGGAAAGTCAGAAAAATCTATCAAAAAGAAAGAAGAGGAATCAAGGACAAATTCCAACAGCCCTCCACCCTATTCGGGAGCGGCTTCACAAGTTCAAAAACCTCAGTTAGTGTTCCACTGTCAGAAGGCTCAAGGCTCACCGACGGGCATTATATCAGGATTTAGTAATGTTAAGGAATTGTATCAAAAGATAGCTGAAGTTTACGACGATGATATGAGCAACGTAAGTGAAAAGTCATATATATTCATTTCATTGTAGATAAAAAAAGAGACCATAATGAATGTATTTGAGACTATTGAAATAGTAAAAGGAATAAGGAGTTAGTAATCTTTCACCACACCTTTTTTTATCTTTGATAACTGCAAAATACTCTGCCGTGATTCATAAAATACCAACCTCACGTTTATATTTAAAGTTATTTACGGTATTAAATTCCTGTATAAGAATTATTCAGCTGTCCCAATTCCTAAATTCTTATAAAATTATTAAGTTTTTCTACTATATGAATAATTAATAGTTTTTTAATATACACCTACAAATATTGTTTAGTAGTATATTATATAGCGTGTTTATTATAATAACCAGAAAGTTTTCATAATTGAAACTATGTTATGTAGGCGTTCCTATATTTTGATTATTATTTTTAACTACTGCATGTGAGTGTGTTGTTTCTGAATATTTTAAGTAACAAAAAAAAAAGTAGGGTATGTATAGGATCAGTTCAAAGTGTGTGTTTACCAATTCACTATTCAATATTAAAAGAAGAAGAGGAAGAAGGAAAATTTTGAATAGTTGAATGCTTTTCAAATCACCCCCCTTCTTTCTATCTGTCGTAAAAGCGTTCTCTAGCACTCGCCCTCACCCCTCTTTTCTTTTTCTCTGCTAGTCTGTCTATGTCTCTACTTTCACAATGATGTTTCCCTTATCAAGATTAAGATAATCTTTAATACTTGAAAATTAATGGTTTAACTAACCCATTTCTGTTTTACGAGCGTGACTTATCATCTAAAACGAATGTAGTAATATAGATCTTATCAATTATATAAGATATAGCCAAGTAGGAGCTGTATAATTTCCCTTCCAATTTCGGAATATCAGTCAATATTTAAAAAATGATATGAAATTAGAATACCATTAATGGTCTTAATTATAATGGAGAAAAAAAGCTGAGATCTCTGTCGTGATATTCAAGGTTACAATAAAATCTAATAAGATTTTATAATACCTATATATACATTTATATATATATATACTGTATAAAAGGCGTGATACTGTCTATACTTATTGAGGAAGAAAAAAAAATGCTGATTCTCTATTATCTACTCTATTTTTTATTATGCAGTATGCACCCTTTATATAAATAGTATATTTAATCATTAACAACAATTAATTAAATATGATTCTTACGAACAAAGATCGTATTCCATTTTGCGTTAGAAAAATAAAACTATATCAATAATTAATGATATAATTATTATATATGTTATATATACTTTTAGTATTTACTGATCCTTGGATAAATTTTGAAGATTATTCGAAAAAACAAGAAATTTATGTTACCTGGTACAAAATAAGTGTATTAAAAGATGTCCCTATCTCAATCACTATTATTAGTTTTATTAAATATAGCTTGCGAGTGCTCAATAAATAGTATTTCTGTTTAATTATCTACCCCATCTTTAAATCTATATACAGTATATGTAGAATTTTTAAGGAGGTTGAAAGAAGAAAAAGAAAATTTAATTAATTTCTCTCTACTCCTTCTACCTTTTTCATTCATAATTAAGTATTATTGGGCGGTTTGAAGATATCATAGTAGATATTGTTATTATGTTATATATAAGATGAAAGGAGAAAAGTCTCTTCTTCTTTCTAAAAATAAAAATGTATGTTGTAAAAAGTAATGAAATAAATAACTTTTTTTTTTTACATGTCAAAGATGTTGAGAATAAAGGTGTATTTACATATTTAACTACTACTAGTCAAGATTCTATATAAGGAACAAATATGTCTTTATTTAAGCTTCAGCAACTGTTGCTTTTAGGTTGAATAGTTATTTTCTTTTTTTGTTAAATGGCCTCTTTTTATACAGATACTTTTCTGCACTCTCAATACCCATAAAGTTGATATGACCCGATTGTTAGGGGGTCAAATTGGGCTTGAAGACTTCATTTTTGCTCATATGCGCGGGCAACCTAAGGAAATTGAAATTGATAAATCCGAGGATGCTTTGGGTTTGACGATAACAGATAACGGAGCCGGACTTGCTTTCATCAAGCGTATAAAGGAGGGATCTATTATGTCTAGATTAGAACCTGTTATGGTTGGAGATCATATAGAAAAAATTGACGGCATAAGTATGGTTCATAAAAGACATTTTGAAGTTGCTAGAGCTTTGAAAGAAATACCAAGGGGTCAAAGATTCAAGTTGAGATTGGTGGAACCAATTAAATCTGGCTTCTGTGAGTATTAACTTACTTAAGTAGTATGCTTGTTATTTTATAAGACTAACTAAATCGGTTAAAAAATATTGTTAGATAATATTTCAATGCCGGGAGGTAACCAGTTCCCCGGTGTAACAACACTATTAACCGGACGAGAAACGTTACGTTTCAGATCTGGACATCCGCCTATCATTAGAGTGGTTCGTTTTGTGTTTTTGAACCGCAAGCTATGTTTCGTTTTGTTAGGCTATCAATGATTGTGATCAAAAACTTAGCAAGATTAAAATTTTATCGAGACAAAATAGGATTTTTTCTTTTTAAACTAATTAAGTGCTTCTTTAAAAAAAAAAGAAAAGTATATTTTGTTGTTGCTGAAAGAAATCTAAAGCATGTTTAGATTTTGTGCCTTTTTTGTTCTATTAGCTGGAATCGGATTCGATAAAAGCGGTGCTAAGCAAAATAAGAAATTCGGCTCCGGGAAAGCTACTCTTCGATTTAAATCAAATGGAAAAGCTGAAATTGAAATGGTTTGTCATATATCTCTTTGTTTGAATTTTGTAGTGGCTATAGATTTTGTCTTTTCTATTTTATTTCATTCCTCTTCCTTCTTGAGTTTATTAGATTTAAAAAAAAAATCATTTATTTAATTAAGAAAGTCAACTCTTTTATAGTAAGGAAATATGAAATAGGTTTATTAAATTTTCATCTTCTTATTCGTGTAGGAGGACGATTCGGCTGTTTTAGCTAGGGAGAAAATAAATGAGTTAATGGAGAAATTTTTAGGAATAAATGATGGCGATTTGGGTAAGTTTGATAATGTATGAATAAAGTAAAAATCATTAATTTTTTTCTTTTTCCATAGCCCAAACCATCTGGGATGTAGGTCATGACAAAGACAATCCGTCCGATTTCGCCTCCGCGATAGATGACTCGGAATTAAATATGTTTAACTTTACAGTTGATTTTAAATTTGATTTATGGGGAGCCATAAATGATGCTAAGAGTGGTCTGCTCAAGAAGAATAAAGGACCGACAGAGTTTAACGAGCAGTTTTGAATCGTGATTTTCTTTCCTGAATTCTCTTTTATTTATTCATTCTTTAATGAAACTCTAACCGCCGAATGATTGTTTGTATCGTCTTTGTTAAAAGTGTGAAATCTGAAGAAAGTTCGATGGAGTGGTAAAAATTATTTTGGGCGAGACGCCGAGACTTTGAATAAATGTCCTTCCAAATACGAATTGATAAATCATCAATTGTTTTTTCATGAATGTGAATTAGTGTCTTTTAATAAATATAAGCTATTTGTTATCGAAAGAGAGGACGAGACAGATTTTCACTAGTTGACAGCTTACTCCACTTAAACCAAACTTAAAAAAAATAATGCTCATGTTGTGCCTTGGAGTGTTTATCAATAAACTATATTACAAACAAACTAAAGATTCTACATAAGGAAAACAACCTTTTACAACATTATACATACAGATGAAACATACTTAAATTCTACATGTTTTTTTTAATAGAAAAGTCTACTTGTCGGCGCTCTTGTACTTTCGATAAAAATGATATGGTTCTTCATTATCATTATTAAATTCAACAACTTGTGAACCGTTTTCAAACCATTTCAATGTGGCTTTAGTTTCTTCTTCCATGACATGTTTCTTGCTAAACCTTTGCAAAACTGTAGTTAATTTTTTCCATTTAGCTTGGGATACATGTCGATGAAGATCTTTTGCCCTTGCTAAGCACTTTTGTTTATAATAGGATAAACCAGATTGAGAAACGAATCGTATCTTTTTGCTTTTTATGTTGAATTTACATTCAGTATTATCAAACATTTCAACTTCATCCAATTCTTGGTTCTGTTCCTCTAAAGCAGCCTTTCTATAGCTATTGATATTTCTCTGTAAAAAAAGAAGAAATTATTAAAAATTATAGTTCATTTGATAGGAAAGCTCTTTTTCAAGTTTCCTTTTAACAATCGACATACCCTCAAGAACACTGGATAATCTTTAAATCTTTCAGCAATTGATTTCTGTAATTCTGTATCTGACACATATTTTTCAACGTAAGAAGCCCATCGATCTCGCTCTTGTTCAGTAGACGGAGCGTTAGAGCTACTATCCGAATCCGTGTCCAATAGTTCAATACTAAGTTTAGGTTCACTAGACGAACTTTCATAAATAACTTTAAAGACATTTTCTTCCGACAAAATTTGTTCAGCTTTCTTAATATAGGCTGCTTCTCCTTCGGTTCTTTCGTTTCTCGAACAGCATTTTCCCATGCCAACACCTGTAGGCAATAAATTACAATTCAGTATACTGTATAAAATAATAATGATAAAAGAATAATCAATATACCTAGTTTACATTGCTCCTTCCATAGCTTTGTCATAGAAAGAGACTTGTCATCATTCACCACATGAGTTAACTGTTTGACACCGTTCTGTACCATTTTGTCTAAAGTAAATGCCCAATAGGCTTGCGTATGAAACATTTCCCTTAATTCATCTTCGTACGTTGAACTTTCTATATTTCCATCTAACAACTGATGAACTAGGTCAATCAAATTTTCATAAAATTTTCCAGGGTCTGTTGATTTAGGCGCTTTTAGCCTCAATGCGACTGCTGCCGACTCTTTTCTGTCGCTGCTATGCATTTTTTCATATTCTTCCATTTGTTTGGCAATTTTCCTCATTTTATACATTCTCTCGGCCAACAGATTATGCAACCTAAACAAGACATACCAATAATTATTTACTACCATTAAAGTATAATGATCTTCGTTTGGTCTTATTGGCACTGATATGTCTTCCTCCTTGTCGTCTTCGTCATCTTCACATTGGTCTTTTTCTTCTTCATCATCACTTAGAGATCCTTCTTTTTCATACATAATATGTGCAAAAGTTTTCAGCAGAAGGCATTTAATTTTCTTCTTCTCCTTATTAGTAATACCAGTTTGACGTTTAGCATGATATATTAGGAGAGCGTTTGCATCTTGAACGGTTTGCATTGAGCTATAAGTTAATATAATGTGTGGTCCGTCTTTGGCTTTCTCTTCCTCTTCAGCCGTCAGCTCTTGTTTTTCCCGCTTTGCAATGTATTCTTGTCTACAACGAAAATCGTTAACTATTATTAAAATATTTAGTATATATTTAGAGAGTTGATTTACCTATTATCAAACTGATTCTCAATTTGATGTAAAAGTGTTTTTGAACGTATATTCTTCAAATCCGTTGCTTTAAAATTGCCACATTGGTGATCAAGGCTCTTTAAATAAAATTTCTCGTTGGTTTCTCTCCAAGTCTTTTGGAAGCATTTCTGCATTTCTCGCCATTCTTCTTGTTTTTGTTTCAATCTTCTAATAACAATAGGAACTGAGAGAATTGGATTCTTCTTAAGACCTTCAATAATATCTCCGGCCTTGTCACCATAAATCCTCTCAACAACTTTTCGATAAAGAACTTCAGAACTTCCACCGAGAGAATCATCAAGGTGAAATTTAGAACATTCTTCTGGCGACATTCTCATGATTTTCCTTTGAACAAATTCAAAAACTTTTAAAGCATCGTTATTGAGGTCAATTATCATATCAAGTTCAAATCTTTCGTCTTCGCATCTATAAATATTTTCTTCGTATTGAGATTTACGTGAAGTAACAAAAGTTGAATCTTCGGACCAAGTTGGAAAACTAACATAAGTATTATTCAAAACTTCGTGGCATAGCGAATTTCGTCCGGAACATTTCGGTAGCTGAACAGATGCTGGCAATGCCCTATAGAAATAAAAACATAGATGGAGTGTATAGATTTTACATTCGACATATTTTTTCTCTTTTATCTTATGAAAAACGATATCTACCTGTAGCTAGCTCCATGTTTTTTACAAGTATTGAAATCTATTTCCATTGCAAGATCACTATTAATTCGTGGGATACCATCAGAAGGAGACACTGAAACACCAGTAACTAAACTTGTCCTGCCATCGTCTTTAAAGCCCAAAAAGTTCTTAAACCATTTAAACAAATCAGGATGCTTATCAAAGAATTGCTGAACCAATTGCACTAGTTCAGACCTAGTAACAACTTCTTGGTTAAACAGAACGAGACATCTAAGAAAAGCATCATAGTTTTCAGGTGATTTTATTGCTTTACGGATTCTATCGAAAAAGGCAAATTCTGATAGAGTTCCGTGTTTTCCCGCCTCCGAAAGACTGACGCTGCTTCCGGAGACAGAGGAGGAGTATTTTGCCTTTTTAGGTGCTGGCTGGGTTAACTGTGCTAAAGGTCGTCGTACCGGTTGTGATGGCTTTGGTTTTGTTGTTGAATATGTTGTTGCAATGGGCTTTCGAGATGCTATAAAAAACGAAAGGAAGAAATATATACAAATAGAACAATTAACTATACAAAATAAATGCTAATTACTAATGTTGTGTTCGTTTCTTAGGCCTCCTAAAGCGTCGCTTGACACTCCTTGTAATGAGCTTAGGGTTCCATACTGTCCCGCCGCACCATTAGCATCGGGTAAAAATTGGCCAAATTCCGTTAGTAAATCTTCTTGATTTTGGAAAAGAGCAGCAACTTGAGAATAAACTTCTCCCTCCGTTAAAGGTTTCGTATTTCCTCCAGTGCTCGAAACCTGGGAGGCATCTTTAACGCACTTTTGTTCTTTTTGATAAGTATGCAATATTTCCAAAAATGACTTATAAACTTCAGGCTGGCCATGAAAACGATTTTTAATTTTGTTGACATAATTAATGGCATGATTAAATTCAACGGGTTGCTGGCTTGATTGAGAAGAACTAGGCGGCGTACTTGATGAAGTTATGCCTGTTGGTACAGATTGGGTATTAACAGCAGCCTGCACTGGCGGATTTGGGCGGTGGCTGATGTTTGTTTGAGGAGTGGAGGTTGGTAGACCTCCTTGTCCATGAGGCATAGATACAACCTAAAGGAAAATAAAGAAAATTATACTCTTAATGAATGTATACATTTATTTAGATAACATTGCACTATCGTTTTTGCACTTATGTATAAATTGAAAAAAAAAATCCAAATATCTCTATAAGTATGAAAATATTATTAGGATATCTGATAAATTTTATAATTATTAAAATTCGATTTTTCAAGGTCAAATTCAGCGACATTACCCGAAAATGAATAAAATAGTTATTCATTCTGAACGTCTTAAACGAAGTTTGCTAAAATTACTCTGTTAAATTTGGTGAGTTCATTTTTTTTTCTATTTTCTTTTATTATATATGTTTAAGTACTAATAATTTTTACGCATAGAGGATTAAATATATATATATAATTGAAGTGTGTACGTAGAATTATAAAGAGCTTACGCCTTTTATGTTTATAATTTTACGTTAGATATATTAGCAATTTTTCTAGGAAACGCTACGAATACTGAAGAAATAGCGTTAAAAGAAAAAGTCAAAATATTTTTTTTATTTGCTATATTATCCTATAGAGAGTATTTAGGACTTTTCAGTTTTACAATATTATACATCTCTCTACTAACCTGTTGACCAGGTTGGTGAACACTAATCGTGTGATTATCGGCCTCTATCTTATAACCGGGTGGGAGAAATGTATTAAAACCGACTATTAGGTCAGGATGTCCCCTAAATAGTGTTGATACACGATTTATAACACCGGGTGTGTCTATACTCTGACTCTTAAACTCTTTCATTATGTCTAAGAAATCGTTATAGACTTGTGGTTGATTGCCAAATTGTAATTTTACTTGATCCAAATAAGTTAGAGCGTCTTCAACTTTTAGACGCTGAAACTGTTGCTGTTGTTGAGAAGCAGGAGTAGAAACAGGAGGTGTAGTTGTAGTTGGATCTTGAGCCGGTTGAATTGGATTTTGCATCTGAATAATTAAACGGTAATATATATTAAAGTTAGTGCAAACTTTTTAAACATGTTCAATGGTTTACGTAAATCGTACAATAGATAAATATACAAATATTATTCTATATCTTTTCTTTAGATTACGATTAGTATTAAATGAGTTTTCAATTTTATATATATACATATATATATATATATATGAGTCTGTAGAGAGAAATAATTCTTTAGATTTTACCGTGCTATCCATGATTTAAGTTTGTAGTTATTCCGTTTCCTAAACAAAGAGATGGCGTTGATGACCGGTAGGCCTAAGACATCTGTTTATCTAAATTGAGCCTAAATATTAGCATTAATCGATTATTATTCGTTTTTCTACGTAGCTTTCACGTTAAAAATTAGGATTAACCTGTTTAGATCACATAAAACTTAGTAAAAGCTAGAATAATGGCGTAAAAACCTGATTGGACGGGTGCCAAACCCTATTGAAATAGCATATTATCGCTCAAAAATTTTTTTCCTGAGTACGGATGATTTATCTTGGATTACCATGTACAACTTGATTGTTTCTAATAAGAAACTTCGAAAAATAATCAATCTATGATGAACATAGATGAAGCGACTCAAGTTAATACATTGTAGGCCGCTCAGAAAACACCTATAGGAATGATCGGTTAATACGAAGTGGCGTTTTGGTTTATTGTACTGTTAGCTCTAAAAATTTTACTACGAAATCAAAATCAAAACATACTTTCAACGATTCTCTAAGATTCACAAAGTTCGAACTGGACAATGGAATACCGAATCGCGATAAATCTGCAAACAATATCGTTTCAATATCAATATCGACGATTTATAGTATTTTTCTGTATAGCCTTTAACTGCGCATGCGCGCTGTAAGGACACTGCATAAAAGGGTCAATTCGAACTCATTTTTTATTGTTGGTTAAAATCGGCCTACTATCTGAATAGTGCAAAATGCGCGGGAGTATTTCAGTTGTAACGAATCAGAATGCTTTAACTCTTAATTATTATTATTTTTTTTTGGACATTAAGAAATAAGTTCTAAATATTAGAATAATTTATATATATATATATATATATACATCTCCTTCCTTTCCCCCTTTCCTCGATTTGTTTTAATTATGGCAACGCTAAGAAGGCTTATTGATTTTCAATAGCGACCTCTAGCGATCATAAGCATTTATAATATTTGCAATTGAAAAATTTTTTATAAAACATTTCATTATACTTTCGTTTCTTTGTTGGATTAATATAATTCAATAGGTCTAAAATATGAATATTCTCTTCACTTACTTTAGAAAAAAACCACCTAATACTGTGTAATAAATAAATGTTTAATATCATATGAAATATGAATAAATACGTGAAAGACTATGTATTTACATAGTCTCTATTATTATGAAGTAGGCTAACTTTACAAGTAAGAAGAAGAAGAAAAGAAGAAGAAGAAGAAGAAGTCTTGCAACCCTAACCCTAAGATTTGTTTAATTTGATGACAAAGTCTTGAAAACAGTTACCAATCTTCCTTGTAGTATACTGAATTTTTTATGTTAATTTATTACTTTATAACTTGTTTTTCCCTCTCCAACAACAATATAATAGGGAATATAACGCAATAAATATTCCCTATATCATACCTCCCTCAATTTTTATACTTGGTCACATGATTTCAAAATGTCATATAGCTAATGCTCAAATAAGGTAAAAATATTTTTTTTACATTATACTTAAATAAATGATTTTGAAAAGATAATAAAATACATATTATAAAGTTCCATGAAATTCTATAGGTAATCTAAATAAAAGTTTAAAATTGATGAGAATAATACAAAGCCCGCCCATATTTACTTTTCTGATAAAAAAAAGGAAATCTGCTTTCACTAATATAGATTTTTATCCTTTATTTATTTCGATTAAGTAATAGGAGATTCTTACAAATTCACTATGTAGAGGAAAAATTTTATCGATATTATGGTAAGTTGTATAAAACTTTTGTCCTATAAGTGGATAAAAGTATGTTGAAGGGGTTTACAAACAGGTCTTTCATTTTAAAAATCGAAAATCTTTAGTCAGTTATCGCAAAAGTCCATTAAGATTTGAGCGTTTATTTTTCCACGCTTATCATTCTTAAATTATATATAAATGCTTTGTGATGTTTATTAATTAGATTGTTGCACAGACAGATAAATAAAACGTAAAATAATATCAAGAAGTTTGTAGGTCAAAGTTCTTGTTCGAAATTATAACCTTAGTCTGAGTCTATAGCTTCTGAGGGAAAGTAGTCTTGATCCAGTATACTAACATACATTTATGTAAATTTATTATTAATTAAAGGGTGTTGATTCACACGCAAAAGGAGCCGCATAGCTGCTGGTACTAACATCAATCCAACCTCCTGTGTATTTGATTGAAACACCATCCTCATCTCCATTTAAGCTATTGGGTTCATCGTTTTCCCAGCAGCAATTTGTTGCCAATCTCTTTCCGGTCCTATCCCAAATAAATGACCCTTCTTGAAGCTCATCATTGAGCCCTATAAGGAGAGAACCACCAAAACCGTTTGCTATTAAAAAGTTGTGTTTCTCAATCGTCTCGGCACTGGCTAATGTTTGAATTCTATCTTTACATATTTTTCGAGCACCGACTAAGTTTGTATTAACTGGATGGAAATAAAAACAACTATTCTGAAATGATATTTCATCCGATCGACAATTTTTAACTTTACAAACATCTGATAAACATTCAGTAGAACAAGCTTGAGAATTCTGAGAATCGAGATTAAAGACATGTATATCTCCCGCATAAATTTCCATTGGTTTTTGCTCTCCTCCGTGAAATAGCCTGCATTCACTAGTCTTAAAGCTGAAAAAACGGCAATTTTCCATTTTCATACATTTGTAACTGCAACTACCAGTGGAAAATTCCTCAAGTTTTATCATGTAGTCAACTTTATCCAGAAATTCTAAAGTAGTTCTATACGATTCCAAAAGCCATTGACGATGACAAACTGTTGCGTGAGTGAATAGGTTACAAGAAAGTAATAAATAGAGGAGGAGAGCGTATTTTGAAGAGTACATCCCTCCACACCAAATATGCATATATGTTTAAAAGTTTGTGTAGCGACTAATTGAAAGATCGTTATTCAAAATGCTTGTTATTGAACGAAAGAACTTACAAACGGAAAATCTTTTGTCTAAACGGAAAAGATACTAGATCAATATCAATGAATCGCTTAAAAAACAAGGATCAATTCATTTTTTATCTATTGTATCCAAAAGTTACTAGAGACTAAAAGAAATATTCGAAATATCTGTTCTGAATAATGAGATTATTTATCTTGATTCTCTCGAAAACTATGTCAAAAAATGTGAATTATTTGCTTGAATTTATTCATTTTTTTAAACGTTACAATTGAATATACATATAATATCTATATATACTGTATATAGATAGATATATAGATATTTGTTGTTTTCTTTTTTATGGTTGACTTTTTTTCTCTAGTTCTTTATTCATTAAAATTCTAGTTTTCTGCAAGAAGACAAAAAAAAACCAACAAGCACATGTTTCCTTTTTTTAATGGGAAAATAGAACATCTAGATAAAAGGAAAAAATTAGAATTATGCATGAAATATTTTTTAAAATAGCACACGGAAGTAAAAACCGTTCACTATAATTACAGTCAGCTTATCATCGTACAATTATCGCATTTAGTCAAATCCGAGCATTCTGTGCACTTTGCTTGTTCCTGGATAACGTTCAAATTTAAATTTGGATTCTTCATAAGCTTCTCCAGTTCGTTATGCATCCTAATCGTTATCACTTGCGATTTTGGTGCAGGCTGAGGAGGGGGCGGAAGGGTTGGGGGAGGAGGTTGCATTACAACAACAGATTTTGACTGCATCATATGCACATTGGGAGCTTGATTATGTAAGTTGGTTTGGTTGGCGACAACCGGCATGAGGAGAGGGGTTCTTAGAGGAGCTGAAGGAGAGGAAACTTTTCCCAAGACTTGTTCCATTATTACTTGCGATCGTTGCGTATCAACTGGACCCCCTCTATTCTTTAGTTGCTGACGTTTTTTCGCCATCATTTGGGCTTTGATTTGTGCTAGAGTTCGGGTGGAGCCGTGCGGAAACTGTTGTTCATCTGGTGGAGCGGCACTGGCTTGCAGGGGACTACTTCCTTTCTTTGCCGAAGTTAAACATTGGAGTATAGCCGAGTGTGATCTAGCTGAAGGGGTTGCAACAGGAGATGTTGTTACGGGAGCTAATGGTGCAGTTGTGGGGGGTGCTACTGTCCAAGCGTTTTTACTGCTTTCCTTTTTGATATGAACTTTGACATTGGATTGAAGGAGGCTGCGGATGGTGCTATTCCTATCCTTAGTCGTGGGTGTAACTTCTGGAGGTGGCGGAGGAGGAGGAGGAGGAGGAGGAGGGGGAGGAGGGGGAAGTTGAGGACTTGGTGGAGAAGGCGAGGGAGTAGGAGTAGATATTGAATTGGGAGAAAGAGAGTAGGGTTTCGTTTCTGGAGGTGTAGGCGAAGATTTCTCTTCAATGGGGGATGGGCTATGAGACATAGATGGAGCTATTACTTCAGGCACTTTCGTTATGTTCTTTATGCGTATTGGTGGAACAACTTTCTTCTTCCTGGGCGAAACTTCAGCTTTCGGCTTATTAGAACTCGGAGATTTTTTCCGTTTCTTTTTCTTTGATCTAGTTTTTAACGGAGTTTGCGGGCTAATCTCTGTCAACTCTTGCTCAGCGTCTGATGGTGATTTCTTGGTTTGCTGTTTCAATAGGAATTAAATTAAATATTGATATGTTAGGGAAATTTATTAGCACAAACCTTTTCTGTTACAGTCGGCATTTCTTCAAAAATAGAATTTAAACACTTTTTACCATAGACCGGCTCAAAGAATTTCTTTTTCCAATCATCAACAGTGATGACATCTGCTTGTTTTTGATCCTCTTCTAATTTTGATTGATTTTCTGGTGTGAATTCACCGCTTTTTAACCGTTGACGCCATTCGACGCAAGATTTATTAAAAAACTCATTGTTTAGGGCAGTAGAAGCAACTCTATTTGAGGGTTAAATAGAAGTATGTATATAGATGTATATAGATTTATTCGTAAGGATAAATTCTTACCGAATGCTGTTATCAGCAGCTCGAGTTCTATCGCATTCAGGTAATTCCTTTATGAGTTGATGTTGAGCTGCTGCAGACAAGAGACCAAGCGTATGGCGATTTAGAAGATTCTGTAAAGACGGGAGAGATATGCATGAATATTCATATATATATATATATATTTATAGTAGTAATCTATTCCTTTCATTTATTTATCATCGGTTTTTTATCAAAAAACAAAAGAAAATAGATATTTATAAATAAAATGGAATAAAATAATACGTGTTATTCTCTTCACCTACGCCACAGGAATTTTGAAATTGTTTGCAGTGTTTAAGTATTATCTATCATTATTTCTATTATTTCACTAATGCAACTGTAAAATCCTTAGCTTTGTTTAGTAATGTAAAAAAAATAAATAACTTATTAGAAAAAGAGTGAATTCAATAATTAATATTGTTAATAATTTATTGAAAAACGTCGTTTATTGGAATTATCTTTAGAAACTAAGTATATTTTCTTTTTAATTGTAATCTTTAAATTATTCTTTTAATAAATAAAATACTCACTCTAAGATTAATATTGGTTAAGATTGAGTTGGGCGATGTTAAATTCACTTGACCGCTGTCCATTTCTTCCAATTGAGCAGATGCTGACAAGCGTTTTGAAGCTTTCCTTTTAGGCTGTAAAGTAAAATAGAATACATAACAAAAACGTTTGATATAGATAGTATAGTCAGTGTTATAAAATGATACTCGTTATTTCTTATAGGCATTAGCATCCTCTTACTTAATAAAACTAATGAATTATTTAATTATAAATAAAATAATCAGTTATTTATTAAATAAAAGACGATAAAGCTTTTCTAATGGAATATTCTTAGAATAATAATATATATGTTCCAACATTAATTCGATTATAGAGTATTATAAATGAATTAAAAGTATATGTTGACGATATTACGATATATTAAAGATTTATTGTGAAAAATAACAGTTTTTTTTTTCTTTAAAAATACACCGCAGTTTACTTTCTCTTTATTTACGGTCGAACTACCATAACAGTTTGATTAATAATTTAAAAAAGCATGACTGCAATACGAAATCGTACGTCGGTACGGTACATCGGCCGTGAGAAAAAAAAATTAATCAGTTGTCCATTATTTAGGACATTAGAAGATGCTTTAAGAGACATTCGCTTTCCCTTTTATACTTTGCTTCAAAGGCTATAAGAAATATTAATAAGCTTAAATAAAAACATTAAAATAATCTAAAGATGTTAATTTAATGGATTTATATAAAAATTATGTAGGTATATAGTATATATTAAAAAAAGCTGAACCATCTGTTGAGCAAATTTTTACGACATAAGTTAGAGATTAAAAATGTGAATATATACTCGTTGTTTACACGAATTGAGGGATAGACGGAAATATATATATATAGTATATATATATAGTATATGTACAAGCAATAAAAAAATCTATAAAGACAAAAAAAGGAAGTATTTTAATAGATAAACAATAAAATAAAAAAATGTAGTAATTTTGTATTGTTTTTTTATTGTTATTATACTTTTTTGTACGAAACCATTCAATTGCACAAGAAAGATTTGTCATTACATTTATTATATTATCATAATTATACTGGGAATCGATTCCTATAAACGTTAATTAAAATATATTTACTAACCAAACTGACGGTATTTCACTTAGTCACTTGATTTTTTACATTAAACTTGAATTTAAATTTAAATTTTTACATTAATAATTAAAATATTTATGAAAAAAACCTATTCGATGACTCAAACATCAAAGAGACCGATTATTTGTTTACATACCATTTGACAATTTTCCAACATTGGACGAGTCTGAGCTTTCCGTTTTCGCTTGTCGGACATCTTAGATATTTTTACGTCGTAAATATTTCCAAAGCTTTGCTCGATCACTGCAAATATTTAGATTTTAAGGGGATTTTGCGTCTTCCTTCATGATGCTTGAGAACTTTGATTGAAAATATTAGGATGCGTTAGAGTAATTTCATAAATTAAAAAAACAGTTATGACATTCTGTATAAATAATCAGACACCATTTTGAAAATTGCTTTGTTGTATGGCTCCTTAGTCTGGTTTCAAACCATAGGGCGGCGCTATGCTTTCGTTATTTATGGTGCTACTATAAACCGTGTCTGGTCGACAACACTGTTGTTTTGCATAGAATTAATCATAAATACCTGGAAACGACGGGCTCACTTCTTATATTTCAAACTCTTGTTTGATTAAACGACCATTCTTTAAATAGAATTTTAGCTCTTCAACTATAGATTAAATGGAATATTTTATTTTAATTTTCCTACACCAGAGAGATTAAATATTATATGAGAAGTTTATTCTAAAAGCTCTACAATTGTCCGCCATCTAAGTGAGAATAGATTAGTTATAGAATTTTATTTAGTTATCAAAACTAGTAAGAAACCTCTGGTCTATTACAAGATTTAACGAGCGTATAGTAATTAATTAAACGGAATACGTGAGCATCATTTAATTTACAATAGATCACTGTTGTTAATTTTATAAATAGTTGGAAGTGGTTACTAATTATAATATAAGAAATCAGAATCAAGTAATTTTAAAAGGTTCTTTGAGTCACATGTCACGACCAAGTGCTTAGCGTTACCAGAATTTACGATATATACAGAATATGTAGCCAGTCTATCATCATCCGGGCAATCCTAATATTGAACTTTTAGCAATAAGAACCATTTTTAAAATTACGTTTTGTTAATAGAAAAGATAAATAGATTATAATAAAATTTAGAAATGAACTTGGAAGACTTTAACTTGATTTATTTATTTATTAAATGTAATGATCAATTGATTTTTTATATTATTGAACTAGTAATTTCATTTTTTATCATTCGAACATCTTATTATAAATGCCAAAAATATAATTATCCTGTATTAATATTTATAAACTAATTAGAATATTTCAATGCAACTAATGACCTAAAAGTCAATTAATTGAAAGTTATCAGTATATGAAATCGTGCTTGAAGTTTATTTTAAATTATAAGTGAATTATAATGAAAGAGGTAGAAAAGAGAAAGATTATTCCTACATTATAGATATTTTCATTATAATTAGTCTAAAAATAGCTATTTAATTAATAAATTAATCAATAAATTGATTGATATAAACATAAAAAGAAAAATCATCAACTAATATATGAAAAAAAGTTTACATTTATTAAATGAGATTTAATTTTTTTCAAGTAACCTCATTTGTTTATCTTTGTTTATTGCAACTAAATTTATAGTAAAGCATATAGAAGTCTATTGAGATTTCTCAATTAACGCATCAGGCTTACTATAAAAGAGCTATTTATAAATAGACAGTTGGTAATTATAAACTAACAAAATGTACAACTCGTACATAAACTAAACTGGTAAAATTTCGTTGAAATTTCTATTAAATATTTGAATATAAAGAGTAAAAAGAAAATGAACAAAAGAGGAAAAGAATAATCTTTATTATTATTAGTATACAATGTATAAAATGTACGAATGAGACGCCTTTGTTAAAGCTTTTTTAACATTCCACGAATCATTACTTTTGTTTTTTTTTCCTACTCAAAGCTTAATGATCTTAATTGCAAAAATAAAAGGTATGGAGGAAGAGAAAAAGAAGAAAAAAAATCCAGATAATTCGTTTAACGGGAAAGAGTCAATGGTTTCTTTTCTCTGGAGGCAAATTTAGTCAAAAACTTTTACATTTATTAGAATAATATATGTAATTATCGAAACAAATTGGAGAATTTTACCCTGAGGACTATAACTGAAGAAAAAACACACTTTTCTTATGTTTTAAGTCATGATTTTTGTCTAATTTCTCTTTAATTTTATCTTCTTTCAACTTTTTTCATTTTCAAAATCAGTTTTAAACGCACAAGTTTGAAAAGACGAATTAGATGTTTTGAACAGAAAATAATTGATATGAATGGTACAAGTCGAATAAAAAATATACTACTACTACTACTATTACTACTATTATTATTAATATTAATATTATAAACAAATATGACTTAATTTCTCTAGTTTTGTGTAGATTATTAACAATTGTACAAAATATATTGTCGATTTTATGATGTGGAAGTAATGATTTCACCTTATTTTTTCATCATCTCTTATTTTACTTAGAATAAGAAAAATTCTTTCAATTAAATGATGTTAAAAAATAAAATAAATATAAAGGCTCTTTGGTTATTATGTAAAATTTCAAGTATGAACTTTTCATATTGTTCCCTTCTTTTTGTTTCCAAAGGTTTGGCCAGAATAGTGTGGTGAGTGTGAGTGAAGGATCGTCTTAGTTAGTCATTTGGTGTGAGAGAAAAAATATTGTCTTCCTAAACACCGTTAACTGGATGATCTATTTCACGATTATTAGTATGATTGATTTCTTCATTTTCATCAAATGCACCATTAAGATGTCCATTAAATGAAACGTTAGCTCGAACTCCGAAGCTTGACCTACGTAATACAAGTCTAGATACGTTAGGAAGTTCATTAGCTTCAGAGTTTGTTCGTCTGGCAAGATATTCCATAATTGCAATTGAATTTTCTGTTAGGATACGATCTTTATCGATTCCGTGCTCGATAAAATCTGCTCCGAGTTTTTCGTCGTGCTCACTCATCCTTAGTCCGATTGCTCTTCTTATAATCCATAGAGTAACAAAAGACGTTGTGCCACTCCAAATAAAAATAGCGACAATCGCTAAGAGTTGAACTCCCAATAGATAAAAACCACCACCGTGAAATAATCCAGCCCTACCTCTTGTTATATCCTCTATAGTATCAATGTCTACGAATAGACCAACTGCAATCATACCCCAAACTCCACCAACTCCGTGAACAACGAACGCACCAACAGGATCGTCAATTTTCAAGAGGTTCATGATTGGCACAAAAGCTAAACTTAAAACAGCTCCTACAGCTCCAATTATAATTGCTTCCCAAGGCCTTATGGCAGCACAACTAGCTGTGACACTGACTAAAGAGGACAAAATACTATTAACCATATCAAAAACTATGTATTTCCTCTTATTAATCACATAACTGAGTAGCATACCAGCTACACCTCCACCCATCGAAGCCGTTATCGTTGTTACAGCCGTTCTATAAGGACAAAATAACCTTCAATAATAAAGAATGATAATATCATATCTCTGTGAATATTATAATAAACGGTTAGTTTTTTTCTAATACAACAGAATTTAGTTAATTTCAAAAGGTTACTAAATTAGATTCTTTGAAGTGGAATTGATATACTGTATATTAACTCTGAACAATTATTAAGTAGTTATTTCCATAATATACCTTCATAATCATTAATTATATCAATTTTAAAATATTAAACCGGTAGACATTAATAAAATGAAAATTTTAATATGAGTTTAAAAGAAAATCAAAATGAGGGGAGAATGATGGGGATGATGAGGAGAAAGAAGAGTAATGAGGCTAATGTTTTGCTGAGTACATATAAATATACAGGACATACTAATATATTTGTATATACATATACAAATATTGTTATGGTTTATTAAATTTAATATGAAGGAACTTACAACTAATAACTAATATTACTTTGTTGTAACGTGTCAAAAAGAGTCTTGTTATTTGATTTTAGCAGCCATTGTATTTTGCTCCCACATGCTACAGCTTTCTCTGACTCCTTGAAGCTTTATTTTACTCTCTACAGTTTTTTGTTTAATTAGACGCAGAAATATCAATATTAATCCTCTATAAAAAAGATAGGGGAGATAGAGAGGTAGAGAAATGGAGAGCGTGTTGTTATGAGTTCTCATCTTTAACTTTGATCTAAACTATTTGTACATATGCTTTTCTTTATGCATACAGAGTAATTTCTCTAATCTCAAAAGATCTATTTTTACGATCATAAGCGAGAAGAAGAAGAAGAAGAAGAAGAGGCAGAGAGAGATAGGAAAGGGAAAGAACAAAGTTTTTTATTCATAATTTTACTATGTTACAGTTGTTTTTATTCTTTTCTCTCCTTTTAATTTTTTTTTTTGGTTTTTCACGGAAAGCATCTTTAACCAATCGTGTTAAGTCATACAATATTACACTTATTCTTTTAATAACATTAAGTATATTGAAAATAGCAAGAGAGGAATAATTGGCTTCTGTACAGTCAGCATATCTGTGTATATTGATTCATATCTGTCTATTTTACGTATATTAGTAGAAGAGTACAAGTTTCATCCATGCTACTCTTCAAGGAAAACTTATGAATTGATATTTTAAAGGAGGATATTTCTAATATACTGTATAACATTTTTCAACTATTACTTACTTAGCTGCTAAAATCCATTTTCCTCCTGATATCCCAAAGGTACTACCGCAATTAAACCCCAGCCAACCCCACCATAACATAAACATACCGATCAGACAGTTTGTTGGATTACTGCAATCCATTTTCTTACGATTGTTATCGAATCTATTTAATCTAGGACCAAGCATTACGGCCGCTACCAGCGCTGAAACTGCTCCTAATAAGTGGACTCCTCCTGAACCGGCAATATCAACAACACCCAACTTTCTCAGGAATCCCCTATCATCCCACAGCCAATGCGCGGGAATACAATAAACATAAGTATTTAACAGCGAAAAGATAATATAAGCAGATAATTTGGTTCTCTCTGCCATGGCGCCGGACACGATTGTTGTTGCTGTGGTTGCAAAAGATAGCTGGAAGATGAAAGTTGAGTAGGTAATACCCATTCGTTTATCATTTGGTGTATTAACGAAGAAATGGCCGATACCACAGAAAGTGTTTGAGTATTTATCGTTGCCGTAAGTAAGACCATAGCCGAATGCCCAGTAAGTGAGACCGCCGAAAATAACATCAACAGCATTTTTAACCATAATATTAACTTCATTTTTAGAAGAGACACAACCAGCTTCTAACAGTCCGAAACCTAATTAAAGTCATATCTTGATCTGTACACTCTTCTACGTGTTATATAATATACAGAGAGATCTTACCTGACTGCATAGTAAATATAATGAAACTACTTGTCAAAATCCAAGTTGCATCATCCCAAGTAAGTTCTTCGCTAGTAGAAACAGGCATTGTTGTGCTGTTTACAGAAGTATTGCAGCAAGTGACGTTTTTCATGGCAGCGCGGTGTTGGAAATTTTGCGCTATTTAGAAAGTTTCAATACGGCGTAAGTTGAAAATGACGATCATTGGTCACAATTTAATAGTTAAATGAGCAAGAGGCATTAATTATCGATATATGATTGGATAAAACAGCTTTCATAGAGTAATATATATCTAGGAATTTAATTACCAAGAGAGGAGAGGAAGAGGCAAGGTTCATTATATATAATTTATCTCCTTTGTTAAAATGAGCTATTGACCCTTAAAACAAGGAAAATATAGGTCGAACTAAATAGTAAAAGATTATACATATTAACAGTATAAGTTTATATAAATAGATATTTAAAAAGGTAACAATAAATTCAAGATATAGAATCAATAAATAATACAAGAAAGAGAGATTTGAACATTACTGTTTTTGAAATAATTACTTAAAATATACCGCAAAGAAAATAATAGCTATAATAAAAACATTAGACAGGTTAGACGGAACGTGTGTGTGTAAGAGAGAGGAAACGCCAACAGAATATGAATGAGCTAGAGAGACAAAGACTGATGCTGGTCGAAAAAAAGTCATAGTCTGACTAAGGTGTGTGGCGTTTTGTCTTCTTACCCTTTTTATTATTAAAGTAACCGAATTATAAAATAGAGTATATACACATTAAGAAGAGAATATCCTTAAATTACTTAACATTATCTAAGTAGATAAAAGGAGTGTTCTGAAATGATTATAGGGAAAGATAAAATTCATATTATGTTCTAATAAATACCAAACAACAATGAACTATTCACCGCGCAATTACAGCTTTGAAGTTTTGTATAAGAAAGAAGAGCGCAAGGTTAATAAAGAGAATGTATAACATATATTATATATACTACGGCAATGGAGCTAACAGAGTTTACAGTACTTTTATGATTAGTTGTTAAACGTGACAAAACAATGAATTAGAAAAAAATAACAAGTTTTTTCTTTTGCCTTATTAGTATAAATGTTATACTACTTCTTTCTTTTTCTTTCTCTCTTTTTACATTTCAAATAATCATTCACTTCTATCTGCCTAGTATTTGTCCTTTTTCTCTCTCCTCATACTATTTGCCATTGCTATAAGATGATAGTTATCTAAACTTAGAACTGATTATTTTGATAAATTTAGAGTTGTAATTCAAATCAGTTATGAATAAATAATGTATATACATATATATATATACATAAATTTATATCTATATTGTAAGAAACGGAGTTTTATATATGTCACTATAGGTTTTTTCGCTGTTAGATGCCTTGTTGAACAGATGAGCTACGGATTCTATGGAAAACAGTTAACACCTACGCCATTTGGTAGATAATCAGGACTGATACATATATATATATATATATATATATATATACTGTATATATACAGTATATATATAAATATGTGTATTGGTTCCATTTTTCATTACTCTTTTCATCTATTGTTACTCTCTGCTATGCACATGTTTGTTGCTAATTTTTTCTCTTTTCTCCTTAAGATTATGCGAGATTACTAAATTATTTATAATAACAATATTCAAATAAGCTATTTACTATATTAGTATTGATCGTAGTGAGTTTACTGAAACTGTTGAACATTTAAAAAAGATGGTACAAATTAGTTTCTTTCCATCTCTTTGAATGAATATAATTGAGAGAGAAATACATGTAGTGACACGACCACAACAAAGCAACAAACAAAGAAAATATATTTAGAAGATGTTTTCTATGTTATTTTGATACTACAGTATGTTATGCTAATATTAAGGTCATTAATAAAGATAATCTTGAATTTTTGTAGTTTTAAGGTTTCTTTGAAAATTACTATTATACATCAATGGTTTAGTGGTTTCAGCACCTGAGTTATAATCATCTTCCAAGATAAAGCAGTATTCGAGTAAAAGGGTATATTAAAGTCTGGGCCAAACTGTTTATTTAAATGGAGAAATATCTTTAAGTGGTGAGATTGGATCAGACACTAGCAGACAACACTAACGAAAAGGATAGAGGTTTTTAAGAGTTTATTGATTAGACACGATGAAAACGGTGAGAGAATTGTACTGATGATAGAATTATAAATTCATTCACTTCATTCAAGTTAGCAAACAGCTAAGAGGTGGAAATTTGCGGAGAGGGGAGACAGGCAAAGGTAAGGAGAAGTATCTAACAGTCTTTTTAGATCACAAAGGAGGAGTATGCTAACAGTACTAAATAAAAGAGATGAAATGAATAAATATCCTGGCATTTATTGATACTCCTCTCTCTTAGGTAGTACTGTCATTGATTCTTAAACGATGTAGATGTTATGCAAACAAAAGAGAAAACAAAAGCCACTACGGATTCAATCTTCTTACTTCTTTAATTTATCTAACAGGTTTAATTAAATTGTTACAGTGAGAGAGTATTAGTTCATTTAGCAGAATTGGCAACTTTCTTTTTGTCTTTATAGGCAACAATAATAATTGGAATGTACGGGAAAGAAGGAAGAGAGAAAGAAAGAGATAGACAGATAGTTTAACAGAAGGAGAGAACGAAAAAAGTTTATATTAATCTTTCTCTTTACAATTATCCTCTGCTTTTAGGCCTTTTTAATTAATCTTGTGTTATCTTCTTCAATTTTAGTAGAAATATATATTAACATAGAAGGAAGAAGACATAAGAATTTATGAAAAGTACTCATATTCCGAATTATCTTAAAAAGCGTCTTGTCAAGTAATTAAGAGTATTAAAGGAACATGATTTTTGAAATTTTTTTAAAAATTATTCTAGGTGGTGATAATTAATAATATTTAAAGATCTGATCTTTTTGGTTAATTTTCTGAGATGTCAGGTATTTCATACACGAGAGACGCTTTTAATTTAATTGATAGGGCTTAGTTTACACCTTTAGAGGAATAGGATCTTTTCTATGAGATAACCAATGAAATAAGACATTTTTACAAAAACATAGTGCCTTTTAGTACTAGTTGTTTTACACAGATGGATAGATATATGTTGTATATACTGTATATGCAATATATACACACTCATACAAGTATACATGTTGCATATGTACAATATACTGCATTATATCCTAGTGACTAACACAGCAATATAGGGAATTTTATTTGTGTATGTTTTTAATTAGTTTCTTTTCATCATACTGTACAGTCTTTTACTATATAGTGCACAACGTCCATTTTATTTGAATTGTTGAAAAAATGGACGCCATCTTCTGGTGTGATAAACATAGTACCGTAATAAGTATATAGACAACTTTTAAGTTGTTAATTTAAAGATTAAGCTTGTAGGAGATTAGATAGAGACTATATAATAAACCCTTCGTTTATATAATAGTTAGTAATTTGCGGTTTCTACGTCATTTATATCTTTAATTATTTCATCTCTTTTTATTATGTTTACTTAAAGGATGCTGGTATTTGGGCGTCTCTTTTCTAGTGTAATTAAGAATAATAGACAGTATACTTTATATATAAACAGTACAACCAGTTATCATTAATCAAATGGAACACTTGTAAAATACTTTAATAGTTTACTTAATTAATATATATTAATATATATTAATATACATATACTGTATATAAGTGTTTGTTACACGATTACTCATGTTCCAATTAATAACATCAACTTGAAATACATTAAATATTATAATACTAATAACAATAATAATACTGTATACTGTAAATTTTAATGAGATAAAAACAACGTACTTTTGATGTCTTTGATAATAAACCAGTTGGAATACAACGTACATCCCAAGCAAAGAATAGTGTAGGATATGAGGAACAGATAGGCGTACGTTTACATACTCAATAGCTGACGACATCTACTTAATTATGACAAATCGTCATAACATTTACATTTAATTTGTCTAGATTATATAAGTAATATATAAACAACCGTCAATATATCAATATAAAGATTCTTACCTTTAACTTAGTTCTCTCGGTTTTTTTTATGTTCTTTTTGTTAAAGTTAAAATTGCTTTATTCAAGTGGCAAATATTTAATCAGAAATTAAATAGCTAATTAATTAAATATAGATGATAAATTTTTTTTATTTCTAGGAAATGAGTTAAGAGTTGAATTGTTCTTACTTAAGTAGCTTCGCTATGTCTGTTTTCCTTTATTATGTTCTTGTTAGTCGTAACTTTTAACAGTTGATGAGTGCCATCTACGGGAATGTCAATTTAATATCTTTTCCACTGTTCCTCATAACGAATATTTCTTTTAATAAATTGTTTGTACATTCATTTTTGAATTAGGCCTAAAGTTTTATGACGATCCATTCGAATAGTGTGATTTTATAATAGCAAATTAATTAGGTGAGGTGAAAAAGTAGACTAATGTAGAAGACTTAAAAGAACAGTTTAAGAAGATTTAGTGCAACTGAAAATAGAACAAAACTTTCTTCGAAATTCTTTAACTGTATACAGATATATCAGCGGATTCCAAAAGCTATTACTTATGGCTAAAAAAGTAATATAAAAGTGAATTGAGCCAATGGGATGTCCAGTAACCATTTCCGGTATAATAGATCCCATTAAATATGGTGTCCAAGCTATCAAGAGTCCGAAATGTAGCACAAACATTGTTTTAATAGATTTAAAGTGTATCGCATAAAGTTGTCGACGATTTAAATGGTTTTGCTCTTGTATTCGCTTGGCTTGTTTCCTTACGAGAAGGTAAATATTAATATCAGAGATCAAAGCCACTATTGTTGGGAGGAAGAGAGAAACTAATGTCTTTAGTATAGTTAAAACAGTTGCGGAAACATTGTATTGGCAGATATAACTATCTGTTTCGTATCTAGAGACCTCCTTATTAAAAAGTATTTCAACGCAAAAGCCAAGAACCAATATCCATGTGACGGCTATGCAAGGTAGACAGAATTTTTCAATTTTCACAAATACGAACGGCTTCTTAATAGATATAAATTTAAATATTGTTATAAGCATCATATTTAAAAGAGAGGACATACAGCAAACGTGTATGAAAAATACATCAAATGAACAATATCTATCCGTTAAGATACTTTCTTGCTTGAGTATGACATATATATTTCTTGATAATCCAGAACATCCCAGAAAACAATCCGCTACTGCCAATGAAATAATTAACTTGATAATAAAAGGAGGCAGCGATTTGATAGATGATATTAGTTTTATTGTTGACGCATTAAGAATTATCATTAACATCTCTGAGAAAAGATACGCTAACCATTTAATATCTTTAGCCGTTATATGAGACCAAGCTTGAGGTAGCTCCCTACTCTGGTTAAACATTCTACTGGTGTGAAAAACAAATTGAAGGGCGTCATAACCTTACCATGGAATCACTTATCATGAAATTATGTTTATACCTGACAAAAATGTCAATGACTTTTAACAGTATTTTACGTTTACGTATTTCTTTCTTACTCTTATTAATGAAAAAATACTGGCTGATTTAAAACACAGAAGAATCTGAAGAGAAAGAAGCTTTTAAGGAAGAGAAAGCGATAGGGACGGAAGGAAGAATAAAGAGTAGAAAATGTAATTCTGGATATATAATAGGGTGAAATGTATTTTTATAACAAATAAAAAGCAGACTTAATAGTTGTCTTTTATCAGTTTTGTTCTTTTATAGTGAATTTTTCATATTCTGAATGTAAGACAACTCTTCAAAACAAATACAAATACCTTTAAATTGTCCGTACACGTATAAAAGAAGATTTTGTAATGGTCTTCGTGAAAGTGGTACAGGAAAAGATTCAATATATACAGTTTACAGGGAAGAAATAAAGAAAAGACCAGCAGAGAAAAGTTAATCATTTATTTTTCATCTATTCACTTTCGCCAGGATGAAATTTGTTCTAGCGTTTATCTGCTCTATACTCCTTTCGGTTTCTACTTGTCCAAGACGATTTAAACACGAGTCTAATGATAAATCTGTACGATTTCTATCTTCTTCTCTTTTCCTTTTCTATATTATTTTATGAAATTTTGCAGTTGAAAACTTCTCTCTCGGAGATCCTATTTAAAAGTGAGAAAAACTTAATGAAAGCAAAATGGTTTTCCCTTACCAATAATAGATGGTTTTTTATTGCGCAATCGGATTATTTATATTGTATATGCATTAAAAAATGTTCAAAGAGCACTGTAAACAGTTGGAAATGTGAAATGGAATGTAAACTTAAACATCCTGCTCATCATTCTCAAAAATGCTCACCTGATTCTACATGAAATCTGACGCAACATATAAAATATTCAAACAATACGAAAAAGATGAGAGGTTAGCTATTATGATCAGTACTCTTATCATTTGTACAACATTTCATTATAATATGTGACTATATTGAATAAATGTTTTGCATCTGTGATATAAAAAGAGGATAGCCTAAAGGTGGATTAGCTGCTTGAACAGTTAAATTTCTTAGAATTGAAGGTTCGGCCTGAATACTATATCTTTCGTCGTCATCGTTGGTCATATAGAATAATTCCAAAGATAAATTTGCCCATTGAGATTTTACAGATTCTTCTTCTAGAGCAGCTATAAAAAACTCTTCATCTTCTCTCCTAGTAAGATTCCTACTGCAAAAAGTCTTAGTCTCCTCCGTGTATTGGAGTAGAAAGATATTTTCAATTCTCTTTTCAATCATTTCAATTAATTCTTTATCATTTTCTAAGCCAATAAACCAATTTTCGTTCATATCAATTAGACTATCTTGCAATTCTTCATTAGTTTCAGGACAAATTAAAAAATGATTTAAACTTGCTCGAAGACAATACCTTGAATAAAAGGATTTTTTTGCGGTTAATGAATATTCATAGGTAATAAATACTAGAATGAACGTATTTGAAACATTGAATACCTTACTGAAACTTTAATAGCATGCTTTAGCGGCTCGTTTAGACTCTCTTGAACAATTCCTTTATAAAGTTTATAGATATGTTGAGCGTTAAAGAAATCACCTATTAAATGATAAAGCGAATATTTTTCTATTAATAGTGAACTATAAACTATTACCTTCTTTTAATATAATATTTTTGGATAAATATGCAAATTTCAGCAAATTATTCTCATTGAATATCCAATCATTTTCCTTGTTTTTGATGCAATTTAACCAGTCCTTATCTATTGAATATTTATGTTCGTATTGAATGTGTGAAAGGGAACTTTCAAATGAATAGCTTGAATAAATTTCCCTAATAAGTTTCCAAGTAAGTACTTTAGGTAAGTTTGATTTGAAAATTTCAATAAATTCTTTAGAGTCGATTACACCGGTTAAACGATTTTTAACGTCTGAATAGGTTTCAATTTTGTTCCTGCTAATCGGTTTGAAGGTACATTTTGTTGGAAAATATCTATTGTAGAAGGAGAATCTATCAAAATATCTTTCGAATTTATCATCTAAAAATGCCGCCTCGACTGTATGGCACGAAGTTTCTTGTAACTCTAAACCCTTCACTGAAATATGCTTATAACAGAAGCCTTCTTCTTCTATACTAATCCATAAAATTCTATCTTGATTGCGTAATAGAAACATTGATCCAGCTGGGCAATAACCAAATTTACCAGTTTCCATACACTCTTGAAATAATTTACATACACCTTGCAACATATCGTTGTAGATAAGTTGGTCGAGATTATCATTCGTAGTTGGACTAGGATTTGTTAAGCAAGATTTCCTTAACCTTGGAAAGGATGGAAATATGAGTATGGGAAGAGTAAAAAGGGGTAGAAGAGAAGTAGAAATTACACTCGATATTAGAATAACAGAAACCGTGTATGGAAATGTCAAAATATTAAAACAAACTACCAAAGGTAAACTCGATCTTCTCATTTTTTTATATGTGCAAAAGTTGATTAACAGTTTTGTGTAGAAGGCGATCTTTTCGAAAAAATTAAACAGAATTTTTAGGCCTAAACTAATGAAGAACAGAAGTAATGGCTTCTCTAATTCACCATCGGCTATTTTTAGAAAATAAACAATGCTAAATATGCAAATATCAAAATGTGATGAAACTGTTTTCTGCCATCCCTAATCAATAAGAAGTTAAGGTATATTTAAAATATAATTTAGAAATTGTACGAAACAAACCCTTCTATTAGTTCTGAAACTTGCCAAAATTGACCAAACATCTTTCTTTTTAACATCGGTTAAAAGAGTATAATTAAACATTTGTATCAATAATGGAATAACTATAAGGGAAAAAAGAAAAGAAAAACACAATAAAGTAACTAATTTTGATCTTTGATCTCTTTATTTATCTTTCGTTTTTTTCATCTTGAAATAGTTATGTTACCTAATCTATGTAGAATTCGGTAAATGTAGTCGCATGTTTCTGATAGCTTTGTTTTTCTTTTGAAGAGAAAATTACTATTACTTTGAACTATTGAACAAAAGATAAATAGCCCAAAGAGGCCAATGCACCCATAGTTCAATGCCTTTTGGTTATCCAATTCGATTGTGTAGCATACGGTTGTTAATCCAGAAGATAGAATAATTATAATTAAATAATTAATGAATTGTTTCAAGTTCTTTCTTCTTCGGATTACATCAATAAAACAATTGTAATCCAATGATAAAGTGAGAGAAAAACAATTTAAGAGGATTGGAAGAGTAAGATTGGCCTTTGGTACGAAATTCAAGGATACTAGACAACACATCGACAGTAAGAGATTAATTAAAGATCTAACAGAAAAAAGACATATTTCTATTAATGGAATTAATTAATAAAACTGCAATTACCGTAAATTCGATGAAGATTCCGTTGATCCAAAACCCAAAGTATTTATTTGTTCAATAGACCATAGAACAAAGACTTTAATTGGTGGAAGAAATCCTATTGTCCATAGAATAGGTAAGATACAAAATATATATTGGAGATAATTATCAAAAAATTCCAATTCCTCTTTAAAGATTACACTTTTAATGGTAAAACAAGAAATTATACAGACTATCTATTGAAATCGCCTCTAATTTTTTAGTAGCTTATCGTTTTTACCTTTTTAAATAATCGATAAAGACAATGATTAAAATGTAGAAACTTCTGAGAAATGAGGTCATTCTATCATTTGATTCGAGGACAGCAACCTCTTGAGGTGTTCTAAAGATGAGTGGGTAGACACCCAAGGAAACAGTAATCCAAGAAAAAACACAGATTATTATTGATGTATAATTCGCCATTAATTTGTCATTACAATTGAATAAGAATGTGAAAAAGTTTACAATTATACAAGTAACAAATTGCGCAATTAATAAAATCTTTTTCTCTCTATTAGGCATTAAAAATTCAAGCGTTTCTTCACCAAAACCATCGAATTCTATATCATTTTCATCATCGAAAAGTTTGCGCTTAAAAGGAACAATCTTTTCTTTACTCTTTCTCTTTTTAAATATTCTTATCGAATGTAAAATAGAATAAAGAATACATAATAGAAAAGTATGAACTGCTGCTAGAATATGGATATCAAAGGACGATTTGTAATAGACGAAAGTAAATATTCCACCACTTATAGATGGTAGTAATAACAAAGTAATTTGGAGGAGAATAATGTAGATAGGTATTGTAAAGTCGGCAGAAATTTTTACTCCTCCTAATATTGTTGTTAGTATGCGATTTTTAAGAAATCTTCTCTTATATTCGCTTAGCAGAGGTACTTGACTCGTCATTATTTTCTCTCTTTTTTATTATCGCTTCTCCTCCTCCTTCCCCTTCTTCTTCTTCCTTTTCTTTTTCTTTTTCTTCTTTATTCCCTTTTATCTTATTCCTTTCTTTCAAATAGATGTTCTACTTTTTTCCTGCTTACATTGCTTTCTTTATTACTTAAACCAAAAAGAAAAATGAATAGTTCTCTACAAAAGAGGTAGATTAGTTCAAATAATCAAGTATTATGTTTCTGTAATAGCTGGCTAAATGAACATATCCGCTTTCAAGATTACCTTTTTTACACCTTAATCAACAAACTAGTCGTCATAAAAAATTTACAAGCAGGCGTATATTCGGTATAAATATATATTTACCTTGACAACCTTGAAAAAAGTATGCCATTTTCTGATTTATTATAATTTATTCAGCTAAAATCTAGTTGCTATAGTAACTGAATATCAATTGAGACGAGAGGAGAGTTAATTATTGATAATTTTTTGTATTCATTCAAAATTTTGTTAGTTAAAATAGAAATAGACACAAAAAAAACTTTAAGCCTATCACAATATAAATGATTATGGCCTATTAATTTGTTTTTTATATGCATAAAGCAGTTTGTTAAAGGTGTTGATTGAAATAGGGGAAGAGAGGAATAAGTACACACTCAAAGAAAAGTGACATGTTTGTTTGTTAGTGTTTTTCCATTATTTTCATTTATAAGATAATGAATGGATCCAAAATTTTGATGAGCATCTTCTGTACATCTCCCGCAAATTCTTGTTTAATGAATTTCACCAGAGTTTTCTTGTATTTCGCTTTAAAAGATATTCTTATGTTTTGAAGGTCAATCTAAAAAATAATACATTAGCGTAATAGTTGATGAAATAAGAGGAAAAATAATAAAGAAAAGGCTGCGTAAAGAGATTACTTACCTCTGATCTAGCTATAAGTAGTCTATAAACTGATTCATCATCATCAACCTCTCCATTTAGTGCTTCTTTAATACGATCGGCAAAGTACTCGTAACGATCCCTTGCGAATTTAGCTGTACGTTTTTTTTATATTTTAATGGTTTTTACCTATTATATTTTAGTCAATAATATCATTTGAAAAGGAGAATATATACCTAGAAAGAGGAGACCGGTTTTTGCATTGTTTTGCAAATCTTGCTCAATAGTCTCTTCTGGAGTTTTTTCCCTTTGTTGTTTGTAGATAGAAAATACCTATTTATTTCAACATTTATGAACAATCAAGTTAATTAATCATAAGATAATTATGATATTATCGTAGGGACCTCTCTTAGATGAGCCCAACTTCTATTGGTAAAAACATCTATTAAAGAATCCATATCAGTACCTTCTCTCCCTTCCGTAGCCTGTTTTGACCAAATAGCAAAATGAACAGATATTTCTAAATAGATATCAGTGTGAAAAGAAGTAGTTGGATTAAAGATAGATATACATAACTTATAGATAGTTTCAGCATCAGCTTCAGCAAGAGATAAGTCAATATCCTTAAATTTAATTTGTTCTCTGTCAGCTTCGCAAAGTGCCAAGAGTAACTATAAATTTGAATAATTTAATATTAATAATAAAAGATATCTGATATATATACAGTATATATATATACTGTATATTCTATATATATCTTACTTTTTGTAATTGGGGCTTTTCTTGAGTTTTTGCAGCAATATCATCGGTAAGTTGTGAATTAAATTCTGTTTTTAAGGAAAGTATATAAAAAAGAACATTTGATTAAACTATATAAATAAAAAAGAGAGATCATTAAGGTGACAAGAAGAGGCTTTCTTTACTTTCATTGTAGACGTCCTTTAAGGCGATGATTTGATCTTTAGTTCCAGCGCATAGAATTTCTAATAACCAATGCTCCTTATAATCCTCTCCTTGCGCTTCCTTAAAAGTATAAAAGAAATAATAGTTAAAGAGATAATTTAGTGAACAGAGTTAAGAAAGACAAGAAGAGTAAATAAAGAAGGAGGAGGGGGAGATAAAGGCAGAAGAGATAGAGATGCAGAAATAAACTGTTCTTACGTTAGGAAATAGAGCTCTTCTTACACATTGAGCGTCAAATTCTTTTCTTGGAAGCATAAGAAAGAGTACAATTGTCTCGAAATCTCCGAGTAAATCATCTCTCAAGTCTTCAATGAGATTCTAGCAATATATTAATAATAATAATAATAATAATAATAATAATAATAATAATCTAAAAATAATTAAATAATTAGTTTACTCTATTGAAGATGTCGTTATACTTGTCTTTAACTATCTGCCTTTGCTCATTACTAAGATTAGTTAGAACGTGAATTACTGGAATTAAACTAATACCTGAAATGAAATAGAATAAAACAAATAAGTTAATAATATAAAGATGAATATTTTAATTAAAAAATTTGCATCTTCTAACCAAGTCCTTTCAGATCCTTATGAAGAAATCTTGCTGCACTCTCTGCAGCTTCTGGGCAAAAACTGTTGTTAGGCCTGATTGTTGGCTAAAGAAAAAAAATGACAATTTACAATTAGTTAATTAAAGAGACAGTAGTATAATTACTAACACATGGTGGGGCATCGTCTTTTTTAGTGGCATCCAAGCCTCTAAAAAACTTTTTTAAAGCTTCTGGATCGAATTCAGCCATAGTTTGTTTCGTTTGTTGCTAAGAGGTTTTACCGCTATTATATTAAACTGGCCTTTATTCTATATATACTGTATATATATATATATATATATATAGATATATATTCATACGTCTATATGAAGTTGGCTTCTTGTACGTTTTCGGCTATTTCTAAACTATTTAAGATAGGACAGTATACGTTAATATCGATTTTCTATATCGTTCTTTTGTCTCCATTTGAACTGGGATTATATAAAATAGGCCAACTAAATCTATCATAGATACCGCACTATTGCTATGTGGCTAAAAAATAATTGAATATGTAATTTCATGCATAAGAAGTAATATTTAATATTGTTAAAATCGTTATGTCTGTAATATTAAAGTGGATGATAAATTCATAGATTTTCTAGTTTGATTGATAAAAGTTGTTGTAAATAAATCTATTCTATGAATAAACATGAGTATGCAAAATTTATATATATATATATATATATATATATATATATATATACAATATGTATAGTATTACATTTATTTTTATTATTTTGTTTACTTCGCAAAAAAGAAAGAGCGCTATTTTAACGTGTATATTTGTGCATGACATGCTGTTTTCGTCTTCTAGTAAATTCCTCAATGCTAGTCTTTATTCTTTATTTTTAAATTAGGTTAGTTAGTTATTTTTTAATAAATAAAAAAAAAGTAATAAATATAATCGCTGTAGTCTTTCTTCTATAAAACTATCAATTCTATACGAAAAGGCGTCATACCTATTCCATAATTGAAAATGATTCCAAGAAAATAATCTTCCAGGTTTGACTAAATCTTAATATAAATTCAAAACTTACTTTTTTTTTACGGTTTCCTTTATTAAATTAAAACTGGATACCGGAGCACAAATTTACGATATTTTCTGTATCAGCAGACAGATGGCGTAGCAGGAAAGTCAAGTTGTTAAATGTTAATCTTGTTACCTAATATTATGTTTCATTTTACTTGTTAATAATGTTATTTAAAATTGTTCTAGGCTTGCTTCCTCTTTCTGAGTCAAAAACTCAATAGTTCTCATTCTCTCTCTCTCTCTCTTTCTCCTTTAAATAGTTTTGAATTTTTTATATAATAAATATTCATGATTTGATTAAATCGAAAAGGTTCATAATAAATATTTAAGGGGAGGGAAAAGCAATATATTATTACTTTCTAAACATTGGAAATGTGCGAAAGCGATTAAAAAACACAGTAAAATAGAAAAGAGAGAATTGGTAGGGGGAGTGGGTGGGTGGGACAAGGGGGCAGTGAAGAATAGGTTGAGTAATGAACGAGCTTAGAATAGAGTAGACAGTTTGTTGAATACTTAAATCTGGTAAGGGCGGGGGGGGGGGGGAGAGCGGAGAGAGAGGGAGAGAGGGAGGACTTTATTGAATTTTGACCTGAAAGAAAGACATAAAATAAAACTCTCTTTATGACTAATAATAATCAAAAAGAGAGTGTATAATAAAATATAATATAATAATTCTCCATTGAACGAAGAGCAAAAGGTAAAAGGGACTACGTTTCCTCAATACAAATAACGTCGATCATTGTTACTTTGTTAACACTTCGTTTCCCTTTCTTCTGTTTCATTTAGCTTTTTATTTGGTTCAGAAAAAAAAGGAAAAAAAATGATGTTAATAATAAATTAATTCAATAGGATTATTGAATTTTTCTTTATACGTCTAAGAATCATTAAAAGTTCTGAATGGAGAGCAAAGAACGATAAATATTAAGGACTGTTAGCATACTGTAGCTAAACAGTATATATATACTGTATATATATCTAAATATCTTTTTTAATAATGTTTCATCATCCTATTCAAGAATATAGCCATTCAAAAGAAGACAGAAATATATCTTAAAATCAATAAAATCTATGTTGTTTCAATAAATTACTTTGTTTTAAAAGTAGAAGAAATGTATAAATAATTGCCAAATAATAAAATTGATTAATTAATTAGATAGGTTTAATATTGGCCTATTAAAATATAAATAATCGAAAATTAGGTAAAAATATCCAAGATTGAAATCTACGTGAAGTAGGTTTTGTATGGATATGAATGTTTAATATTTATTTATAAATCATAAAATACTAAAAGAAATACCTATAAAGTTGTTTTTTTTTCAAGTTTTCTTTTGTTTTTGTTTAATTCTTTTTTTTTATTAAAAACAAAATATAGAAAAATAAAAGAAGACGGGTTGAAACAAGTTCAAAAGAGAACATCGATAAGAGAAATTGATCAGCATAAACGCCACTCTTCATCCATGAAAAACGATCATTTGCCTTCATTTCTCATGTTTGCCACGGATATATTTACTTGACAACTGAAAGAATGTCTGGAATAATGGAACGTCTTAGCGATACAAAAATAGTTAATAAAGTGGTTAGTATTTAAATTAAGAAAACAGAAAAGATTTCTCAACTAACTGAAAATCATGTATACAAATGTATAAATATTTATGCAACTAACCGTTCAATCATGCCAGTTCAATGAAAATGTTCAATTCATGCGTTCAGCAAGTCACATTTGTAAACACTATGTTGACATAACTACTAAAGTATTTGTGAATGATATTGAGCATTATATTCCCACTTTAGCTCGAGTCAGGATTAATCAGTTTTTTTCTATAGCCTCCAGATATGAACAAGGAAAGATCAACTCTACTTTGGTCTTACAAGACGCCCGATAAACTTTTAACTGTTAAATTAGGCGAAAATCCAGTAGAGTCTGTTAAAAAATTCATAGTTAATAATTTAACTATCCAGACCAACTACGAACTAGTTAGTATTGGAGCTGCTATAACCAAATTTATGCCTTTCACTGCTATTCCTCCTCACGCACTCTCCTATAGTGTCCTTCTCATTCTACCAACAAAAAATACTTGTCTAACAATTTGGATGGAACAGGAAAAAGTTCAAGAATTTGAAATTCATCTTCTCAAAACTGTTTTCAATTTGAAGAAGAAACTAGCCGAAGTAACTGGATGGCCAATTCATCTAATTGATTTCACTGTACGAGGAGATGTTCTTGAAAATTCAGCGCAACTAATCAATTTACGTTTGGACGACAAAATACAATTGACTCTTCAACCTTCTCCACATTTCTTTATAAACATTGAAACATTTTGGGGGAAAACATACGAAATTGAAATAAACCAATTAACAACGGCCAGACAATTGATCAAATCAACTTTGATACAAACATTAACAGATGATGTACGATTTAACTATAAAATGTATTTACCCAATGAAAAATCATTTAAGCACTTGATAATGATTAAATTTAACGGAATCTTGTTAAAATACGACGAATGCTTGAATAAATATAGGATTAAAGTTGGTGACCGTATAAAGCTGTTAACAACAGGCCAAGAAAGATGCGAAGAGAATATTCAAGTTCATTTAACTATTTTAAATGGTAATTTATTCCAATTGCTTTTGGCAAAATACGATAATTGGTTTATTGCCTATTTAAAGCTATTAAGTAATTCTGAAATTTACGTAAATAGCATAAAGATACGTTTGAATGGAAATTATGTCAATTGGGAAGAGCCAATTCTTTCTTCCTCCATAGATACTTCTAATAAAATTATTATTAAAGCAAATGTTGACACGATTAACGAATCTGTAAAGAAATCGTCTACTGAATGTCTTCAATTAGCTGTTAGAGCGCCATCTGGGGTCATTCACCATGTTCAAGTTGATAAAACTGCAAAGATAAGGGACGTTAGAAGAAAGTTAAAAGAAGAGAAATGTATGGAAAATCTTAAACATATGAAATTTTCGTACGATTATCAAGTTTTACCTTCGAATTATTCGCTCAATGATTTATCGTCAAATGATGAAATCTATTTGGAATTAAAGTTCAAATCGTTACCAATTATCGTAAAAACCAAGACGAATTCAAGCATTTGCTTTAATCTACCTATTAATACGAGTTTAAGAGAGATTATTGAAAAGGTTAAGCCCGGTCGAAATAATATAGGAATTATGATGGGAGGAGAATATCTGAAAGAGAAAGAAGGTTCTCTCCTAACAGACTACGGTTTATACGTCAATAGTTGTATTTGGTTGCGTAATATTGAATTTGAACAAATAATGTATCTATCATCTGAAAATAGTCAACAAATACCTCTGACAATCAGAACTGACGGTGTTGATTCGACTCAACTGCAAGAATTACATCTTTCGCCCGGTAGTAGAATATCTTTACAGCTTTTCATCAATTGGAGGTACAAGAAGCAACTTCAATTTCGTTCTGATAAGATAATTATTACTAGTTGGCATAAGAAAGGTTCAAAACCGGATTTAATCTTAGCCGAAGATAATAGTCGTTTATTAAACAATGGAAAAACTGGAAAAAGTATTAAATTTCAAGATAATCATGAAGATAACCGTGGAAAAGTCAATGATAGAATAAAATTAGACAAATATTCTTTACAACCATCAACATCGTTAGAATATAGGCGACTAAAACAGCAAACCTTGTTAAAGAATCGTCTATTCGAGAGTTTTACCGTTGATAGGAAGAAGAATGATTATAAAAGTAATTTCTGGTCGAGCGATGAACTAAGACGATTAGTTAGAACTCCTAGTCTTAAATTATCCGTTTCATATGAAAATCAATCGAAATTCAAGATTTGATTTTTTTTTATCTCATTAATTATGTAAATTTATGCAAATAAATAACAATATATTTTTTATAATGAAGTGATGTTTTGTATTAAAACAATTAACGATACTTTACGGTAATAAGTTTTCAGTGACAAAACAGGTTCAAGGCATATATATATATAATTTTAAATATACTGTATTATTTGTATATTTAGCTTTCAAGCGTCCCATTTTCCCTCCAACCGACAGCCTCCAAAAGAAAGAAAAAGGAAATAGAAACTTCTTCATTACCATTTGTAATTAACATAGTTTTGTTCTGTTTTTATTTTTGGTTCTTTTTTATGATCTAAGTTCTAAAAATCTATTAGAGAGTTGAGAATAGTTCTGACCAACTGGTGGACCTTGAGGAGGCTGATTTGGAAAGAGGATATTACGTAGCTGGGACGTACTTACACGAGGTACTTGCTTAGCATTCTGAGCCAAGAATTTACTCCAAGGACCTTGACCGAATGCTTTCGTTAAATTTTGTGCTAAAAGTAAAATATCACGTTTTATAGTTAGTATATCAACAAGTACAATTCCACCAAATGTAACGCTCATCATAGCTATAGCCACGCTTCCGTAAGTATTAGCATCTGCAGCTTCCGTTGGAGTATTATCACTTGAATCTGTTTGTGAAAATTGCATCATTATTATCATCCGTCTACAATATATTATACATAATATATAGTATATAAATGTATACTGTATATATATCATTTACCTGAGCATTCTTTCGGCGATGGTTCCCAACTAACCGTATTTCCTGAAGGTTTACAATATGATACAAACCAATCCTTTGTTACGGTTTTACCGTCTTCGACTATAGTTGTCTTATAATTTTGCGGACAAGAGAAATTTGCATATGTCCAAGAAGATGTCTTTGTTGTGTTCGCTTTAATATTTGTAGATACAATAACATTCAAACAGTGAGATATTTTACAAGATGGCAATACGCCTATCCATTCTCCATTTTCATTGCAAAACATAGATGTTGAAGCCGGAAGGCTTGTATCATTTTTAGTTGCATTTGCAACCCTAGAGGATATTGCAGAATTTCCTTTTTCTGAATCCAGTTGATATCCAGTTCGACACGTGTACACAATCGTATTACCGTACGATGTGCTAAGATTTGAAGGTACAGCATTATCCACAACAATAACAGCTGGACATGTTATGAGAACACAGCCTATTTGCCTAAAGAAGATACTGATTGCCCATTGACCGTTCTCTTGACAGATTCCCTTTATTTGTGTTTGAATTTCACTTTTCGGTGTTTGCGCTCCCAGTTTAAATTGATATCCTTTCAAGCATTTATATTTTACAATAGAATTCATATTGATAGTTGAATAAATAGCTTCAGCATGTGGTAATTTATATGGTGTACCGCAGACTATTTCAACGCAATCGGGAACTGTATTATTCCATTGCGAACCAGGATTACACTTTATTCCCCATTTACGGGCGTTTGAATTGGCAAATTTATGACCTTCTTTACACGTATACTCCCAAACACTGTCCAAGTCAGTTGTATTTCCCTTTCGGATACTATTGGCTGGATATGGTGCCGATGGACATCGATTAGTTAAACAATTTCCGACTTCACTAGACCATTTACCAATCTCCAAGCATGTTATTATTGTTTGCTGAGTACCGTCAGGTAATCTCGAATCGTTATTACATTGTATTTTAAGTTTAGTTTCCGCTATATGAGAAACTGATGAAGAGTTGACTTTCAAAGTAGAACTGAAATCTGCGGACGAACAGAACGTTTGTTTACAGGCTGGAGGATCCTTATTTGACCATTCGGAATTTTCGTTACAGGTTATAGATAGCTTAAGACTACCATCGGGGAACGAATGTTGCTTAAAGCAACTATATTTGATGACAGTTTTCATTGGAAATACTGACGGACGATTATCAGTAGCGTTAATAACGAAAGGTGGTGGTTTGCAATTTGTTTGGGAACAGGGCCTAAGCGTTGAAGGAACCCAGGCTAAAGATTTAGTACAGTTTAAGATCTTTCTCACTTGTCCATCGGGAAATCTCATACCAGGTTCACATTCTATCAAAGAATATGACTCTGAAACAAGCTGTTTTACAATAGCATTTTTAACTTCAGGAGGTGGTCCGCAACGATTTATTCCACAAGATGGACTCCTCGGGTGCATAGCACCTGACAATTTACAGAATGACCAAACGCCTTCTCTACCGTCAGTATGAAGTTGACCTTTTGGACATTTCATAAAATATTCACCCGGGTATTTAATAACCCGATCAACATATTCCAATCCTTCGAGAATCTTAAATTTGCATAAAATATCTCGACATCTCCAAAGTTTTGCATCATAAGACCATTTTTTTGTTGCCAAACAAGTAATAGTTCTACTTATACCACGATCTTCGTATTCCATACCAATTGGACAGGTATATTCAACAGTAGATCCAATCAAGAATACTTCCGGTTTTGAAATGATGGCGTGTGGAATAACAGATGGAGATGGGCAAACAATTGCTTTGCATTGAGGTACTCCTCGACTCCAGCGATCTCCTAAGCAGGAGACTTTGATCGATTGTAAAGTTGAATCTTCTATAAATTCATATCCTTCGTGACAGACAAAAGTAACGTATAAACCTTTTGAAACATAGCCTTCAGGGCCATATTTGTTCGCATTGGGTACGACAGCTAGTCCTTGACAAATAACATCTTCTTGTTTTACGGGAGGATCAGTTGGCTTGGGATTAGGATCAAATTTGTCTGTAGGTTTTGGAGTCGTTGCAGGTGGTAATTCGCAAACAGGAGATGCACCCGACCAACTTTTATCGCCTTGGCATTTTCTTGTCAAATCTCCTGATTTTAAAATATAGCCAAAATTGCATGAATAAGTTTTTTCCTGACCAAATCCATTCTGACCAAATACTTGTGCATTAAAGACAATAGGAGGCTCTGGACATTCTATCGGTTCACAACTAATTGGAGAACCTGACCAACTGGTATCAGCTTGACAAATAATTTCTTTATCTCCTTCGCTTTGTTCGTGTCCCTCGAAGCATTTATAAAAGATTTTCGACTGAAAAACGTATTCTTCTCCATATGCGATAGCGTTAGTTGGATTTTCCGGTTTACCGCAAGCCAATCTCTTACAAATAGGAAGTGTTCCAGTCCATTCCCGATTTGCTTGACAAATTCTAGTAACTACTTTTCCGTCGTCTGTTGAGAATCCATCTTGGCAAATATATTTCAAACTATCTCCGAAACGATAAGAATCTCCTTCAATTACTGCAAATGGTATAACTTCTGGAACTGTACAATTGACCCTTTCGCAAACTGGCTTTTCATCTCTCCAGACTTTATCAGCGTCACATTTAATTTGAAGATTTCCGCTAATTTTTTCATAACCATTATCGCATACATAAGTAACAACATCTTCAAATAAGAATTGCCCACTTTTCTCACCATTACTAATATCTCCAGGATCACCGCAAGTTATTTCTATAAAATATTAATATTAAAGGTTTACATATGTAAATAGATATATGAATTTTATACTTTCGCAAACTGGTAATGTGCCATTCCATTTCCTATCTTCTAAACATTGTATTATAAACACTCCTTTAGTTTTATAATAGCCAGGATAGCAAGTGTAATTTACGTAATCTAAATAAGAGAATGACGTTTCCTTGTAGCTGGCATGGTCTACCTGTGACGCCGGACCGCAAGAAACCTCTGTTGAAGGAAAAGAGCATTGAATTAATTAGCAATAGAAATTAATATTTTTTGTTTGTTGTACTTTTGCAAACTGGCCAGGGTGCATTCCAAATAAGACTATCATTAACTAGAATACACTGAAGAGACAAGTTTCCGCTGGTTAGCTCATATCCTGTATCGCATTCATAGACAATAGTATCGTTATAGTAGAAGGAACCCTTTCTGGTCGAATTGTAAATAGTTGGAGGATCTGAACAAGTATCTCGATCGCACACGGCGGATGGATGAGACCAAGTTTTATTTGATTCACATTCAAGACTTAGGAAACCCGTTACATTTGTAAAACCAGGATGACATTCATAATTAACAACTCCTTGATATAAGAAATTCGTATATCTTCTTGTTCCATTTCCAGTAGTTCCTGGATCGCCGCAAGATATTCTTTCGCAGACCAGTGTTTCACCACTCCATAGAGCGCTGGCTAGACATGTATGCTCATGATCGCCACTTTTTCTTTGATATCCCTCGTCGCAATCCCATCTAATTGTATCATTGTAGAGGAAATTATGCCAATTTATAGTTGCATTATCGACTTTCTCAGGGAATCCGCAATTTAGTCTAAGGCAAACTGGAGGAGCGCCCGTCCAAAGTCCAGTATCTAAACATGTTCGAACAAAGGTACCACCAGTAAGATTATAACCTGTAACGCAATCAAAAGTAGTATTTTCTCCTATTTTCGTTCCATAATCAATTCGTGTTGTTAGATTTACATCTGGCAAAGGTGGACAATGTGTACGTACACAGTGTGGTTTTTCACTCCAAGTAAAATTAGCCTGACAAGTTGAAAAGTTATGTTTGGCAATGACGAAATACTGATCACAGAAATAATCCGCTCTATCTTCATATTTTGTCATAGTAAAGTTTCTACCTCCATTATTAATAGTAGGAGGAGACTTACAATCAACAATTGGACACGTGGGAGCTTCACCAGTCCAAGTTCCATTGTCCAAACATGTTCTACTTAAATTTCCACTAAACCAATAATAACCCAAAACACATGAATATGTTATTGTAATATTTAATGGAAAAATTTGAGTGACTGGTAGCCTAGTTGAATTTATAACGGGGGGAGGTTCAGGACATTCAACTCTCTTGCAAGATGGTAAAGTTGACCAGGAACCGTTAGCGAGGCAAGTTGTCGTACTAGAGTTTACCAATGAGAAATACCGATTACAATAGTAAGTTGCTACTGCTTGATAGAAAGTATGTAATGAAATTGTCAAGTTAACCTGTCCATTGGCTATTAGTGGAAAGTTTCCGCATGATGCATCTGTAACGAAAAGTAAAATAAAGATAATATATTCAATTTACAATATATAGTGCCACGGTGTATTTACTTACATTCGCAAACGGGCTCCTGACCAGTATACGTTCCGTTTTCAGTGCATTTTCTTACAATATCGCCACCCACGTGTACGTTTCCAGTTGTACATGTATATGTTATATTGGTATCAACTAGAAAATCGTTGGTTATACGAGTTGTATTTGTTGGTTCACCAGGATCAGGACAAGTTACTCCTACATTAAAAACAGTTTGAATTACTTGAATTAGAAAGCTTTAAATTTATGAATTATCTTACTATTGCAGATTGGACTTTCAGTCCAACTTCCGTTGTCCTGACAATGGATTCTATCATTTCCAATCATTTCGAAATGCTCTGCACAAGTATAATTAACTGTTTGTTGATATTTTGTTCCTTCAACATGTTTAGTAGAATATTTAACGATAGCTGGCTCCTTACAATCGACAAGGGAACAGTCTGAAGCTCCAGTTGGAATCCAGATACGCTCAGATCCACATATGTAAGTAAGATTCTTATATCTTAGGTCATTGTCTAATACTTCGTATCCTAATTGGCAACTGTATGTTGCCTTGTCCAGATAAGCGAATCCTGATTTTTCGACAAAAGTTGAGTAGGTGTAATTTGAAGGAGGTGTGGAGCACTCGAAATCTGTAAGAAATCATCATTTCATATGTATTAATATATTTAACCGTTCAATATATTTTCAATTTTTAGTCTTACATTCGCAAGCAAATGTAGTAGGTGTAGAGCAATCTTGGGATTCAAAAATTTTTGCTGCTGGCCTCAAGTAAATAACACATTCTCCTACATTGCTGTTTAAAACATTCTGAATTGATTCCACAGTGTCATTTCTACCTTCGAAGAAAAACTCATTATCTCTTTTTCTTGCTCCTATAAATATTTTCCTGTAAAGGTTGTGTAATAAAGTTAATACGGATTATTAATTTTGTTATTCCAGATATATTAAAAAACAAACCCCGAAGGTTCAACATCTTTCGAATATTCCCTAAGAAACTCTGACGTCCCATCCTCTATTGCTTCTTTAGAGATCAATAAGCCATGATTACTTTCACAATGATTTTTAGCATGAACATAACTAGCTTTAGCATTAGCAACGCCATCAAAAGATGAATGATAGAAACATCTATGAGTCTTTGTTGTAGGACGAAAAGGTAGAGGGCAGTAATCTGTTTTAAATATATTTATTTTCTAAACATTTACAGTGATTTTTGATGAAAAACTTCAATATTAATATTAGTATAAATTAACATATAGTTACGTTGGCACTTATAACTTTGTGTACTCCAGCTGCCTGTCTTTAGGCAAGCTACGTTGGTTATATTTTTTGGAGCCCACATAATCTCCGTTTCCGGTTGAGTTGAAATATAAAAGTTTTCCTTACAAGCCAGAGTTGCTAAGTGAGAATACTCTGTCAGAGTTTGATAAACCCAGATTCCATCATGTACCGTTGTGAGATTTCCACAATTTATTTCTGTTAAAAGATTGAATATTAAATAATAACACTTTTATAATTTCTGTTAGTTGTTGTTCAAATGACATGGAAATATCTTACTGTTCTCACAGTTGTTGCCTGAATAGCCTGGTGCGCAAATACATTCATAATGCGGAGAGATGTTCTGTGGAAAACACGTTCCTCCATTATGACAAGTATCTTGTTGACAGTAGTTATGTTTATCTAATTTAATAAAAGTATATGAACTAATAAGTGGTTGAAATTGATATTTTATGATAAATTTTACTTGAATAGCATTTAAGAGCACCGAAATTCAGTTCAAATTCATATCCATTAGGCCAATATACTTTATAAATTGGTACTCTACTCTTTCCTATTATATAGCCACTATCTTCATCGTCAAACATACATTGACAGGGGCGATAATTCGGACCAGGATAATCGCATATACGATTTGTCACTTCGTCAGATATACTAAAAAATGCTGATTCGGGTGTTGCTACCATAATGTTTGAAATATGATGTTTAGAGGCACATTCAATATCAACATCTTGAGTACACACATAAAATAGACTTTTAAACTGTTCAATTAGTTCAAACGAATAACTGTTAACATAGAGATCTAATTAATATTCTATAGAGAAAATGTTCAAAAGGAATAATCACCCCAAATCAAAGGTAGTGTTTTCTTGAGTCTGAAAATTAAATTGTAGTCTTGTCAAAATAGGTGAACCAAAATGGCAATTTACGCTTAGTGGTTTATGTTTACCATCTGGTCCATCAATATCAATATACTTTTGAGCATACCCTGTTAGCAGTGGGGAATTTTCTTTAATATCATTACAGGTTTTCTCATATACTGCAGCTATTTTGAGGATTGAAAGAAGCTTGTTTAAATATTCATTCATTAAAAGATAAAATATATATTATGTCTAATTGAATTATAACTTACTATTACAAGTGGCTGCTGTATTATTAAACCAAGCCCAATCGTTCAGTGTACATGTTAATACAAATCGATGATTTTCGGGAAAACCATTCTCGTATCCAGGTTTACATATATATTCTTTAATTGCACCTAATGTATGTGTTCCGAATATTGAGACAATCTTTGCATTAGCCACCGCCGGCGGAGTAACTGCGCAATTATGAAGTGTGCATTCTGCCGATGACAAATTCCAGGATCCGTCTGAGCCACAAAGTAGAGGTTGTACTATCGATGCACCGTTTAATGAATATTCGTTGTTACAAGTTAAAATTTCAGTGTCGCCTACATGATAGTTTTTTTTGGCAAGCAAACTCAAATTGAAATTATTAAACGTTGAAAACTCTGGACATTTAGTTGCCTGGCATAAGAATGGTGCGACACTTTCACAGCCGACGACATGATATTTTAAAGGATTTGAAGAGTTACATAACGAGGCATGAACACATTTATTTTCTGTAAGGTCATTTGCACTCGCCGCCCATAATGAATGTTCAGTCAAAGGTGACTCATCAGACCAAACGATAGCTCCGCTCTTTCTAAACAAACCAATAAGCGCACTTGTCGAACCAAATTCGTAATGAGTTCTTATCAATGTTGCCAAGTTTACGTCCTCTAGCTTTGCTAATGTTGAATCTAGCTGTTCGCATATATATTTAGCTTCGTCTCTTGTGCCAACAAGATTTACGGATTGCGATGGCCAATAGCAAGTTTCATTGTAAAGAACAAAATTCTCGGGGCAGTTCACTATAAACATACAATTGAATTCCTATACAGTATATTTCCAATGAATGAAACTAAAAGAAAAGAGTAGAATTAAAAATGTATAAAGACTTACAGTAACACGAAAGCGTATTCTCTCCCGACCATGAACCGGATGAGTAACAGTAGGATTCTTGTGAGCTTAATGATGATTCTAAAAATACTGTATTTGTACAATTAATCAACGCTTTTGAGCCGTAAACTGGTAATTGCCCAGGAGGATCGTACGTTACAGTTAGGTCGCCAGTAGCAGTAAGATTTGTACAAACTTTCGCTAAATTGATGATATTATTTGAAAATTTCCATTAAATAAGTTTGGTTGTGAGAGATGTTTTGTAAATAATCTACTTACGTATTTTACAATGTTCATCAAGTTCAACAGGATAACCTGGATGGCAATGACAACCGTAAGTTGAAGTTGTTTTTAAGTAACAATTTCCGTGATCTCCGCAAGGATTAGTTGAGCATGGATTTATAAGACCACCGGTAAAATAGCCATAAGATACACAAACTAAAGGACCAATGCTTATCTCTAAAGATAAATCATTTGTGGGAGGAGCATACTTGATCGCTTTAATTGGTAACTTCTCTTTATTCACAATATTTCCATAATCCATAGTCGGAGAACCCATATTATCGCATTTACAAGGCATTCTAGGATCTTCATTCTTGCACATACTATCAGTGTCATATGCCCAATCAGTACTAGTTTTCTCAACATTATTACTTTCGTAAACCCATGAAATGGATTTACTAACCATGTAACTACTTGTACAAGATATCTTAACTTCTTGATAGCAATATGGTGAGGCATTGACTACATCTCTAAAAAACAATAATTTTAAAGAGATATATTATTCAATTGATCGTAAAATAGTAAAATATTCTTACTTGACTTGCTCATAAGGTGTATTACCTCCTTTTCCGTATTTATATTCAATTGTACAAATACCGCTGTTACATTCTGCATTTCCATTTCTTTCAACACTTATATAATTTCTATGAAGTTCATGCGACGCATCGCACATACCATGTAGGTTAAAGCTGGCCTTATATTCGATACTGTAGTCACCGCTATAAGGTGCATCTTTACAATCAATAGCGACATCTTAAAAAAAGAAGATAAATGAAAATATATTGTTTATTATATATTTAATGTTATTTACTTGAAAGACTAAAATAAAACTTTCTTCCATTTGTTGTTTGATACATATCTTTCACTTCGGAATGAGAAAAGTGTTTCTGAATTGTTTTAAGACCCAAAATATGAACAATATTTTCCACACAATTAGAACTGCTTCCTGATGAACCTGTATTTCCACAACAAACTGCTTCTGCTGGGCCAGACAGAGTCAATATGCTGTTAGACCTTTCATTTTCAGAATTGCTATTTAAATATATGTTTTCTTGTCCGTTTTGTATTGTTATCACCAAGTTATATAGAATATCTTTGTCTATTGATTTATTCCATACAAGTCTTCCTTGGATTGACACAAACAATTGTAATGACGCCGAACTAAATGCGGCAATGGCAATGGACAGCAAATTAGATTGTTTAAATAAATTGATGTATGAGCCAGGATTAACTTTTTCTGCTTGAAACCATATATCAATTGTTATGTTGGTGGTTATTGGGCTAGCTTCGTCAAATCTTAATGCGCACGCTTGTGTGGCTACCTGTTGAGTTATGGATATAGAATTCCAGTGTTGATGTATGTCTTCTTTCGACAGAACATTAAAATTGGTCGTGTCAACGTGTACTGTTTTTGTTTGACCATAGTTAGAAGTATAACTTCCCCCATTTATGTGAAATGAATGAGTAAAGTCAAAGAAATATCTCATAAGTATATCATCTTGACCGAAGATAGAAGATTCTAAAAAAAATAAAAAAATACTGGATTTTATCAATTATCAAAGAGAATAAGAAGTAAAAATAAACAATAAAATATCTATTACCTGTACAATCTGATGAATCGAAATTTTCCAAAACTCCATTCAAACATTTAAAAGTCTTTTCCCTCTCTAATTTGCCTTCCCACGTTCTGAACCAGTCTTCGCATGTATAATCAACCGTTTCACCATGCCTAAGAAAGCTTTTTTTACTAAGACGAATCTCTCTATCGCCATTAAGAAGGGGAGCTTCACAAAATCCTAAAAAGAAAAAATATCATAAAAATAACATATTCATTGAATAGGAAAGAAAATACTAATTGAGAAACAGTATAAACGAATAATTTTCTTACCACAGTTTTTCATATTGCATAGTTGTTTTACAGCGCCATCATAACAAAATGGTTCGTCATTGGATGATCCTGGGTTTCGACAAAAATTCTCAGCATGACTAGGATGAATATCTGGTAAATTCGGTTGAGAACTTGGCCAAGGAGTACAGATTCCTAATTTTGTTTTTCCAACATAATCTTCACCTTTACTGGTCATATAGCAATCTAGAAAATAAGTAAATATTAAATAAATATGCGTGCATTAACCATTTAATCTCAAAGCTTGGTTTCAAAAAGATATACCTGTCCATTTAATGCATTGAACTTTGCTGTTTGACCAAGTGTTAGTGGCAGTTGTAAAAGGAAATTGATCTGCCGGACCATTATGGCCCGACCCACTCGTAGCACAGGTAGTACTAAGTCTCCATTTGTTTAATGTCAAATATTTGAATAGATAAACATTAGGGCTTTTGTAATGGGGTTGGGGGCAATCGACGCTGGTTGCTTCATACGAGTAAATACCAGAGTATGAACCAGCAACTTTGATCTTCTCACATATATAGTCTACGGAATAGTTAATAATCATCTTAGAATAATGTTCTTTATTATTTCTCTTATTTTATGATAAGATAACAGAAATAGCTTACTTTCACAAGGTGCTTCGTTTTTATCATCGGCTCGTATCCAAACATCATTTATGCACTCATAAGTAGTATGCTTTAGAATAGACTTTGGTGAATCGAAGCCTTCGATTTGAGGTCTATAACAGTAATGTTTAAGAGTTAGGTCGGTTTCATTCTGATGATATACTGTGATGAGATTTTCAACAGTTTCTATAGTCGGACAGTCACCTGTAACAAAAGAGAATATCAATGAAATTTGTCAAAAAAAGAAGATAATAAACTATAGAGGATTAACAATATATTAGAATAATACAATAGTGTTTAATAGGTCTTGTATATATTGTATATTTATATATTACTTACACTCTATATACTTTAAAATAAATAAGAAGAAGAGACATATAGGGACAACGGCATTTGTTAACATTTCACTCAGAGTAAAGAACAACTGAAATAACACAATACCTCTACATATACTAAATAAATTAATGAAGCGTCGCCCGGGTAAAGTTTTAGCATTCAAAGTAAAATTATATAATTAATGTTTATAAGATCTCCCTCATAAACCAATTGATCGTCGATATCTTAAATAATAAGTATACAAGGTATTTACATTTTATTCTATACACTGCAAATCTAAATAATGGAATGAATATGGATATCTATAAATAAACAATTTGATGAAATCATTATTGAAAATTATATTAATATTATTCTATTTTAGCTAACTGACTATGTTTTATTGTCATTTTAAAGTTAGCTTTCTTATCTATTTCATTTTGGGGTTGAGGAGAGAGAGAGAGAGTGAGAGAGAGAGAGGAGGGGGAGGGGGGGGAGGGAAAGAGTGGAAGATAAGCTGAATTAATAGTTTTTCTAAATCAGCTCAGCTTACTGTTAATAACTCATCAAAAATATTTTTTACCACCAATATTCCTCTAGATCATTTATACAAAATTAATTAAATAATACAATATTAAAACGGTTTTTTAACAGTTTTCCTCTTTAAATATGAATATGACTTTTCAAAAACGCAAGCTTATATTGAATGTTTTAAAAAACTTTTTATGATTTGTATTGACCTATATAATATTTAAAATTTTGCTTAGTCACATGTTTGCAATTGAATGATTTAGCTTCAAAAAATATCTTCTATCAGTAAAAATACACTGAACGACAAAAGCAAAACAACAAATTAGATTTTGTTTTCAGTATAAACTATACAAGCCGGGTTAATTAATATCTGTAGTTCTCGGTAGAGGAACAAGAGGGCGCTTGTTTCTTCTTGGCTGTATCCCTATGCTAGAACAGTAGATGGAGCCATTTACATGTGATGCACATTCTGCTTTGGGAAATTACCCTTTTTGTGAGATGAAAAATCGATATGTTACGGATTTCTAAGTAAAAAATAAACCAGACTTGAACAATCTCTCTCGTAGAATGAGTAGAGAGAAATATCTTTACTATATCTTCAATTTGAAGTATATTTGGCGATCTGATGTCGCTGCTGTCGGTAAGTCTTGCTACTAATAACTCATTTTATAATACGTATATATGCTGAATATATTGCAGCATTGGTATAAACAAGGCGGAGAATATAAAATAACACTTCAGCAAATAGTAAGTGTTTGATAACAATTTTCCATTTTACCATATTTCAATGCAATTATATTGAGATAAATGACTGCTGGTCTAATATATTTCATTTATGTTAATCTGCGCTAAAAGGTGTTAAAACACGTATTGGTAACGTACATTAGCATTTAGTATACATATCATATTATATTTTGGCCTATACATTCTGCTAATGACCTAAGGGAAAAGTAATAGTAACAACAATAGTGCTTATTGTTTAATGATATTGGTCTTAAGTTGCCGGCAATTATCAACTATTGTTCTAAAAGACATTTTTCGCAGCTAATTGGTAATGTTGTCAAATAGGAGTTTAAAGTCCATTTTCCTTTTCTTTGTAGTCCGGAAAACGGAAGAAAACCAATAGATTCTTTAAGTTTGTGCTCTCTTTTCAACTATTCAACCATTCTTCTAATATACCAGATTGTATTTGATTAAAACACGTTATACGAAAAAGAGGCTATCTTTTGTCTAACAGACTCACAAATACGAGACTAGAGTATAAAGGATAAATAACAATTCCTTAAAGTTGACTTTGTTTATTTGGTCTTCAATTGTGAATAAAAGCCGTATTCTCTTTTATAATTAGATGAAAAGGTGTAGGACTGCAGGCCTAAGAGAAAACATATTTCTCTTGTTTGTTTATGTCTTCATTTTTCCGATTGTTCAATAAGTTTCAACAAGATGTTGTTTTTTAATATTTACATTAGAAGAGAAATGATTTGTGAAATACTTTCTGATACATCGGTTCATAGAGAACACTTTTTATATTATAAAAAATAGACGTATTGCTTAACAGAAACTCATTGTAGTATTTGCGAGTCGGTGAAGGCGTTCGAGTGTTTAGTAACAGATGTTTGTTTATTAAAAAATTACTAAATTTATGGAACATATTCTTATTTTTTCAGAAAGAAGCTGCTCTTACATGAACGAAAATGTTTGTAACAAAACGCGCAAGTCAGACGAGTCGTAAAAAGACAATCTTTCTAATTTGTTTAGTATTATCCTTATGCTCCATTATATTGTTAATGGCCGATCGGTTACTTTCTATAAATTTTCCTTCTGCATCTTTTATATCCATATATACAAGCGAATTGAATAGGAAAAGTATGACAACAGAATTACAACTGAACACCTCTGGTTGTATTATTACTTATGTACCCATTTGGAGTTATGAAGCTCAATATTTCTTTAAAAAAAAACCTCCAGTAAACTGTTTAAAAGGAAATTTAATTAATAATTGTACATTCCTTAATGATGGATTCTTAACAATAAGCGATTTAGGGATTAAAAAATTAACTTCAGAGAAGGCGAAATGTTATTATAGGTCTATCAAACGCCAAACTGGTTCTGAGAATAGTCCTATTATTGGTGAATGGAAAAAATTTAATTATAAGCAAAGAAAACAAATTGATTATGAATTTATTCAAGTAAAATGCGAAGGAGCTAAAAAGCTTTTATACGAAAACTTCCATACTCAAGCTTTGGTTAAAGAACCTCTTATCAAACAGAGCGTAAACAATCAACCTCACATTCTGCTTATATCCATTGATTCTATATCGTCGAATTCCTTAAAGAGGAACATGCCAGATGTTGTCGATCTTATTACTAAAAATATGTCTGCTTTCGAAATGAAAGGTCAACTTAAAATTGATGGTCCAACATTGCGCAATTTCCTTGGGCTGTTGACTGGTTTTCCTTATGAGCAAGTAAAAAACTTCAAGACAAATAGCTACTTAGATAAGATTAATTTTATCTGGAAAGATTTCGGTGAGAAAGGCTATTTAAGATTTATTGGAGAGGATAGACCAGAAATTGGTACTTACAATTATATGGTTAAAGGCTTTGATCAACAACCTCTTGAATACTGGTCTAAGCCATTTGAATTGGTTGCTGAGAATGGTAGATTAAGAAAAAAAGCTGTACCCGATACATGTTATGGTGAAACTTCAAGTATTAAAGCTATTCATAATTATCTTTTTGATATTATTCGAGTGAATAATGGTTCACCTATATGGGCTCATATCCATCAAAGCCATCATGTTCACGCCGATTTTAATGGGCTTTCATCTGTATCGAATGATTACTATCAATTTTTTAAGACGATTATTGACAAGGGCCTACATGAAACTTCTTTTGTATTCTTCTTCTCTGATCATGGTATTAGATATGGTGAATTTCGTCAGACATATGTTGGACGTTTAGAGCAGCATATGCCTTTTATGTACGTTATTCCACCGAAAAACTTTGAAAAACACTACCCAGAGTACTATGAGGCATTGAATATCAATACTAAACGTTTAACAACGTTATACGATCTGTACCAGACAATGTTCCATATTCTTCATTTAAACAATATGACTTATAGGAACGACAGTCAAATACCGAAAAGAGAAGGCAACGGACAATCACTTTTTACTGAAATATCAGAAGAGAGAAGTTGCAAAACTGCACCCTTGAAGCCTGTTGAATGTTTATGTATGACAAATGTTATCATACCGAAAAATACTACATTGGCGAAAACAGGGGCAAACCTAATTGTTCAATCGATGAATAAAAGATTAAAGACTTTTAACGTAACTAAGAAATGCTCGAAATTAAAGCTCAAATCAATATTAAAAGCTGTTCAACTTTCTACAAAAGAAACTAAAGTTACTAAAATACTACTAACTGTTCTTGTTGCGCCATCTGATGGTATTTTTGAGGTGCTAATTAGCTATACGCAAGATACGAAATTATATACTATCATAAGTGACTTTAGTCGCATTAATTCTTACGGAAATCAATCACACTGCGTTGACGATAGAGAAATAAAAAATATATGTTATTGCCAACTTTAAGATGTCTCTTTGTATCTTTGTTAGTGATTAGCATTGATCTATAACTATCGTTTTTGTTTTGATTGTATTTAGAGAAGAAAATAAAAATAATACAATTTATAAATAAAGGAAATTATCCAGCTATTCAATCGCTACTTGAACAGAACGATAGGAGAATTTTCAACTTGATCTTCGAGAGCGCAAATTTTAAGAGAGAGAGAGAGAGAGAGAGAGAGAGAGAGAGATGCAGAAGATAGGAGGAATGTGATGATATCATTAAACAAATTATAATTAGATGCTTTGAAATATTTTATTGTTTTTTTTGAATTTTTGTCTCTTAGCAATGATAATTGATTAAATTAAGAAGAAAGAGAAAAGTAAAGAAAGAGTCTATAATGAAATAAGAAGACAAATTTTATTCTCTCTTTCATCTATTTTATACTTCCTTCTCTTTCTTTTCTTTTTAAATTTTATAGACATATTCACAATAGATATATAACCTTGCATTTATCAGCCATTTTGTTATATATATATATATATATATAACATACTACTAACTAATTCAACTTTTTTTTTAACTTTACAGAACATTTTCTTTTTTCCAGTTTAAATAATCATCTGCAAACAAATTGGACGAATTATCCTAACAATCTATTCTCTAACTAATTATTCATTAGGAGTTAAATTTAAAATTTAAAATTCTAGAATGCATTATTAATATTAATATTATAATTATTTTGTTTTGCCTATATTTCTACTTAAATTTCACTTAATCTTCTTCCCAGTTCTTTCTTTCTTCGTTTAATGTCTTTTTTTTTCTTTTTAAGGCAATTTCAATGACCTTACATGTCGCCGAAAATACCAGCAAAGGTTTTTCGTAAATTTTTCATGGTGTCGCCATCTTCAGACTCTTCCATGTCTCTTGCGGCTGCTTCTACTTCTGCTGCTGTAGGTGGCGCAGCTCTCTGTTGTGGCGGCTGATTACTGAAAATTAAATTTTATAATTTGTGAGAAAACAGTGATTTTGTTTAAAAATGTTATTATCAACATAAGTAGTACTTGATAAGAGAAGGAGAAAGAAATCGAAGGAAGTAAATAGTAGAAATAAGAATAAGGTTAGATAAAGTCTAATTATAATATTGTAATATACTGTATATATATAAAGTATATAGAGCGAATAGAGTGCATATATAAAGTATGATTATAGATATCATATACATAGACATTTGCTTGGAATCGTTTCTTATAGTTCCGCCACGTAGGTGACTTTTCAGTTTATTTCACTAAGTAATATATGATAATACTTCAGGGCTATTTCTCTATTTACAATGATTATCTACATTTTAAACTGATATATTTAGACTTAGAGTTTACATTATACACTTCGTTAATCTACTTACTGTCCGTCTCTTATTCCCGGTCGGCCTTGTTGCATTGGACCACCGGCTCTTTGTTGCATTTGAGGATGAATCGGACCTTGGTTAGGACCTTGACCTTGTCGAGGAGGTTGGGCCGATTGGCTTAAAGATCTATGCATTTGTTGTTGCTGTTGATGAGGCGATCTTTGAACCTGTCCTGCGTTCTGAGGATTTGGATGGCCTCGCTGCTGTTGAGGAGGTGGTTGGGGCGGGGGTTGAGATTGCATTCGAGATTGGGTTGGTTGAGTATTGCTTCTCTGCAAAGGGGGATTTGGCGATCTGTGTTCATTGGGAAGAGGATGAGACGTCTGTTGCTGTTGTTGCTGCGGGGGTTGCTGCTGCTGTTGAGGTTGCTGAGGAACCTTTTGCATTTGATTAGGTAATGGTTTCTGTTGTTGCTGTTGTTGTTGTTGCTGTTGTTGTTGTTGCTGTTGCTGTTGCTGTTGCTGTTCTCGATTTTGGACGATATTTGAAATAGGAGTAGAGATAGAGCTGGTTCGTCTTATTGCGCTCATCTTAGCTATAACCAGTTGCGCGATATGCTGGCGATCTTCTTCTTGACTCTCACCTTATAGTAAAATATACAAATGCCATTTTAGAAAAGAAATTTAGAGTGCTTATACAGTAGATATATATATATATAATGGAAAAGAAGCTTTTATTCTACCTAATAGGGGCATCGCGCTATCTTGAATATCAATAATTTGATGTTTTCCATCTTGACCGCAAACAACTTGAACACGTACAATATCCAAACCTCCAAATAATTTACTCACTTCGTCTGCCCATAGTTTAAAAGTTTCGTTAACCGGTATCTGTTCCAACATTGCAGATCCGGTATTAGCTTTCCAATTAGCCGAAATTGACTTTCTAATAAAAGCTTTATAGTTTTGACCAATTTTCTGGATATATAAATCATATTTCGTATCTACTAGAGGTTCAACAGTTGAATAGCAATCAGCTAGTGCAGCTACAGAGGCAGCATCGTGAAATTGATGGTGATCGTCAACCTTAAGTTTACCAACTCCTCCATGGGCTTGACCCATTTTAACAACAGATGGAAACTTTGGTGGTACGAGCTGTTTGATAAATAGAGAAATTTTATTAAATCAACATAAAAGACCAGTTGTATTTGTTAATTATGTTCATTTTTTAATTAATTGTCCACTTGGCAGTGATAGTAATAGTAAAAAAGGACAAACGATTACAGTAAAGGTTATATGTTCTCTGCATATTATAATACTTATAATGTTAGTAGAGAAGAGGGAAAATTAGGTGAGAAAGAGTAACAGTGAACAAGTACATGAACACTATATAGATAAGTTCGTGTATTGCAGTTATATCAATATATACAGTATATGTTACATATATACTAATATTATACCTACCACATGTACTGTATTTACAATACATCTTAAATACTCGACATATATACTGTAGAATAATTTGACGAAAAGGTGCGTTCATGCAATGCGGTGAAAAGCGGACACTCACCCATAAATTACTCACCATCTCTCTATGATTTGGATAATATGATTGTTCAATTAGAGGAAATCGTTCCTTTCCTAATCTCCGTTGAATTTCAATTAAGTTGGAGTACTATTGTTTTTTGTGACAAAGAAAAGAGACAAGATTAGAATTAAGAAAAACAGTATTATCTATCAAAAAATTCGGAGGTTTAATAAAACAGAATTAGCTTTGTTTCTCTTTGCTCGTTTTTCTTCTTCTCTATCTTGTTTTATTATCATTTAAGAAAGCGGAAAAAAAGAAGAGAAAAAAAAGATTGGAAGGTATTTTCTATGAGTTTTGCTAAGTGGAACGGAAGAGTTTCAGGGAGAGAAAATAGGATATAATTAATAGCATTTCCTAGGAGCTAAAGTGTATGAAATGGAAGATTTTCTATCTCTAGAATTTAACGCCATCCATTTAGTTTTATATCTTTTTATGCTTATTTACAGGTGGAAAGTAAACTTTTATGACGTCATTGGTAAATAAAAAGCTTCAAATAGTTCCTAGGTAGTTGTTCTCTCTAACTAAATCGGGTAATTTATCATTTTCACGTCATTGATCTCTGTAGAGTGTAGCAATTATTGTAATATTAATTTACTCTCTCTCTCTCTCTCTCTCTCTCTTCCTATCAGTCGTATTGATATCGGAAGATATATAACAAAAAGTCAATTTTAAATGGAATTTTTCGACTTAGTGAAAACGGTGTCAAGACCAGAAAATCGGCTTCGTTAGTCTTAATGACGTCATCGAAATTTGACAAGTATCCACAAGAGTAGAATAAAATAGACACTTCTCTTTTAAAAGATTTCCCTGTTTTTATATTCTAAACATTCGATCATCAATAATTGTTTTTTATAAAAAAAGAACAAGAGTTAAGTAAGATCCAGAAGAGACGCCTTTCGTGATGTCAATCTTTTTTTAGTACTGCATTAAAATATTAGGTTGCGTAAATAGCAATTTAAAAAAAAAACACTCGAAAGAAGTCTAGCCTCTTTTTAAGAAGAATGAAAAGGAAAAGATAAAAATTCATTTAACATCCTTTATTTGAGTACTTACCACCCAAGGCCTATCCAAGAATAGGTAACAACTATGTAAAGAGTTAACAGCAGCCACTGCACCATAATTTAAACCGATGATTAAATTTCGCCAATCTGTGTGAGCATCTCTAACATATTGCCTTATTAGGACAAAATCTGGTTTAAAACTCCTAACGACTTTTCCACCTTGTCTTGTTGTTCTAATATCAACAACTGCTCCTTGATCCGAATAAGCAGATAAATTCAATTCTCCAAATGTGGCTTGTTCAACTCTAATATCATAATCGTTTGGTAGTTTCTTGTTTCTAAAATATCTCGACCAGTCGGTATGTTCATCATCTATTATAAGTAAAGTTCTGCAGCGTTCCTGATAACCGGAAATGGATAGAGAATGGCATCAGAGATGAAGAGGAAGGAGAAGTTATGAAAGACAAAAAAAGAAGAATAATATTAATAATACAATCTCAAATTAGATATTTTGTAAAGAGGAGAAAGAATATATTAGATTAGAAACGTATTTATAAGAATAATTATAATATTCTCATTGTAGATATTTTATCATTTCTACACGTTATTTCGTATAATTAACAATATAGAGTAACTCTAGAAACCGTTAGTTATTTATTACTTGGAACAGACGTCCAACGTCCGGAATATCTTTCAGTAAAGTAAGCTTTTATACGACAGAGATGGGCGAAATAACGAAGCTTTTTAATAGTTATCATAAGGCCTTTTTTTGTAAGAATAGTATATAACAAACCTATTGTTACCATTTCTAATTGCCAATGATAAAATAGTGCAAAAGGGAAGATGAAATGTATAAATTCAACAGAAATACTATAAATAATCATTTTGTTCTTTACTTCTATACATAATTATTTCTATATAAATTTTCTATTTACATTATTCTATATTTATCTTATTATTAAATTATTTGTACTTTACCCACAATACTTTTTACTTAACGGGAAATAAAAAGAAATAAGCCAACCGAACGAAGTCGACGATGATAAATCGATTATACAAAGGGAAAAAAAAATAATGTGACGTCATAACTATTTATAACCATGTCGGTGTCTCCAAATGACCGTTTCACAGTATAGGGAGAGGATATCAAATAGGCCTAAAAATTGTCCGTTCAATTTTTTTCAATGATGACGCAAAGCGTTAATAAGTCGTTGAGGAGCAAACGATATAATCGATAAATGTCAGCATTCTTTATTCAAAGTTATAAAAATGGCAATAAGAGTATAAGAGTATATTAACAAACCGTATGCTATTTTGTTGAATTTCTCTTGGGACAAAAATTGGACGACGTAAACAGCTTTTTATACGGAACAGAATTCCTTTAAATTTGTTTTACTCTGCTATTTGGTTGATGGTCTTTTCTTTTGTAAGGTCACTATCGGGCGTCATCTTATCGATAAGAAGAGTAAAGTTTGTCCTCTTTTTTTCACTCTCCCCCTCTTTCTCTGTTTCTCTTAAATTCTCTAAAGGAATATTTACTCAAGATCACTTTAAAAGAAGCTAAAAAGACAAGTTGAAAATGGCCTTAATAACACTTAAATGGGTCTTTCGCAATTTTGAGTGGGCTAGAGAGAAGAGAATTCTTCTGGGTGGTTTATTGATAGAAGCAGTGAAAAATCTGCCGGAATTCATAGAAATAAATTATATAAGGCTAGTGAAATCCCTAAGGGTAATATTCATTCTTCTGGACTATTTCACTCCAGAAGGAATTCGTCTTGTCTACATCATGTCTTTCAATACGCTATAATTAATATCTAAGTTAAAGTCTGTACCATTAACTTGCATATATTATTTCCTATTTATAGCAAAAAGAATATATTCAACGTAATACATTTCCTAAAAAGCACAATAACGTTGTACTTAATAAACCTAAATCTCCCTTTTTTTATCCAAAACCCTACAGATGGAGTTTTATAAAAGAAATATATATCAAAGCACTTTCATAGATGATCCATAAAATATATAGGGGAGCATGAAATAATCAATTGAAAACTGATCTTTATAAGGAATAAAATGATTGCACATGTTCTTTAGTATTTTTAATTAATTAATTAATTAATTATTAATATATGTATGTTTTCATAAATTCTATTAAAAATTAAGCTCATTAGAGAGATAGAGATAGACTGACGGGTTCGAGAGTGGTTGAAGAAAGTAAGGAATATATCCAATTGTAGAATATATAAATGAGAAGAGAGAAGATAATTTAAATATTAAAATTATGTCAATAATCCCCTGCCGCCTAATTATTCTCAATATCCTTTTTTTTCCTATTTCGATATAAAATTAGAAAATTTCGTTCGCCAACTAAAGATATAAAATGAATGAAAATCGGATTAAAAAGATCTGGATAATATTGAAATATCAGCGCAATTACAGCTTTCTATCGTTCCTATTATTTCCATCCAATCATAGTTTTGGGTATTCACTCCTTATTTTTTCTATTATGGAATGTTTAGTAAAAGATAGGAATGCACTTAGTTAGGTTTTCATTTATATATATATATATAATATATATATAGTATGTAGTTTATCCTTGTAAAAGATAATTGATAAGTATAAATCCATATATGTGGAACATGTACTACAGTATATATATATAGCACATATTAATTTATACTGTATTTGTGAATAGCCATACTGTATAGGCTATATGCTATTTGTTTGTATATAAATATATATACATATATAAATATTTATATATATGTATAGATATACATATGTTCAAAAATTCTCTTTATATAAAGATATATAACTACATAAAAAACTTATAATAGAAAGAACAAATGAAAAATTTACACAATACCTTATTATAAGACTGTGCAGCAGTACTAGCCGCAGTTGCAGCCCTATTTGCGGCCGATGCAGCTGCATTATAAAGCTTTTGTGTAACACTACCGAATGTTGACGGTGGATGGTTACGACTAGGACTTGTAGGCGCTGACGGAGAAGGGCCATGTTTCTTTGGCTGAGTTGTCCAGCTAGTTCTTGACTGTCTTTGCTGCTCTTCCTCCTCGTTCTGAATGTCTTCTTGTAAGTCGCTTGATGAAAAGCGACGTCTTAGATAAGACATTCCAGTCGAGAAATTTCTTGAAAAATTCATATTTGCAGTTTTATTTCTCTATTTTCAGTAGAGGGTGAACAAAAAACTACTGCTATAGCAGGCCGAACGCCATTTAGAATTGTTGATAGGCTGTGCGGCGTCTATCGATTATTCGGGCGTCTAGAGTGGCGTCTAGCGTAGATATTTAATGAATCGTTACGTTTGGTATAGTTGATAGGCTTGATTGGTGAGGATTATGAAATAAATGCTTCAAATCTCTTCCGACAATCTCTTGGAGAAAATCGTGTAACAGGTAAAGAAGAAATGGCATCATCGGAGAGTACTTCATTACCCTTTTTAGGCTCATAACACTGCCAAAATAAGAAAAAAGTATAATGCTTTACACAATTACTACTTCTATGCCGTAAAAACTAGACGTGTTATTATTTCAAGTAAAGTGTTTTCAGCTTTATTATAAACAACTATTATTATAAAAGTTCACTGTATTTTCTCAAGCCGTTTATAGCAAACCTTGCCAAAGATTTATATAGATATCAAACTGAATTTAGACTTGGATTGGAAATTGGGGAAACACGTGATATATGGCAACAAAGCCATTATTAATCATTTGCTTTCGAAGGAGGAAAAGGACTCTAATTAATAGGCCTAAACGCTACTAAAACATAAAAACAAGAAAATCTCTCAAGTTAAAAAAAAAACAACAAGAACAATAATAAAGATTGTCTTTCGAAAGATTTAATTAAAAAAATTCGACGCCTTTTATGATATAGAAGAAGAGTACACGGAGGGTTTTATAGAGAATTTTCTAATAAAAATATCTAGTTATTTTTTAACCAACCGTCAGATGGCGTTCAAAAAGAGGGAAAAGGGTGGGAGGGAGGAGAGAGAAAGATAAATAGATAGATAGATGTAGCAATATGTACATTGGAGTATGAAGTATATATTGTATTTATATCCTTTGTTTTTAACTAATATGTGGAGATTTATCTTTATTAATCTAGAAATATTTATTCAATGATTTTATTGTCATTTTTTATAATTAATAAAAAGATATAACAAGCGAATAAACTCGAAATGATTATGAGAAGGAGACGATGGGAGTGAGGGGTGGGAAATGGAGAGAGAATAGTAGAAGGTATTATTGAGACAATAGGGGAAAACTATGGAAGAATAATAATCTAAAGAAAGATTTTTTTCATCATATTCTTCTTTAATCTTAAATTTATCGAAGACGATTAGAAGAATCAGCAAGGAGAAAAATTATAACATTTTATCAAGGGAATAATCGCCGTTAGTCCCTCACTGTTTCTCTCTTACTTCTTTCCTTTCACGTTTCTTTTTTTCTATTTTTATTTTGTCCCCTTTATCTTCTCTTTCTTCTCAATTCCCTTCCCAAGCGTTCCTTTCAATTTCAATTTTCACTAGCAACTTGTTCGAATAGATAAATATTTTTGTAATAGAAAACAAGGAATTATAATAATAATAATAGTAATAATAATAATCATGGAAATAGCGTCTCTAACAAGTCACACTCCAATCTTCTTTGACCTTCTGAAATTAAAAATATAATACCATCATTAACATGGCCGACTTTTTCAAAATGTTTAACCTTTTAAAATCTCTATTGAACTTACTTTAGAAATGGTCCTAACCATCTCTGAGCTTGATTTGGAAATCTTTTAGGTATAAGATCGATTTCTAGAGACGTTGGTATGATTTTCAATTCGCTATCGTCCTTCGTCTTCTTAACTAAGATGTAACGGCTAAAAAAGAATAGTAATTTCCATTATTAATTTTATATAATTCATAGGCCTGGATTTTAGCCTCAGGAACGCCTAAAAAAAATCAATTACTTTTTTTTTAGTGTATGTTTGAATAATACATGAAATTTTATAAAACGAATTCTGTTCCTTCTTGATCCCATTTTAACACGAGATTACATAATTAAACAAGAAAAGAATATAGGTAAAATAATTTAGCGGAGGAGGGGAGAAGGAACAAGGTAGAGATGAATTGTTATAAAATATTACTACTAATTAGGTCAAGGATATAAATTACTAGACTAGAGTTGTTCGTGATAGTTACGAGCCGAAGTTAGACAAAATAATGGCCATTGTAGCGTCTAAACGTTTTCTGCAATAAGTCTTTGATTTCGTTAAAGAGAACAAAGTATAAAGTGTAATAGGAAAATAGTCAAAATCCAACTGCATCAAGCGATAGAATTACGGTAGAATGAAACTAGTGGTAAATCAAAACAAACCGCCAAATCCATTTGTCTAATCGATTATCTCAATGTTTTAAGGGAGTAAGTAAATTATGGAATATTTTACTTGCTTATTTGCATCGTTTGTAAAGCTTATTAAGGTCTTTTCGTTTTCACGAATGATTTATTAAAGTTTTATGGAAAAGAGAAAAAAAACTTACTATGTCTTATTCGGAATACTCTTTACGGAACGTTCTTGTCTCCATTTAATTCCTTCATTTGTACGAGGATCGAATGCCGTATGGTCTTTATTGATTTCTCTATTCTTTCCAGTTTCATTTCCCCCTATTCCCCCTCCTGTAGTTTCAATTTCGTTATCTTCATCATCATCGTCGTCGTCGTATATCAACTCTTCTTTTGTTATCTTGTACCTAAATGAATATATATAAAATTGCTTATTTTGTTTGTTTACTTTATTATAAACATAAGATAATAAGTATCTTATAGTTATTAATTAATTTATTAATGACTTTAACCTAAAGCGTTGTTGTTTGACTAACGACGAACGATTTCTTAGCAAACTATGTCGGACTAGGTCGGAAAATTCTTTTAACTCTTTCTCCGCTTCGGGCGTTAAATGTAAGTTGACTGATCGATAACCAGAAGATACCAAAATCCCATTTTCGTTTATTATCATTATATCTTGATCGCTTTGAGCAAAAGCGTCAAATATTTTAGGCCTAAGGCGGTTTAATTCTCTTCCTTTTAAATTGGCTTTAACTTTACGTAGTTTTTCTTCCTTGTCTATTAGGAGTTTCTTTGCTGATCTATATTATTATTATTATTATTATTATTATTATTATTATTAAGAGGCGGGAATGGAAAAAAGAGGCTCCTTACTTTACAGAAGCTTGACTAGTAGCAATACTCAATTCGTTTCTTAACATTCTAAAAAGGTTTCTTTGCCTGACATCCCTAGATTCAACCATACCCTTTCTTCGTCTTAAATTATCATCAATTCTTTCTTGTGTCCTTTCAACTTTTAGTTCGCGTATTGTTTTTACAATTTTACTTATTTCGAATCTTTTCATTTCCCGTTCGTGCCAATTATCGAATTTCGTTCCAAAATTTATGTAATACTTGGAGTCTCTTTGACTGATGAAGAGAAATGATAATGTAAAAAAATTGGGTTAAGGGTAAACAAAACAAATGAATAAATTAATAGTATAACGTTGTTTTTGTTTATATAATAGGTAATGCACATATTTATAAGGATAAAGTTTATTCTTACCCGCATAGTATATCAAATTGATTTTGGAGTTTTTCATAATCCTTCTTTAATAACTTCTGTTTAAAGTCAAAAGGAAAACAATAAGACAAAAAATTTATATATGGGCATTTATGGTTTCCTTCAAAGGAAGCTCATTTTTTGATGCGTTCCACTTACTGATACATTATCCGTATTTCCATAAGCTATTCTGTTGGTTGGTAGTGCGCTTGCGGGCGTGTTTGGCCTTTGTTGAATTACTTGAGATTTTCTTAGTTTCTCCCTATTTAACATCAGACCTCTTTCATCTTCGGATAATCCACTTAAGTCAGTCTCTAGTTCATCAGGAAGCCTATTTGGATATTGTTTTTTTCTTCATTAAAATAAATTCCCTCTTCCCAAGGTAAAAAGAAAGCAAAGAAACTTTACCCTTTTGCATCAACCATAGAATCGTAATGATAAATGGAATTAATTAACTTTCTCTGAGACTCTACAAATTCCTTACTTCGAGTGAACTTAATCGTCTTCTTCTCTTGATTTTTCTCTAAGTGCTTCACTGGTTTCTTCCAGTAATTTTTCCACCAATTTAAATATTCCGTATTAAATTTTTCAACTTTTACGTCCGATTCTTCATTTTTCAATAAACTTATATCTAAACTATCAACATCAGTTTCCCATAGTCTTATTTTACCCGGTTGAACGAGTGTCTGTTCACTACCACCTTGACTTTCGGCAAGATCGGATAGCGAAAAACTTCTAAAGCTACCTCCTCCAGTTGCTCCAGATTCTGACGATTTTACGGTAGGAGTTTTAGATCTATAAATCTTACTTTTCTCCTGAAGACACGACTTAATTCCAACATTAACATCAACCTCAGTAGTATTCTCCATATCGGGTGTTGGCGCTATTCCCGAGTCTCGTCCGTCAAAAGATAAAGCTGATGTTGCAGGTCTAGATGCGGCAGAGCTTGGAGGCACAGATCTGCCAAGAGCCGAGTCTATTTGCCTCGAAGAGGAATAGCTCGCTTTCCTGCCCTGTACAATCTCCTCTTTGACCATAGTTGGTTCGGGTTCGGGTGTATTCACAGGGGAAGTATGAAGAGAAGGCGTACCACTGGGAATCTGAGAGCAAAGGTCTTCTTCATCCTCATCACTCTCAAATATCCCTTTCATAGAGAAAGACGTTTTAGATTTAGTAGGCGAAAAATTTAATCTTTCGGCAGACGGAACATTAATTTTCTGAGCTGATACTTTATTGTTCAAAGATTTATCGACTCTTCTAACAACTTTCGGTCTAACTGATTCCTTTTTATGAGTATTTTGACTAGGTTTCTCAGTAGTTTGAATGGATTTTTTCCTGTTTGCTTTAGCGCTAGGGCGACTCTACGAAAAGAAATAAAAGTATTATTTATCAAATAAGTAAAATTAAGAAAGAAAACAGCAAACTTTTGATAAATTCCTCCTAACGATTTGTTTAGTTTGTTCCAGTTCCTTTTCGTTCAATTCGAAATTGGCGTATGGCAAATCATGAGACGAACTAAAAGAGAACGGAAAGAAAAAGGAAAAAAAACGATATATCAATATTGGTCGAACGTGACAAAATTCATAAAAAATTTCTCTTTTTTTTAAGAAATAAATATTGAATTTACAGCTAAGTTACAATTATTTTTTTTACTAGAGATTGAAAAAAAAGAGCGATATTATCCCGCCTTTTTTCAACATTCTTACAAGGATTCTTTCAGGAAATGTGTACAGATATTTAATAAAGTGCTTATAACAAATCAAGAGATAGGAAGGGCTAGAGAAAATAGACGAGGAAGAAGGAGAACCATATTATAAGTACAATTGTATGGTTCTTCCTTCCTTTTCCTAATTAAGATATTGATATAAACTATTAATAATCATAATAGGAAAAAAATCAGAAGTTTAAGCTAAAAAGTTTTAATTATTTTTTGTTTTTCAGGCTCAATTAATACAACGTTTTATCATTGTACGATTAAGATCGATAATACCATACTTTTTTGATCCGTTTGCTCTTTTCATACTGCAATTGATTAAAAGGTAAAAACAAGAAACAAAGTAAAGCAAAATAAATAATATATACAGTATATACAAAAGCATCCTACTACTTACAATACATATAATAGAAATGGTTAATTAATATTGTTACTTTTAATACTGTTCATCCTTTTCCTTTCTTATTATAGTATGATTACTAGAAAATCGTATTAAATATTCTTGCGTTCTTTATAATGTATCTCTTACCTAATCATTATAGATGGTTGTACCAAAGGTCTCTTAGGTTTTGTACTTGTGCCTTTTGGTCTCTTATCAACTTTATATCCGGGTGGTTCTGTTCGATTAAATAGGCAAATGAGAAAAAGATAACATTTAATATTACAAACGATGTACTTATTCGTATTTTATTTAGTTCTAGTTCTTTATGTGTACTAATTATTCCAACAGACTCCTTTCCTTCCGGTTCTATTCTTCTCGAAGCAGCTTTCGACGTACCTTCCTCAGCCGTTTCTTCCACCTTTTTATTTGTTTATTATTACTTATAACAGTTGATATTTTATGTCTATTTCATACTTTACCTCATCCTTTTTGTCTAATTCATTCTCATTCTCTCCACCTTCCACGTTCGGTTGAGGTGTCGTCGAGGGAGTAACGCCAAAGTGAGGCATAGAAGGCCAAGCATCATCTACGTGTTGATACCACTTTGAACCGTGTTCAATTAGGGATTGATTGTCTAAAATTATTTCCAAAGACGCGTTAAAAGTTAATATTCAATAGTATTTATAAATACGATAATATTTAATATTTATACAGTTTATACAGTCTATTTAGATTTATAGTTTACCAGTTTTATGTTCCATCAAACTATAGTCGACATTTGCTAAATCCGTCATGGATGATGTAGTTGACATGAAAATTTCAGTTGGAGCATTTTCGTCACTTTCGTATTCACTTTCGATAATAGTCGATTCCTTTATTAGATTAAAAGAGGAATAGAATTATAAAATGTATAAATTTATATAACTCTATAATCTCTTAGTAAAGCTAGCAACGTACTTCATCCTCTACAACAACAGGCTCTTCTTTTTTGAATGGGATAACTTTTCCCAGTAAAAAATCATTGGTCAATTGAAGTTCGGGATAGGGTACCTGTTATCTCGTTAAAAATAATAACGAACTAATTAATAAAAGAAACGGAAAGGAAGAAAGAGAGAAATTAGTGCTTTGCCCTTACAAGATATAAATCCATATCTTCTGAATGAACATTAGCATCGTGCCAATCGGGATCTTCATAGATAAACGATTCTGTTGACGAATAATTTTATTATCTATATAAACTATAGACAAACTTAATGCCTCTAAAAGAACGTAATAATAGTGTTATTATAATAAAAAGATGCATGCCCTTTTGCATTAATCAATCGTGCTAAAACTCTATTTCAAGCCTTGACAAACAAGAAGTGATATTGTTTGCAACTTCTCAGCTGCCTTTAAATTATAACGAAACCTGGATCATGCAGTTTTAGCTTCTTATTAGTCTTATATCTTTCTTTATCTACTCATTTTAGCACACTATTTTCTTCGTTTATTATTATTATAAGAATTGTAGACAAATGGGAAAATGTGACTTGTGCAGATACTCAAATATTAATTTGTAAAACAAACAAGCAGAGAGAAAAACATCCAGCCAGAGTCATAGGCCTATTTAAATCATGCTTGTTTTTGCAGATGATAATATATACAGTATGTATACGCATATATAATATGATATACTGTCAATACAATATGTAAGAATGCTATATTTTATATAAGAAAATAAGAAAATCTACGTAATCTAATCGAACCTTTCCGTATTATCCATAAATTAAATCTTTCATAGGCTTAATTACAAATAAATGTCTTTTTTGGAATAGGAAAATTTTGCTTTGTAATATAAATACCTTAAATAAATAAGATATACAAAATTTCAATACAAACCGGTCTCATTGGGCAAGGCGTCTAATTGGCTCTTGGATGATATTAATGAACATATTTTTGTATGATGTATTAGGAATAAATGATTTTTCCATCCAATTAAAACATCTCCAAAGTTATTTAGAAATGCTGAAGCAGTTAATGGCGTCTCTAAATTTATCTATTAATTAGTTAATTAACGGATTATTCAATATTTAGTCACTAAGAAGAAAAGATGGAACCTCTGTTATCAAAACTTTTTCTTCTAGCCATATTTTAAGTACGCCATCTATCGATGATGATAAGTATATATTTTCTTTCATACAAGAGTCCACCGATGTAACAGGTGTTAAATGATCAGGTTTGAAAGTTGCTCTTGAAATTTTCCCTTCGTCATTTAAAACTGTGAAACGAAAAGGGCAAATATAGTAAAAACCCATTTTTAATCTATTAGTAATAAATTGCTTTAATACATGATGGGGGCATTCTCTGTAGATCATTATCAAGAACCTTTAACTTTTCGTAGACTGTTAAACCAACTTGAAAGCCCATCATTATAGAGTTTTCCTTTAAGAGCAACGTAATAAAGAAAATTTGAATGATTTCTTATGAATTATTTAAATTAAAGAACTTACTAAGACCGCAAATTGAGTTAGATCAGTTGGAGCGTAAACTTCATTCATTAGCTGTAAACTTGGCAAAGACCATATTTGAATAATGATGCACGTTCGGCCATTACATTTGACTAACAAACGATTATGATATTGATCATGCTTTAATCCCGTAATAGCTTCCTAACAAAAGTTAATTTTAATAAGATAAAAGCTTTGTTGTGTATTGCTATTGTTATTACCTTATGGGCTTGTAATTCTGCGTGCTTGAATCCTTTTTTCAATGGATCCATAAACAAGATTCTACCATCTCTTAAGCCGGCAATTACAAAGTGACCTTCTATACTTGATACTAGCCCTTCATCGGCCATTGCCTCTATATGAGATGATAAATAGCTTAAACATTCGACATTTTCGGGAGAGTTATTCATTCTACTTTCACAAACAGCTGTATAAGTTAAAATTTGATTTTTAGCCCCTCTCCTCTTTGTTACTGCATTATTTTGTGCTTTTTGAACATCAATTAAGTTCCACTCAGTCAATTTACAAGACGGATTTGTTTTGGTCGTATACAACCATGCATGCTTGCTATCTATTTGAGCATAGACGACATTCTGTTGTCTATTATAACAAGCTGTTTGCAGGAAGTTTAGCGGTGATATGTTGGGTGGGGGAAGAATTGTTGAGAGATTTTTTCTATTCTGCTGTCCAATAATTCTCATGCTAGAATCTTCGCCAATGCAAAAAATTCTGTTAGTCTTTTGACCCTGACCTTGCACTAAATTAATCGATACTATAGGGCATCTAGTTACTGAAAAAAATGTCGCCGTATTGTTCATATTCCAAACATTAACGACTTTTTCCGTTACGCTAAATAGTTGCGATGTATTCTCAATTAAGCCAAGCCAAACAATTCCCTCTGAACTGGCAGTTAGTGTATAGAGATGTTCAAAAATGTGCAAAGACCAAACTCTGATGGAACCATCCAAAGAGGAAGTAATTAGAATTGCGTCGTCATCTGGTTGATTGACAATTGCTGTTATGGCACCGGCATGGCCTCTAAATGTATGTACGTGACTTCCCTGCGTATTCCAGATTTTTACTACGGGGAGAGGAAATTAAAAGAGTTTCAATAAGGGAATTATAAAGCAAGAAGGGAAGGGATTAGTACCTGTACAATCAACAGAGGTTGTCGCCATTAGATTAACCTCCGCTGAATAAACGCAGCTTGTGATAAGTAAATCGTGAGCTCTAATATTAAATAATAAAACCTTTATTAATTACTTTTCAAGGTATTATTTTTCCATATATAGGCCTAAACTACCAACCTTTCAATGCTAAATTTCATTCTTTTCTGGAAATCGTAAACGAATAAATCACTATCTGTAGCACCATACATGAGTTGCTGTTTGTAATTAATTTGCAACATCTTGATCCATGAATCTCCGAAAGGATTTTTCAAAATTCCTTTCGATACAAGACCGTAATTTATCATAGGCTTAAGAACGTCTATTTTATTCGTAGGCTGAATTTGATCATACTTCCATATCTAAGATATAAACAAACAAATAAATGAATAATAAAAAAAGGGAAATTGATTTAATAAGATTTTATCTAGTACAAAGAACCTTAATCCCTTCTACGCTTCCGGTAAGTAACTCATCAGTCTCTCTATTAAATTTAATAAACATAATTGATGTCATTTCGCAATCAACAAGAAAAGTCTCTTCAAAGTTTCCATTTAGAACCATAAGGTTATAATTTTTCTTCAATATAAAGTAGACGTTAAACTTCTTAACATAAAGCATCTGCTTTACTACTTTGTATTCGTATTTTGGGAAATCGTAAACCTTAACGGCTGAAAGTGAAAGTATTATATAACAGGGGAGGGTTATTCGTAATTTGTCATTCTAATTATTACCCGAATCGGACACATCAGCGTAATCCCATGTCCATATTGCGCTGCCTCCAGCAATAACTAATTTTTTCGTTCTTCCATTGAAAGTGACTAAAATAGTTGAACAAGTGAAACAAAAAGGCGGTATAGTTACTTTGTTGTAGGTGCTAATTACTTAATTAAGGAGAATAATGACTTACTGGCGGAAATGCAGCAATCTTTAGAGGCATGATCTAAGCTTTTCACCGCTTGGAAACCGGAAGGAATGAATGTAAAGTTTTCTGACGTGTGTACATCGTTTAACGAACTTGAAGAAGTTTGCCCAGTATCTGCCGTCTGTATATTTTTTTATAAAGATCAAGGTCATGTTACATTACATGAGCAATTGTTTGATATGCTCCTTTATAAGACATTCTGTAAATAAAGGCAGAGGACTTTGTGTACTAATAAAAGCTTCAAAGTGTAATCTACAGTGTGCTGTTCGTGCTTAAGGATATATCTTAGATACTCTACGCAATCTATAAATTGAATATTACTTATCTATTTAAAACGTAGAGATGAATTTCTAAGAAATTAATAATCAAGTATCTTACCAATTCAGAATTTCTTGATACTATTGAATTTGATCTTGTTGAGAATGTTTCACTATCAAAATGTTGTTGTTGTGGTTGTTGTCCTTTTATTTCTTCTTCGTTTAGTGTTAAATTTGAACTCATAATATTAATCTTCACTTGCTATCTTCTTCAAAGTTTTTCCTCTCTCATTTAAAAGTATTAACAATTAACGATTTAAAAGAACGTCATAAATATCGGAATATCAAATACAAAGTTTCTATTAAAAGTATTAAGGTTATATAAGAAATTGCAACAATTAAAGAGTTTATCTCATAAATATCATTGAAAAGTTAAACCAGGATTAAAGTTGTTATTCAATTTGCATAAATTCATGAAAAATAAAATAAACAATTAAAGAAAACTATTAATTTGTATCGAAATTGTTGCACTTAGAAACGGTATATATTAGTGGTACGACGCGATCTGTTAGTTTGATAGTATGGCACGATCCGAAATAATAACTGATTAGGGATACTGCAATTGAAGAAAAAGATAGTTCTAATAGAGTTGCTCTATCCTTAATTTAGCCTTAAACATCTCCTTTTAATAATAATATTCCCCATTTGCCCTTATATACAGTTACGATCTCCAAAATTGTCCCATTAAAATATAATTGGCCCAAGTTCGAGAAGAACCTAAATATCACTGGAGATAAAAAGCGTCAGATAAACTTTGCAACACCTGGCAGAATAGGAGACGCAATAAATAAACGACGCAGGTGTTTCCCTAGTGACGTCACTGTGACTATATCCTATGACGTCATTATCGGCAACCGTATCGGTTTACTCCTGAAAAATTTTTACAGCAATCTTCTTTCAAGTTTTACGATGCGGAAAATTTCTATTTCAAATGAAAATCTGAGCTTTCAAAAATATGGCGGCGACTTCAAAAGAACCGCGATCAACAAACGAAGAGGCGCTGTAAACACGATTTTCTTTCGAAAGTGCCGGGACGCGTGCTGGATTAGACGCGAGAGTGACGGCAGGTGACGTCGCATTATTTTTAGACGCTTTTAAGGCCATTAAAGGCTTAATGTTTAAATTTTTATTTGAGGAGATTTAGGGTTAAGCTTGACGCTTGTTATATGAAAATCATTGAGGAAATCATGAATTTTTCAAGAGTTGAGGTCAAGTTTCATACCCTTTTTGCCTATTTCATTTCCTTTTCGCCACTTTTTTGTCAAGGTCTTTAAAAAACAATCAATCAGTTCTTTCCACATCTTTCTAACCTTTAAGGCAATTCTTAACCCGTTAAATTCAATCTCCACCCTTTTCCCCACCTACTCTTCAAAGTTCGTTAGAAATTTTTCAAGTATTGAATTTCATTCCATATTGCGTAATTTTGTATTATTCTTTAAACAATTTAATAGTAATAATATTAATATAAGAATAAACGGTAATATATATATACATATATATACATACATACATATATGTTAACTATAAGTGGTTAACTGTTAAATAACCACTATCACTGTCAACGACACTATCTGCCGCCATCTTACTGACACAAACAGTAACATCATCATCGCTAACTAATTCAGACAATATTTTCATAAAATTAATAGGTGCAACTAATAATTCGGCAACGCTAATTGCTGCATTTCTGGCAATAAAGTCTTGAAAGGGTTGACTATTTTGTAGCAAATACTTTAATGTTGAATAAGCCTTGCTTAAACCGGAACCATATAGTTCGTGAGCTTCGCAAATAACTCGCACGTGGTGTGCAAACGTTTCAATAGCATCAGTAGAATTTCTTAAGGCAGCGTTAACATTACGCATTAGAACGGATATCTGTTGAAAGGAGTAAAGGAAACAAACAATTAATTAAAGAGAATAAATAAATAAACAAATAAAATATTTACTTTTTCAATATTATTAAATAAATCTCTATGTTCATCCAAATTCAAAACAAATCGTCTCAAAGGACGAGTATGACAGACAGCTCCACTTTCCAAGAAATTCTCGTAATTTCGGCACAGGTTCACCAAAATATCGTCAGTACATTGCAGGTTTTCTTTACTCTCTTCCATAATCTTTTCAAACATTGTTGAATCCATATTTTTCTCGAATATACTTTGGAAGCTGGATACCGTAATATCACTTCCAATCATTGAAACATCGACGGGATTGACGGCCAATTTATCGCGTCTTTCAAACTTGTGCCATCCATTCAAAGAGCGTTTCCGTAAGAAACGTCGAATACCAAATGAAACGCTTCCGCAGCTTTGTGTACCACTCTTACGAGCGACACTAAAAATCAGGCGGCTTTTTGCGTCCGAATCTTTAAGGTGGCTATTTGTATTGGAGCAAAAAAAAAAACGCGAATTTAATGACATGAGTTACAAGACTATATCTATATAATTATAGAGAAAGGAATCTGCCAGGTACAGACAGTAGGCGCACGACTACCAGAAAGAGATAAAAAATCATTTATTTCTCCATGAACTACTCATTGGGGTATAAAAACGTGATAAATCCTACCGATAAACAAACAGATATCGCCTTACTGTTTAATGTAGACGAGTTAATTGAGAAGAGCTAATTAACAGGACTAGAGATTTACTTGAAGTTAATTGATAGCGTTTCCTATTAAGCATTTAATTAAATTAATGCTTTGATAATAGGATAGAGTCAATCCTAATGTTTGGTTCCAAGTCGGTCTTTAATGAGTAGTTATTAGATGAAGTAAAGATTGATAGAAAATAAACAAATAGTTAAAAAAGGTGACGTATTCGGCGAATTACTTTGAAAGTTGTAATTTAGTCGGTAACATTCCCTATAATTTAAACAAATTGAATAGGAAGGTATAAATGACTTACAAATTGAATTTGCATCCAAAGGTGACGCGTTCTTTTACGCAACTTACTACGGGAGTAAATCTTCTATCTCTTCCGGAAATAGAAATCTGTTAAGAAAAAATAGAAAAAAGTTAGAAAAAAACACTCTTGAACTTTCTGAATAAACAAGGCAGATGTTATACTAATAACTTACCCTCACTTGAACAGACGGCCAGCTTTCTCCGTGCAAAAGACGAGCTTCCAAAACTGCGGGATATCAACCATTATCTCGAGAAAAGAAAAGCCTAGGCCTACACTTCCACTTGATTAGATTTGTTATTGAAAAAAGTTAACCCAGGATGTCTTGTGCAAGTCTCATGCTAATGACGTCACATCAAAGGGAACCGGCGGTAAAGGGCGTTACATAAACGTCAATTAGTAAGTGTGCTTGTGAAAGTGGCGACAGGTGACTTTATTTTACTATCTTTAAAGTATATCTTTATCGAGATAGGCCAAACTAGACAATTTGTTCAGGTATATTAAAAGATGGGAGTAGAAGATAATTTCAATTTTTTTCTTTTCGAAAGGATAAGATTTTCATAAGACTTTTTACGTAAGGGACATGTGGACAGGTGTCGGCACACCTGGTCTATAAAGGCTTTGGTCATTTTTCAGGCGGTTTTTTTTCGGTGGCTTTTAGGAGATTTTTACGGGAAAGGAAAAAAGTTTAAAAAAAGAATAAACTTACCATAGACCGTTAATGTCCTATTTTCTTCCGTATAATTAACGGCAAGACGAAGTTCACCTGTTAATGATGAGAAATAACAAAGTTAACAACCTTTACTTAATTAAATTACAATTATGCTTCATTTTTTATTACTTTTTAAAAGATGTTTTAAAAATATAACTTTTTATAAGCGAGTTTGACTTTAGACCACCCCCCGCCCCGTCTATACTACCTCCCTTACTTCCCACCCACCCCGTTGTCTTGTATATTTTTTTTTCCAACAACACTCGCACGCTTTATCCTTATTCAACACCTTAAAATTACAAAAGAACCATTGCTTTAGGGCAACTTGGCCAGAATGTGTAAACAATAACTTAATCCACAAACGTAAAACCCGAAAGGAACACGAAAAGTAAGAATTCCCCTGAGGAAAGGTTTTCCTTCTATCATTAATAATCTAACTGAAATGGGAGATTTCCGAAGGAGTTTGAAAAAAATCTTGAAAGGCTATCGAATTCTAATGTTTTTCAATCGGCTATTTTTATGTTTATCGAAATGTCAAAGGGCGTTCTAACAACACCAGAAAAAAACCTATTAAATTACACTACAGTACCCTCCTACTTGGCCTTATATTCTTTCTTAAAAGTAAATATATATGTATATATATATACACTTATATATTTGCATATATAATAATTATTATAATAATTAGTTGTGCAGGCATCTTTCTAGTTAGAAAAAGCTACTTGCTTGCACCTTTAAAGCGCACCTTTATGAGTAAAGGTGTATATATAACCCTATATACATAAGACATATACATAATATATCTCATTATACTAACCAAGACAATTTTTCACGCAATCCATTTTTCTTAATACGTTCGCTCGAACAACCCGAATCGAATTAACAACTGACCAGCTCGAATTTGTATTACGTATCGAGTGATGGTGGCTCCGCCTCTTGTTGATTGACAGGCGACACTTGTAGGTGATTGGACGACGCCTGACAGGACACGTGCGGTGTAAAATAATGAAGTAAAATAAAAGTTTGATACAAACATCGGTGCTGTTTTTCCGATATCCAGTCGAGTGTATGCGAAAAAATTTAATTAAATTTACGCTTTTCCAGCAGCTTGTAGTGACGCGATCGTTTGACGTCCTGTTTGCTTCTGGGGTGTTTCTCCTTCCAAAGAGTAGTATATAACTTGTTCTTTGCCCTCCTCTCTTTAACGCCTTTCGAATTGGCTGTGAAAAAGGTTTATAACAGTCAACTCTCTTTACTAATATTATTTATGAGCTTCTATTATCGAATAAATGATTTAGAGGGAAAAGAAAATATTTTCTATAAATACTTGTACACGCGTTAAATTGGCCGTGTTAGAATGGGGGTGGACGAAAGAAAATGTTCACTATAGGCCTATCGGACGGCAGATGCGTTCAATTTTCTCTATTGTGCGGAAAATGGGTAGGGTAAATAACTTTGATTTAAATTAAAATATTGAGAAACGAGCTTTTTACTAGCTTTTCTTCTTCTCTTTAAAGAGTATAGAAGATAGTAGCCTAAATCGTTTTACTATTATGCAAAGTCACATATGTTAAATTATAGTGGGTAAAGGAGATACGTGTCGGAAATGGTTTCACTGTTACAAAGCCTTTCAACGCGTGGATTTTCGGTTTAGACGCCTTAATGACCTTTTTTCGCGAAAGGTTCCTGCCTCTCACACATCTCATTTTCACCCTAAACTTCTGTTTTGTCTTTTTTCTTCTTCTTCATAGGTGAAACGCGAACGAATTAATTAGGTACAAGAATGAAAATCTTTCAATTAGTCACTTTTCATGAATAGATCCGAGAAGATATAAATCTAATGAAACTTTAAGAACGGAAAGTAAATTATCAGCAATTAGACGGTCTGTATAAAAGCAGAAACAACCTTAGGCGAATTGCCTTAAAGATTAGCTAAATAAACAAGGTTCGTTGGAGAAGGACACGCGTTTTTTTTTGAACTTTTTCGCAAGTCTTTCTAAGAGTCGGCGCCAATTAGAAAGTCGGCAATCGTCAAAAGATCTTCGATAAAGCGTCTAATTTGTGTATATATAAGAATATAATTCCTCCCATTTTAAATAGATATAGATATTATCAATTGAAATTGTTTTGTATATGATCGATTTGAACAAATTCGCCCAAACAATTAATTACGATAAAGATAGATAACGTCAACCTTTCAAGTAAAATCAATTATTTTAATATATTTAAATGAATATTTAAATTTATTCTGAAAAGGGAAAGATATTTCAAGTATTAAAGACACTTTGTTATTATTACATTTCTTGTAATATTTAAGTGAACTTGACGAAAATATAAAGAATTCACGCATTTTGGGCTCAATTCACTCGGGTATTACTAAATATAAAGTTTCAACTCTTAAAAGTGTTAAACGATTAAGACCGACTTGTTGCTTATAAAGCAATCTTGCGACGCACTCGACCGACAAGATATTTACGTTTTATTCTTCAATAAACCAAGCTTTCTTTCTTTTATTTTCCACCTTATGTTTGTTTTTGTCGTTATACGCAGTTTTTCCTTTCCCACCGTCGGGTCACCGACCTTCTATCGCATACGCCGAAGAGATCGACTTAACGACGGGATACTTTTTCTTGTTGGAAAGATGATCCTAATGAGTTACGTATCTCTACTATAGAATTTATTTTTCTTATGTGTAAACATTCTTTATCGAACGCATAACGATTAAAATAATAAGTGTAATAATGTAGTTCAGTTGGGTAATAGTACGTAATCGAATGGTTCCTGTCCTAACCGACGTGACGCCTATGTTACTCTTTTTGATAGAGGCGTTAAATAATATGGACGATAAATGAATTTTAAAAGTGTTTTCCATTCGAAAAAGAAATTTAAGACGACCTGTTATGAATGAATTCATAGGGGATGAAGCGTCCGAGTGAGTTTTTTGGATGGATGACGTCACATTCAGTCCATATTGCGCTCATGTGACGCGCTAAGACGATAATTGAGCGTGCTTGGTGGCCGACACTCGAAGCGTCGAGGCGTCGTTTGGGGATACTTTCCGCGAAAGTATGCCGGCTAGTAGAAAGTTTCATTTTGGTTGCAAACATTGTAACAACGCTTACGTATTATTTTATAAAGAAGAAAATTTTACTCTTCTTCAAAAATATCTTCCCGAATGATGACGTCAGAGAATTATTACACACACGCTTTTATTGAACGATGCCTTCATTGTCCAACGTACGCCAAATAACGCTATATTATTATAATTAAAGTGGAATGATTAGAGTAGGCGTAACAGTGCTAAAAACAGGACGGGAACAACAAGAAAGAATGAGAGAAATAAAGAAAAGAACAAAACAAAAGCGTGGGCGGAGGGAGGAGAGAAGGCGTTCCCCGATTGAAATTTTTACTGTTATACCAATAATACAAGGAATCAAATAGTTGGAAAAGGAATAGGAAGAATAATTCTATTTTACTTGAATGTTGTAAGAAAGATAAATAAATGAAATACCTTAGATAGAAATGTAGTTGGAGTATCACGCTGTTTTTCACGCGTCTGGAGGAAGAAGGCACAGTAGTAATAATACTAAATTTCCAAAATATTTTCAAATTAGACATTAGTATCCTCGAGGGAGGGATTCACACCAAATTTTTTCTGATAGCGTGATAACTTGTACATAATTAACTTTTTCTTCGGTTTAAATTACTTACCGTTATCTCTATCTATTCCTCCTCTTCTAGCTTAACTCGTAACTAGTTAGGATCCGACCACTGCGTTACTGGACCAGGAACTATCATAACGTTTCGAAAGAAAAATATATTAGACGCAAGATGTCAGCATTGGAAAGGAATGTATCACCTCTAAAGTTAGATCTCAAGCTCTATCCGCATAATAACTATATGACACTGTAAAACGGTAAAGAGTGTTCAATTGATTAAGAGTTCTGAAAAAGTATCTTTCACCAAAGGCTTACAACTCTCGCTAATATCATTTTTTCGTTCAATTACCCAACTGCAGAGAAAGTATGAATTCGTAAAAAAACTTTTAAAATCTCTCCTCTCTCTTTTCCTCCCATCAATCGAATTCAAACGGAAATTCTGAAATTACTTTTCAAATTATTCAACTCACCTTAACATATCACCATTCAACCCTTCCCTTCGCTTATCTTAATCATTCAATTCAGAATAGAATTTCAACGTTAAATGCAGTACTTTATTGTAAAAACTCATTTGGGAAAGGTTGTCATTGCACGGAATTCTAAAACGTCTTTCTCTATTTTATTGGCGTCTATTGGTCAATTTTTTATTTAAAGTTAATTTTCCCCCTTGTTTTCGGTCTAATAAACGCAAAAAAAGTTGGTTATTGATTTTATTAAAAAGACATAAGGGAAAAGGAAAAGAAAATAAGGCATAAAATGCTTATTAGAAATATTCATATGAAGAAAAGAAATAAGTAATTTAAAGTTCATATTAGAATTGTGTTTACATGCTTTTAGACGTTATTTTCCTATTCGATTCCTGTTAAAACCATAATGTAATCGTATTTGTACAAACATAAAGGATACAACAGTAGATGGGAATGTTATCCGACTCTTGTCAAGTTTCTTTCCTCCGCTTAGGGATGAAAGAGGCTTTCCAAATAGCTCTAGTTGGATCAATTAAACCTTATATAGAGTTCATAAATTTAACCCCAACGAATAACAGTAAGAAAGGCTGTAGTTACCCTATGTTTTATTTCAAAGAATACCGGTTTTACGATGATGGATTTACGAGATTAGGGCAAAATAAACTATTATAGAGAATATTCCCCCGACTTGAAATACTATTTTGCAATCGCTAGATAGATCTTGGGCATATTTGATTAAATTTCCATAATTTTTCAAAGATCCGCAAATATCGAGTTGGTGTTATAACTCTGTTAAAAAAAAAGAAGAGAGAAGAAAGTCGTTGATATATCTTAGCGGGATAGTAGTCTAATATCAGTTATTACATAATTTTTGCAGTAAGAAAGTAGACGTTTTTTTAAGGTCATGTTATTTAAAGGCCTTTAAGGAGAAATGAAATTTCTTTGTTCTCATACCTATTGTAAGGGAGAAGAAAGAAAGTAGAGTATAGATGAGAGATGATTTAGAAAATTGAGCTAGCTGAATAGCTACGAGCATCAATGAGATTATAGAAAGAGATAGGTTAATATTTGATATGATTAAAAATACTTGCTGTAAAAGAAATAAAGAGAACAAGTTGTTTAATTAGTTGCTTCACGAGAAATAAACGAATGGACGAATGATTTTAATTAAACATATCAGAAAAGGGAGAAACTACACCAGAGCAATTGCAGGTTTATTCGATAGGGATAAGTTGGCAGTCCTAACAGGCTCTAGATTTTTTTTTATTCGACCAGACAAAAGTATTAAGTCAAGAGATCATACCGATTATTCAATTGACAGAGATAGGATAAAGTCTACCAAGGGCAATAAATTATCATCAAAACAGTGTCGCTACCTTTGGGGCATAAAATAATTTTTTTTCACTAAATATATCATCTGTATTTAAGGGATACGTTACTAGGTTGCGAGAAGTATTATCAAATTACCAATCAGCCTTGGAAAAAGGTAGAACGAAACTAAGAAGTTTAAGAATATCGTTAGACGAGGTTGGTGATTAATTAGAAGAAAACGACCCTTGTGAGCAAGTCAACCCTGAGGGTGTCTAGTCTTTGCCTGAATGCTGAAAAAGGGCAAAAAGCTATTCGACAATTATGCAAGCGAATTTTTCCCTTTCTGCCTCAGTTGTCGTCTGCCATTGCCATGTCAAGCGGGACTTATAAGTGCGCAATATTTTGACAAAGATATTACTAGCGTACGACGACAGTCGATTTAACGATAGAGAGAAATTTTCTCTCCAAAAGCATGCTGAAAGAAGATTGAAGGAAGGCTAAAATTTCGACGTCTAATCGGTAGTCCTTGTAAGAGACGTAGAATACCAGATATCTTCCATCTTTGTCAGATGTTGCCATTAGGGACCATATACAATAGACGTTTACAATCGTAAAAGCATTTGTTATTGATAAACGTAAAAACAAAAATAATGCTAACAATAAAGGAGAAAATGCAATGTAGAGGAAAAGGGCTAGATTGGAAAAGATAGAGAGAGAGAGTGAAAGAGAGAGAGAGAGAGAGAGAGAGAGAGAGAGAGAGAGAGACAGAGAGAGGGGGGAGAGCGCGAGAGGAGAGAAAAAGAAAAGAGAGTGATGACAAACTTTGCAGTGTTTTGCAGTTGTAGCGTTTCGTTTATGCATAAATCAGACACCAATAGCCAAATGACTAGGGGGAAAAAAGAGATTCGTTATATGTATGACTTTTAGCCTTATGGGTAAGGAAAAATTCTTACTAGTTGGTATAATGTACTAGAAATTCGATTTGTACAAGAAAATCACATTTTCTAAATTCCTCTCATCACACTAAACAAACCAAAACAAATTATACAGGAAACAGCTGGCAGAATGTACAAGGAGTTTAGCGGTTAGAAAAATGAGAGAATGAGGGACTGGTGTTAGGTGAGAGAAGGCACAACTGGAATATCTAAGGGAGAAATATAACCTGAATAGCGTCGCCAGAGTAAATCAGATCTGATGAATGTTGACTTTAAACTCCATTAAATACTAATCATCAATTTTCATCATTTCCGCTAAACGCTGCCTATCGAGTGAAAAATCAGATCGAAAAAAAGATCTGCTTTTCTTAAATGACAAAACACCTTTTTTTTAAAACCTTTTTCAAGTTCAGACTAGCTTTATAAGTATAACGTATAATAAACTGGTATATTATATAAAAAACAGTTGATAGATAATCGACAAGTAGGCCCTTAGGCTCCTCTCCTCAGACGTAGGTAAAGTTTTACAAGTGCGGCTTGATCAAAAAAAAAAAAAATTCTCTTCTTCTGCCTCAAAAATACTTTATCGCTCCTTGATAAAGCTGGAAACTAGCTGGCTTTGTAAGAATTTCCCAAGAGCATGGGCCTTTGGAAAAATCGTTTCGATCCTCGTAGCAAGGGTCTCGAATGACCGTAACAGTTTTTAAAGTGAGTTTTTAAAGGTTAAACGATACTTTTCGGTATATTTACAATTTAATTTTCAAGGAAATGGAAAGAACAAAGTAAATATTTGTGATAATTGCTAGACGTCTCTAGATTGAAAAGGAAGCAAAATGGAGCGTCTATTAATTAATTTTAGTTCGTAGTCACGAAATTTCTTAGAGGTTTAGAATCTTTTTGACTTTTTTTGTCGCCTTTATTTCTTTCTTCACAAATTTAGCGTTACAACAAGAAATTAGAAAAATTGAGCTAATATGAACATGTAATGAAAAGTCATAAATTAGTTTCGTGAATGCAAAATCACGTCTATCATTTTTGTACATATTGATAAATAATAATAATAATAGGAATGATATTAAACGGCCTTTATATATATATATACTGCATGTATACAGTATAAGATAAAACCAGGGTAACAATCAATCAGTCGGTATTTAAGGTTAGTGAATTATTTTTGGTAAGAAAGTATAAAAACAAAAAGAGAAAAAATAAAACAAAACACGAAAAAAAAATCAAGAAAAGAGTGAAAAATCTCTAGAATTGTCCAGTTTAAACATCATGTCACGGAACGGTAAACGTCCTATCGATCAGCAGCCGAAACTACCCATCTTTTACCAGAATATTATAAGAAAACGAAAACGATAACCCATCTCCCTACTGCCTTCGGGCATAATTTTCCCATATCAACAGCGCCACCTGGACAAAAAAAGCCGTACTTTCTTATATGAATCGATGTTTGCTTTGCAACTACATTAATTTACACTCTCCGAGGTAAGAGATGCCGTCGGCGTTTCATTTCAATTTTATTGATTCCTAGACGCTTCTTAACGCCAGAACGGAAGTAACGGCGGTGGCTGTGAGAGCGTTAGCGATATTGCGAGTTTTTCTCTCTTTTTCGTGTCTTAAAAAGCACGACGTCGTCGTATTTAATGGATGCAGAAAATAGAGCTGATTGAGGACTAGATGATACAGTGAGTGTATTTTAATAGCGCTCCTCTTTTCCGGGTTTTTTTTTCTTATTCTTGGCTAATTGAGAAATGACCATCTCATTCATCTTAAATGTGAAAAGAGTCTACTTTCTAAATGACGAAATATGCTTTTTTATCGGATATTCTTTTTAAAAAAAATCCCTTCTAAAATAGGAAATAAGATGAAAAAGAGATAAATTAAAATGAAGGAAAGGAATAAAAACGAAGGAAATACGAAAGATTACTACGTACCTAACCTAACTTTGGCAAAGGACCAAATTGACGAAGGGAAATGCTTTTACTAATTTGGCCTTTCTGTCATCACTTCTCTTTTGGTGAGATGTCTCTTAATTAGAATGACATATACGTTCGTCTAGGCTGAGAAAGCTGACAAAACATTCAATATAGTATAAAATGAAACCGTGGAATTTTTATGTTTTATTCACCTTCGATTAGTCGAAATTCTCTTTGTCAAATTAGATTTGATGAGGAGAAAAGGCCCTAACTCGGTGGGCCTATTCGCTAGATTCTTCTTTAATATAGCTTGTAATGAACTTTATAGAAACTGCCGAATAGTTGGAACGGAACAGATTAGACGTCGGTCGTCCCCATTGAAAGAAGCCAATAATAGTTATTTTGGTGGGTAAACAGCGGGAAAAAAATTCTAAAATGTTTGATTTCTTTTGGCAGCCAAAATGCTTTTCACCTTAACGTTTCTAGTTTTTTTAAACCGATTTAGTTAATCTAATGAGAGTAAACATATAGTATGTTCACTGTATTAAAGGATAGTTGTAATCTCATGTAAACAAACGAACAGTGAGCAAATGTACAAATGAAGAGTACTAAGGATTCTATTGGGGATGTTTGTAGTAATATTATAGTAAGAGCGTGGGAGTATAGAAGAAGGAAGATCTAGAGGAAAAGGAATAATACTAGACATTCTCACGTGCTCTAAATAATTAGAATTTATGGGTAAGCTTAATGTTATTTGCATATTGGCCCGGTAGTGGATCGAGAAACGAACCAGTTACGTACCAGAAGGAGCAGGAGAAAAACACACCAGGTTTATAAAATAGACAACTCCAACACGGTGTAAGATTGGAGAAAAATTACGAAAAACGGGCTGAAAAGAGTGAAAAAAAGAGTGAGACAAACAGATAGATGAAATGAAATCGGCCTAAAGTTGGATGACAAAAGAGGATCCTGACAAATCTCTTAAATCCCTTATAGAAACTGAGTAATCCTTGTTTGCACATAACGCTTAACAGTAGCAGATTGCATTGATTGTGCATAGTACATGAAATCGAAAGAAATTCCGTAACCATCATGCAATTAACGAAGGAGAAAAGAGACCGACGTCTTTTATTTATTAATTGAGCCTGTAGTCGGTTATTGTTCTCCGTCGATTCGGTGAATGTTGATGTTAAACGAAGGGGGAGGAGAGTAGAAAATAGAAAATTAGCCGTATTTTTGTTATCGATCGTCGGATCAATATATTTTGTCGGGGTGCGGAGCGTTCTTTGACTTCCATAAATCACTTCCTTCGTATGAAAGGAAAGTGCGAAGGAAGAACTCACCCTGAAGAGTTACAAATATTTAAATAGGTAATCTGAGAAACATTGCCTAAGAGAATAAAAAGAGGAGGTCGAGGAGAGGAGTTGAGTATAGGGAATAGAGTGGATGGAGAACAAGAAGATGCAGAGAAGGACCAAGCATGAGGAAAATAGAGAAAGAGAGAGAGAGAGAGAGAGAGAGAGTGTGTGTGTGTGTAAGAGATAGTAGGCGAAAGAGAGCGAGGGAGAGAGGGAGCGAGTAAGGAACAACGAGGGAGAGAAAAAAAATTAAAAATATAGGCAGGAGAGGTAATAGGTACGGAGGAGAAAATGAGATTTATAGTAGAAGCGTTTTTATTTTAATCTATAAATAACCTCTATTTGTTTTCTTTTTCGTAGGCGGTCGATAAAATGCCTCAAACGAAGAAGCAATCGTCGAATGCAAATGTGGACGAAGCATACTACCTTTTCTCAGCCGCAGCCTTAGGTCTTGTGCTAAATGCAGCCGTTTTAGCCTGTCTGCTGGCTAAGCGCCAACTCCGACGGATGACTTCGGCATTCGTCATGCACAATTGTCTATTGGATCTAATTAAGAGCGCCTACTGCGTCCCATTTGCTCACAGCCTACTCAAAGACGTTGCTCCAAGTTTCTGCACGGCTTTGGGCGGTTCTTACGTCGTCATAGTAACTGCTTCTGGATTTAATATGGTCGCAATGATTTGTTGTGAAGCATATACTTTCGGTGACAAACAGCGCGAAGGATTCGGGAGAGAAGCGACGGGTTCGCTTTGTTGTGTTGTCTTTGGTATAGTTATGGTCTACATTGGTAGCATAATTATCCATTTGGGACCTACGATTATCGGAGGCAACTTTAATTATAATAAATTGATTGGAAACTGCATTTTCGTGTATGGACCTATCAAGTCCTACGTCGTTCACGCCATGTGGATAGCCATTATGACATTAGCCATGATAGCTGCCGTCTATTATCTGCTCTTCTTCTATAGACATTTGCACGCCAGCGCCATCTGTGACACTAGGCAATCGCGTGATACTGTACAGGAGTCATTATCGAGAGCAAGAGTTCTCATTACAATCACCGCTTTGTTTATTTTCTGTTGGTATCCGTTATTTATACTAACATTGGTCGATCCAACTTTTAATCAGCCTACAAGAATATATAAATTATTGACTTTCGTCGCCTGGTCGCACTCGTCCCTCAATCCAGTTATTTTCCTATTATTTGATAGAAGAATCGATTCATGTCGGAAAATGTGTTGTTCTTGCGGATGCAGGCAGGTTCCTAGTCCAATGCAAGTTCCACCATCCCTCCGATTAGCACCGCCCACTGTACAAGTAACACAAATGTATCAAAGAGTTGGCTGTCGATTATGTCAGCAAGGAAGAACTCATTCAGAGCGAATGTGTAACGGTTCTATGCAGAAAACCAATTCCGATAACTTACCAAGTGTTGTTAGGGATAGATCATTTTGTCAGTTGCATGATTTATGATTTATATACGCAATTTAATTATGAAATATATATCTCTCTATATATAATTTTATATATTTTGTATTATGAAAAAGTTGTCTATATAAACATTTGGTGAACGTTTAAAGCACATAGGTACAATAGTACTTATGGTGTATATAGCAGTCTATACAGTATATACTGTACTGTTAAATGCATATAAAATTATTATCGACTCTTTATTACAAAAAGGAAAAGCTTTCCTTTTTGCGAAATCGAATCATTCTAAACAAAGTTGATATATATAAATATAACAGAAAAAGAGAATAATAATAAAAGTGATTCAGTGGATATATATATATATAAATTTATATATCTTACTATATAAAATAGAGGTAGGAAAGGAATAAATTTAATACAAAAAGCAAGACGGAAAAGGGGTACTCTGATTCCATAGTCAGATGGCAATAAAACGATAAAAATATGCCAATTTAGGCATCAACCGACTAATGATAAGGATAATCAACACCTCTCAATAAATTTATGTTTATCCATTTATTCCATTTATATTCCATTTTAAAATGTCAATAAATTCGCTCTTTTAACTAAAACAAACAACATAAAAATTGTCCTTGTTTTTTTTTTTAGTTATTTTATTTTTATTTTACGTTTATTAATTTGACTTTCTTCTCCAACTATATAAAATATTTCCAAGAGTTATAAATGTCCCTTGAATGTCTACTTCTTACGATATCCGATAGATGGCATACGAGAGAAGAAAAGTTGGCTGTTGAAAAAGTTCACCTTCCAGTCTCTTTTCATTGGTGTTGAAATGCAAAAGAACCCTATATATTATAAACATATAGCTGGAGACAAAAGAATAAGTCAGAAAGGACAAAGTGCGCCCTAAAAGTCAATAATACAACAACCTATTTACAATAAACCGTAAACTTGCAAATGGAATAGAAACTGTAAAGTGCAGTCCGATGTCGATTCCTTTCAAGTATTGTGATGGAGCAAGTGATTAACTCTGCTCTTTTTTTATCAATATGCAAAACACTCCAGTTCGAAAGCGATCTGGCTAATGTATGCTTATGTTTGATTTATGCTGATTAACTGCTTTTCGATTTTCGTTCCTACGCTACTTTAATATCCGCAACGCTTAATGATAGGCCAATTTTGCAACTGCACTGGAGAAGAAAAAACGAAGAAAGTAGAAGTTGTTGAGATGGCAAACGCAGATCAAAACATTAATTCCGATGATGATTCGGCAGTAAAAGGTTTGAGAAACTTTCTTTTAGAGTATTTTTATTTATTTTACCTTAACTTTTTGTCTTTTAATATTTTTTTATCAACTTTTCTTTGTTTTATATTTTGCCTTTATAAAAGATAAGGCGAAAGTTTCATTTTTAATTATATACATATATATATATATATATATATATATATATATATATATATATACTGAATATACTGTATTTATATTAGTACAAATATTATATATACAGTATATATATATATATATATATATATATATATATATATTTGTATTTAAGAATTCATTCTTTCCTTTATGCCCTTTTTTTCTTTATTGCAAAAACAAAAAGAGACGGAAAACTTTTTTCAACCTTTCCTTTTCTTTTCTATTGCTTTTTCTTTCTTTTCCATTTTCTATTATTTCATTTAAATCAATCTATGAGCTAAAGGAGATGATAATAAGAAAGTGAGCTTTGCATATAAATATATACTGTATATCTCTATATATATTGATGAAATCATATTGTCTCTCAAATTATTCTTGAATGTATCATAAACAAGATTTTAATGATTTTAAAGTTAATTTCATTTCAATTTCCTCTCCTCTACTTTAATATCGTTATTGTTTGATCCGAGTTTTTATCCTAGTCTATAATTTTTTTAAAGAGTAATTAGGTTTCGGAAATTAGAATTATTTGTGTTTAATTTCAAAAATCTTCATGAAAAAATGAACTAGAGAAATTCTTTAGTTTGTCTCTTAAAGGAGAGAGAGAGAGAGAGAGAAAAGTTAGACACTCCGATAGTTATTTACATAGATACACATATCAAAAAAAGTAAAGGAGAGAAAAAAGAAGGAAAATCAGTTGGACTAAGGAAGAAAAAAGTCTTAAAACAATATAAGACAAATATAAGAAAAACACAAGAAAAGGGAATTAAGGAGATATCTAAAAAGAGAGAGAGAGAGGAAATAAAAAAAAATAGTGACCGGAGAGCGAGAACAGGAGACAAAGGTTATGAGAAAGGATTAGATTAACAAGGAAAATTATTTAAACTTTTTCTAATCGATCTTTTATTCAGAAGCTTTAATGAAAAACACGATTTCCATGAAATTTGATGCAATTTTAAGCTCGATTTGATATTGATTTTTTCGATTTATAATTTTTTTAATATAGTTCTTTCTTTGGCTCTTGCGTGCAGTTTGCGGCCTGAAATAAAAGAGTAACAAAAACTACCATTTATTATTTTAATAATGGATTAGAGCAAGGTCAAGTCCAAGTTGAATTTACAGAAAAACTCGTCGCCAACCCGGACCCAGAGTTGGAAGGAGAAGAGGTTGAAGAAAGAGAAACATGGGGCAAAAAGGTGGACTTTCTTCTCTCAGTAATCGGCTTTGCGGTCGACTTGGCGAACGTTTGGCGGTTTCCATATTTGTGCTACAAGAATGGCGGAGGTAAATGATTATTTGTCACGATATTTCGTCTCGATATAATTGGTAAAGGTTCGATACGGTCGTGATTTTCTTTATAGCTTACCAACGTGATTGAAGGGTTGACTGATTAAGTACTATGATAAATGAATATTTGATAGGTTGTTGTTCTAGAATCGGCGGGTAGGGAAGCTAAACTTACAGCATCAGCTTAGAAAACCAAATAAACAAAGTCGAATAATAGGAAACCCTCTTTATAAGACTTATTCAATTTACTTTCAACACTTTTACTTATATTATCTCAAAAAATGTTTCCGGTCGGCAAAGTATGAATGTAAAACTTGTTAATCTCACACCAGGTGCTTTTCTGATACCCTACGTTCTCATGCTTTTACTCGGAGGCATACCATTGTTCTACATGGAATTGGCATTGGGCCAATTCAATAGGAAAGGGGCCATTACATGCTGGGGTCGTATATGTCCGCTTTTCAAAGGAGTCGGCTATTCTGTCGTTCTGATTGCCTTCTACACCGACTTCTTTTACAATGTAATCATTGCTTGGTCTCTATACTATTTTGTTTCGTCCTTTACCGGAACTCTGCCCTGGGTTCGGTGTAACAATACCTGGAATACTAAAAATTGTTACGATGGCCATTTGATTGGAGAGGAAAGTGGCAATATTACGACCACATCACCTTTATATAGTACTACTCTTTTTAATCAGTCCAATCTGTTAAATCAGACCGAAGTGCCGCGTATTTCCCCGGCTCAGGAATTTTTCGAGTATGCTAATTTCTACTTTTCCCTTTATATTAGTATGTTTTAATATTCATACTATCCCATTCAATATCAATTCCTCTTTTTCAATTGTTTTTAATCATTTTTTTAACTTTTCTTCCTTCCTTTAGTCGGCATATGTTGGAACTTGACAAGGCTGATGGTATCACAAATCTCGGAAACATAAAATGGGAATTAGCTCTCTGCTTACTAGCGGTTTACGTCATTTGTTATTTTTCTCTATGGAAAGGTATTTCAACATCTGGAAAAGTTGTATGGTTTACAGCAATATTTCCATATTTCGTTCTCTTAACCTTATTAATTAGAGGTATCACTCTACCTGGAGCTGGAGATGGAATAAGGTACTATCTAACACCGGATTTTTCACGGTTGAAAAGTTCAGTCGTCTGGGTTGATGCAGCAACGCAAGTATTCTTTTCGTTAGGACCTGGATTCGGTGTCCTCTTGGCATTTGCTTCTTATAATAAATTCCATAATAACGTCTACGCTGATGCTCTGGCAACAAGCATTATCAATTGCGCTACAAGCTTCTTATCGGGGTTTGTCATATTTTCTGTTCTAGGCTATATGGCTCAGAAAACTCATAAGCCCATTAGTAAAGTAGCCACCGAAGGACCTGGCTTAGTATTCGTCGTTTATCCAGAGGCAATAGCAACGTTACCCGGATCAACATTTTGGTCCTTAATCTTCTTCCTTATGCTTCTAACGCTGGGATTAGATAGTTCGGTGAGTAGGCACGGCTTGTCGTAGAACAAATTAAGTGTACGTACTACATCAAAAAGGGCTTTACTAACCTAGCAGAAGGAAAGAATGGGTTTAGGTAGTTTTGAAGAGTTTTATCGTTTTTAAATACCGGATAGAAAGAGGCTCTAATAAAGTTTATAACAAAGAGAATGATTCGATCCGATATTTTTGTTTTTATTGATAACATAACAATATTACAAATAAATAAGCCAATGTTTATTAGGACAAGTACAGTGGAGAGTTTGATCAATCAAACTGCAATTGAGACTTATTGGAATTCAATATTGGCGATTATTCGTTTTAATTATCATCTGATTGCGATTAAAGTGGTAAAGTGTTATTGAAAATTCGATAACTTTTAGCGTTTTGCAAGATCTACTTATCAATAAAGACAAAAACCATCAAAAACCCTTTTCAAACTTCTTTTAGTCATTCTAGAGGGCGTTGTTTGTTCAAATTAAATAGAAATACTTGTTTTATTTCATATTTCAATATTATCCTCTCTTCCATTTAAATTTGTAGTTTGGAGGATCCGAAGCTATAATTACGGCGATCAGCGACGAATATCCTATATTAAAAAAGCATAGGGAAAAATTTGTTGCTGGACTTTTCGTGTTTTACTTTGTCATTGGTTTACCTAGCTGTACGCAGGGGGGAGCTTATATGGTAACACTTTTTGATAAATATGCTGCTGGCTACTCAATTCTATTCGCTGTATTCTTTGAATCCTTGGCCGTCTCCTGGTTCTACGGAGTCGAGCGTTTCTCCGACGATATTAAAGATATGTTAGGATTTAGGCCTGGTATTTATTGGAGAGTTTGCTGGAAGTTTATTGCTCCAGTGTTTATTATGGTAAATTGTTTATCTTTGCTTTGAAAACTATTTAATTGCCTCTTACGTTTATTCGAATAGTGTATCATGGTTTTTGGATTTGTTATGTACGAGCCTCTAGCCTACGATAAGAATTACATATACCCTGGATGGGCTAACGGAGTAGGATGGTGTCTAGCACTTTCATCTATATTATGTATGCCGGTAGTAGCATCGGTAAGGATGCTTATAACAAAGGGAAGTTTTATTGAGGTAAATATTAATTATAGTAAAGAGAAAAAAGAGCAAAATTAAGTAAATATGCAGCATATGAGAAAATATGAATATATATATATATATCTATGTATATTTTTAGAGAATTCAAACGCTCATAACTCCATGGAGAGATTCAAGAAAACTAAGAGTAGTTACAGATATGCAGAATTTGAGGGAAAATAATTTTAAGATGGGTGATTCTGTTTAGAAAATGAACGAGATGAAAAAGAGAAAAACAGAGAAAAATGAAAAAAAAAATCTTATAAACATATAAAGAAGAGAAAATACATATAGAGAAAGTATATTACAATATATATACACAGTGTTTTAACCACTTTGCAATAGAGTCAATTTGCATACTGTATGGTAATTACATATATATATATATATATACATATATATACATACTGTATATATTTGAATATATCAAATATGTACTGTAGACAACCATATTTCAACATATATACTTATAACTGTATATATGATATTTATATATATTTATATAGTATATTGCATGCATTTTTGTATACTCATAGATAGATATATAGACGTATGTATAAATATTTATTTTAAGTATCTACAATATGTCTGTATGTTTATACAGTTTAATAGTCTGTTGCATGGTGAACTGGTGTATATATACGGTATATATTATAAGTAAATAAACGTCTAAGGCATGTAGGTAAATGTACGAAGACTGTATGAATAGGAATAGGGCATTTTATATACAAATAATGTGTATATTTTCTATGAAATACGAGAATTAAAACATTTTGCTTTTAGTATTTGATAGTTGACGAATGTTGAAATATCTATGGTTTACATTCATTATTATATATATATATATATATATATATATATATATATACGTATATATATAATAAGTTAAGTTAATTTATGCACTGTATGTCGTGTATATTTGTTAAAAATTCATTCATAACAATGTCGTATTTTGTATGAAAAAACACGTTAAAAGTCTAAATACTTTGAATATGAAACTAATGGGCGAAATTCAGGCAATAAAATGTGACGCCGTAGTAATAATACTCTTATACTTATTAGCAAAAGACTAATTTAACAGTCTATAGGTAAATTAAATGATATTTTCAATAATCTCATTTGATATATCTGTTTGTTCCGTATAGTTTTCATTATTGATAAATTAAAATATAATATGCATATCGAGTGAGGATTAGAGGGAAAAACACGTATAACTAATTCATAGAAATGATGTTTATTTTAATAGAACAAAAACGGGAGAGTTTAATGAAATAATTAGAATTAAATTCAGTTTACATTCACAGTTGATTTGTTAAATTTTAACTTGTAAACTTAAGAAACTATTGCTTATTGTACTCGTATTAATACAAGTTACTGCCTGAATTCACCTATGTATCCCTATATATCTATATATTTATCGAAAATTGAGATAATAATAAATAAATAATTCATTATATACTCAAAATATTCAATGCGAGACTTGCTTGTGTAGTATTAATTATATTAGTAAATATTATGGGTAATATTAACCAATACACTCATATTTATTTATTTATTAATTAAATATTTCTATAAGAGTGAAACCTCTTATTTCTTTCTTTTATGTAATCAACAAATCCCATTCCATTTCCTCTTCTCCTCCTACCTTCCCTCCCCCTGAAAAGAAACACTGTTCTTTTTACTTTCCTTTACGCATATATCAGTGATTGAACGGCGTAACTTAAACAAATTTCATTTATTATATTGAAACTACTCTTTTCTTTTCGTTTAGGAAAAAGAAAGCTTTCTCTTTATTTTTCTTTTGATTAGATGAATGATTCATCTATAAAAGATTCTCTTATATTGTATGTATATAGTGTACAGTATACTCCATTCTGTATTTTCAACATTTTCCTTCTCTGTCCGAAATGTTTCCCTTTCTCTTTTCTTCCACTCTTCTGCCTCATCAACTCTCCTTTTTCCAAATATTATCTATGTAAAAGTGATTGGTTATATCACGAACTACTAATTAATATAAGATCAATTAAGTTGGAAAAAAAATTACTTGGTATCAGGCGGGATTATAATCTAATTATTCAATTAACTTCCGGTTTTGTTTGGTGGAATTCTCTATTGGATAAAATCACGCAGAAAAAAAAAAAGAAAAAGTTTCTGTCATTGTCGAACTCAATAAAGAAGTAATTATTATTGCAATTGTTACTTTCTTACCTTTATGAATATTCATAACTTATAATTAAAAATTAATTTCTTATCAATAGAATTCCGTTTTATTTCTCTTCTTTTTTATCGGAAAGTGTTTAGCTAATTATATGACGGTTTTATTAATGAATTAAAATCTTTTATTAAAACGATTACATCATTAATTCAAAGCAATTACAGTAATAATTTTCATTCGTTTGTTAGATTTTTAAAAGGACATAACAGAAAATGGAAATAAAAAAAAAATCTATATAAACTTAATGAATATTCATTAATTCATCTGAACGAATGTATGAACTTGTTTTTTTTATTTACGATCTATTAGATCGGTCATAGTTGTCATAAAGAGAGCTGTTATTTTTTGTCTTTTACTTTTTTTTTGCGGTTGTATTACTGCACATTTAGTAACGCCATCTAGAGGTGTTCATCCAAAATAAATTGTATGGCTTGAAATATAAAATAAAAAAAGGAGAGAGAGCGACAGAGAGAGACAGAGACAGAAAAAGTTATTAAGAAAAGAAAATTGTGAAAATAAACAGATATACTGTAGATATATAGAAGGAAGGAGAATTGAGAATTTTCAGAAATATATATTCAAATATTAATAATTGACAATACGGAACCTGTATACTTTTATCAGGATTTCCTATTAGTAAGGAAGTCTTAAACATAATCCACGGAAGAGGGAGACTTGTCATTTCAGACTTGGAAAAGACTAGTGGATCATAAGCGCACAGAATTTTGAAGCTTGAAAACAGAGAACGTGAGAAGAGTAATATTATTACTATTATATTATTTAATAAACTAACAACTGAAAATACGTATGTAACTTTACCAACTTACTTCGTTATTAAATAACGTAGAAGATAGTAGAGGAAAAACTGTCGCCTATTACCGTAATACCATTAAGAATTTCTTCTATTGTATTGAATATTTTCAACTTCATTTCACTAATATTCTAAACATTTCTCACATTTTTATTCTTTCTTCATTTAGCTTTCAGACAACACAAGAAAAAGAGAAAATTATGAGAAATTACAACTTAAATCTAACTTTGATTACCAGCAAAATAGCCATTTTCGATTTTATTTCAGCATTTAATATGTGGATTGTAATTCTTATTATACCAATAATAAGTGTCCTTGGTGTAATAGGTAATTCTTTCCTTCTTGTTCATCATATAAAAGATGTAAGAAGCATAAAGTTTTCTTTGTATATTTTCCTCTTGTATTATGTATTACAAATATTCAATTGTCTCTGGGTTTTAATTTTGCCTCTTGCCTTAAAACATTCCGCATTTGATATTACTATTAATCTAACCTCAAAGCAAATTATTTCAATATCAAATCCATTTCTTTGGGATCTTTTCTTTTCATTTACATTATTCTCTATTAATTTTATTGCATGTCAATTAGCTTTAATAGCTTTTGATAGATATATAACCGTTTTTCTACCCTTTAAGCATGAAAAGTTTAAAGCTCCTATACTTTTACTTCTATTTATTTCATTAGCTCTGTCTATCATTACGGGTATTGTTCACAAACCTCTATGTACAAAATGCTTTTCAGTTATAACACTGACTGTTGTATTAAGTTTTAGCGCAATTGTTCAAATAGTACTATATCTCTTAATTAGTTTAAGGATTAGCAAAGTTAGACGAATTATTCAGCAAGAAGGTAGCGATTCTCAAACTATTGAGAGTAAGTGTTTGTTTATTTTTTCCTTTTATATTAATTAACTAATTGGCAATCTACAATCATTGTTATTGCTCTTGGCCTACTTCTGAAATTATAATATGTTTTCTTATTACAGATTCTAATAATACGGGAATATCGATGAGAAATATAAAGATTATCAAAACTATTGCCCTAACTTCACTTTTGTTTACGCTTAGTTCCTTAGTAAACGTATTAGCATTTCTAAATATCATATCTTACAGATTTCTGTACTTGTACGCTATTGGTCATATGAATTCTATATGGAGTTCAATTGTATATTTTGCTTTGCACGCTGCGTTTCGACAGTTCGTTTCTAATGTACTAAAAAGAGGCTGTTGTATTCTTTGTCCTATATCAAAATAATTATAAAAAATATATGTGGAACGTGAAAAATATTCAATAAACCCTATACAATGTATAGTACGTGATGTTGGAGAAAATAAAAGAAATGGGAGGTACGAGACAAATCAACAAGAAGGAGAAGTAGGAGGAATAGGGGAAGCGGGAACAAAAGATACGTAAATCAAGACCAATCAGTCAAAGAGATATTTTCTATTACAAGAAGAATGATTAGAATAGCAGCAGCTTAGAAAAAGTAATGTATTATAACTAAGGTTTTTACAGCAAATGTAGTAGTAACTTTATTCACCTTTGATTTTGCCTTGGTTAATATCAAGCAATTTTAGTATTTTCTTTGTAATTTAATTAGTTATTTATGTATCATATAGCCGTTTTCTATAATATTAAAAGCATAAGAAACTTTCTCTCCTTCGCTATTCCTTGTATTCATTTTAAGTTTAAAGGCGAGTCTCTTTCGCCCTCTTTCTCTCTCTCTCTCTCTCTCTCTCTCTCTTTCTGGTCACTTTACTCTGTGCTTTTGTTAATCTAAAGCTTCATTCTTCATCTCTGCGTTTATCATGGAAGCTTTTAATGGAAATATTACTAGAATAATTACTTCAATAGTACCAGTTTCAACTCTTTATAATGCTATAGAAAAATGGTGTATTTTTATTCTGTGTCCATTTTTTGGAAGTGTTGGTCTTATCAGCAATATATTGGTATTTATATTCCATTTACGCAAAGCTCGAAAAAATACCGGAATATCTTTAAAACTATTAATAAATTATTCATTTATTAAAATTGTAATGTGTCTTACGCTTATAAGTTCAGTACCAGTTATTCATTACGCGTCGTTGGAGATGAGCATTGATATTGTTGAGAAAAGAGTGGTCTCTTTAACGTTTTATGGTCCCTTCCTGTTCTTCCTATCCTTTACGTTGTTTTGCGTTATATTCGTTGCTGTTCTATTAGCTTTCATATCGTTTGACCGATGTCTTAGTATGTTCTTTCTATTAAAAGAGAATAGAAGAACAGTAAACTTTTTAATATGGGTAGTCTTTTTATTATTATTTGTAGTAAGTATAGTTACTAGCTACTATGGTAATCAAATGTGTCTTTCCTATTGTGTTACAAATATTACGACAGTTGTTATCTATCTGTCGAGTGTTTTCTTTCAAATAGCGTTCTACACGATTATTTCTATACGATTAATAAAAGGAAACAGGAATCTTGGCCATCCAAAAGTGAAGCCAACTAATATCGTCTCTTCATCAACATCGACTAATAAATCTCAAAATGCTTCACAAATTCCACATATAGGTAACAATTAAGAGAATTACTATTTTAATTAGTCTCTACTCTTTGATTGACCTATTTGATAAATCTCATTATAACACTTTTACAGCAAAGAAGAAACACATAAGTAATAGAAATATTCGAATGATAAAATGTATGATACTAATTTCTGCACTCTCTCTTGCAAGCTTCACGCCGAGTTGTTTAATCCTTTTAAGACTTGTTACAATTGGAAGAGTTATTGGTCATTTTATAGCCTATTTTAATTCAATATGGAATCCAATAGTGTTCTATGTATTCAATTATGAATTTCGTCATTTTGTTCAAAGTATATTTAACAGGTTTTGTATTTGTACTTGAATGTTTATAATTGTCATACAGCATTTGTATATAAATACTAATACAGTATATGAAATATTACATAAAATAATATATATTGCTGTATTTATATGATGAATATGCATAAGCTAATATAATAATAAAGAGATGAGAATAAAATGAATTTTATAATTATCGTACGAGAGGAAAGAAAGAATTATAAAATGATTCTCTGATAAGAAATAACGATAAAACGATTCTTAACTACGTACAGATAAGAGAGTGCTTTTAAACGATCATTTTTACCTATTGACTAGCGATTAATAAGTAAGAATGCAAAGTCCGAGACCTTTTGGTTTATTCGAACTAAGCATCAGGAATATAAGAATTTGCGAATCGTATAATGAAAATTCGGCAAAGGGAGCTAAAATTGCTACAATAGGAACGTTGATTACCTTAATTATTGTCTTTACTATTAAGGCTTTGGTCGAAAAAAAGGATTATGTTGAAAATATACCTTTTTTCGTTGCTTTTGGCATTCTGATAATTATAGTTTTTAAGAAGTTATTCTACGTAAAACTTCGAAATTTATGGAAGAAATACAATGTTTGTAATAAACACAAAAGTTTGAAACTATTATCAAAATATTCAAGATGGTTGGTGTTACAGTTTTTCTCAATTATTCCATTTTATCGATTAGACAGTAATACAATCATAAACATCTATTTAATGAATATATAAATATTCATTTATTTAATTGTTTAACTTGAATTTCATTACAGGATTATTAACGTTCTCGTTTTAATAGCATCGCTAATCTTTTGTATAGTTGATACTAGAAAGGGTGATGGGGAAAGATTAAAACCCCTTGCAGCAATTGTTTGTCTATTTTTAATATCAGTTTTATTATCCAAGGATAGATCCAAGGTAATTTAAGAATCGTAATTATTTAATTATCTTAAATATATTTACTTTCACACCTTATTAAGTTTGTTTTTATGTTTTTTTGTGCTTCTCTCTCTCTCCTCTCCCTCCTCTCTCTCCCTCTCTCTCTCTCTCGCTCTTCTGGGCCATCTTTTAATGAATCATATTTAATCGTATAGATTCCATGGGCGATTGTTTTATCGGCCTTTGCTACTCAGTTCATTCTGGGATTCATAACTTTAAGATGGAATGTTGGTAAATCAGTTCTTGACTATATCGGGAAAAGAATAACAGACTTTCTAAATTTCGGAAATGAGGGTGCTAGGGCCGTATTCGGAGATAAAATGTGGGATCATTGGATGGTTATGCAAGTTTGTTTAGTATTATATAAACACTCCTTTTTTCTTTCAATATTCTTTTTATGTAATTTAAAACAGGCAATGCCAATAGGTATCTACTTTAGCGCATTTATTGCTTTACTAAACTACTGGGGTATATTTCCTATCGTTATCAAAACTCTTGGATCAGTTATACGCCTATGCTTGGCTAGTTCTACTATAGAGAGTTTCGTAGCTGGTGCTAATATCTTTGTTGGTCCAGTAAGTCTATTTTTTTTAAGAGAGACGGAGGACATAAAAGACGATGACCGTTAGAGAAACTGTCGAAAAGAGTAATTAATAAAAGTGACTTTTAACTACAGACGGAATCAGTGGTTGCAATATCTCATACTCTATCTAAGATGACTACTTCTGAATTACATACAATTTTAGCTTGTGGATTTGCAACGCTTTCTGGCGGAACAATGGCAATGTATATTTCATTTGGGGTAACTTGCTTATATGTATCATCGATATATAATCTGTTTATAAAATCTTTTATCAGGTTTCGCCTGTTCATATGCTTACTGCAGCGGTAATGTCAGCTCCAGCGGCGTTGCTTTTTTCCAAGATATTAAGACCGGAAATTGAAAATTCTGTTATTCAGGATAACGACAGCATTAAATTTAAAAAAACCGGAGATGTTAACTTTTTGGCTGCTATTTCAAGAGGAGCGGAAAATTTTCTAAAAGTTATGGGTTATTTAGTAGCTAACTTGTTAGCATTCACAGCAGTTGTTCATGCTCTAAACGCTTTTGTTAGATGGTTTGGTATAAGAGTTGGTGTTCAAATCACCTTTCAAGTACGTATTATGCGAATACTGTTATTCTAATACGTTACATAATATATATATATATTAGCATATATAAATTTATACTGTATATACGTTTTATTAATATAATAATAATATATATGTATATGTATATTCAACATATCCGAAAGATGTCGCTCTAAAAGAACGAAACCAAAACGTTCTTCTTTAGGGGAGATTTCAAAAGATCTACAAAGCTAATTCAACGCAATTCAACGGTCAGATAATAAATAGTTGATAGGTACTTGTTTTGTTTTGAACAGAAAATCTACTCGTACATTTTTTATCCATTGGCTTTTCTAATTGGTGTTCCAGCAAAGGATTGTTTAATTGTGGGTGAGATGATAGGGCAATCGATATTGATGAATTCCTTCTTCTCCTATAAAACTTTGGGTGATCTCATAAAAAATAGACTAGAGGGGAAAGATCCTCAGATATCGGTAGGCTTGTATACTATTTTTAATGGAAAAAGAAATTTACCGTGTTAAATTAATGTTTAAGTAATTTGTCTTCTCTATTCATTTTTTATTTCATATAGATAAAAGCAGAAACTGTTGCAACCTACGCAGTTTGTAATTTTGCCAATTTTGGCTCAATCGGTATGAACTTAGGTTCGATAGGAGGGTTCGCTCCGGAAAAGAGGCCAGTTTTATCGAAAATCGCAATTTCGGCTTTGCTCAGCGGTATTATGGCTTCTCTAATGACGGCTTCTATAGCTGGTAAGGCAAAATGGTAACGATTATAAATTATAAATAAAGAGAGGTTAATGACCGAATTGTTCATTAGCTTTCTCTTGTATTTATATGATCACTTTTAGATGCACTCGCAATAAAATCGACTTTTTATATTTCATTCACGAGGTGTTGTATTCTTTAATACGAACGAAATTATTGATAAATAACAACAACTATTTTCATCCTTAAGTAATGTTATATGTACTGTCACTAGTAGGAGTAATTAGCTCATGTATATCCGATTGATATGTTTTCTTTTAACAGGCCTAGTTACAAATTCCAACTAAGTTTCAACGGGCGTGACTCCTCTATCAGTATTTGTGGGAGCATTGACATTTTGATTTTCTCTTTTAATTGATCTTTGATTTTCTAATTCAATGGCTTTTTTGGCATCTTCTGAGAATTTCTAGAAGATAAGGAAAAAACAAAAAGAAAGGAAATGAAATTGATATTAATTAACATTTCTATTAAGATTAAGTTAGGACAAAACAAAAAAAAAGTATTATAAAAACCATAAGAGCCAAACTCATAAAATAAGGTTTGGAATCTCCGTCATTTTCTCTACAATCCAAGCAAAAGCATAGGAATATCGTATCAACGGCAATCTGTTGTATTATTTATGCTTTAAATTTACTGCACAATTTTTCCAAGAGAGGTTTCATACTCTTTATACAACTTACATGAAAGATATTTAGGAAAACTGATGCAGTTAGATAGGCAAGTATAAAGGCGATAACCAGGGGAAGCCACCAATAGCAAATCTTTTCATTATGCTTGTAGGAAAGAAATTCAATCAATTATTCTCTTTTCTGTTTAGAAAAGATCATATTCTTCAACCAACAAGTACTTACGTTAAAACCAAATATTCCAATAACTAAAACTGCTACTGCGACTAATATCTTGCCAACGAATAGAACGAACCAGCCTACTCCATTAATTACTGCCGCTCTTAAAGGATTCTCCAAAAGGAGAGAAAATGCTTTTCCTGCTCCTTGACAAAAGTTAACTCCCTTCATGGCTGAAAAAGATAATAATCAGAGTATAGATTTATACTATTAAAAATTTATCTAGATAATGGTAATGGAAGAAGAAGGATATTGAACTAAAGTAAAATACAATTTTGATATGATACTAACCAACCATGATATATGCATTCCTATTTAAGAATTTGATAAACTTTTCGAAACACCATAATAAACATTTTAAGCATTTAAAGAAGAAATCGATGCAGAGACCCTTTTTTCCAACAATCCTTTTAATATGGAGATAAGTTATAGGAACATCTAGCTGTCTATACAAATATATAGTTATTGTATGTTCTACCTCTGTTCTATTTGACGTAATAATATCTGTAAGAATTTTACTATGGCAAGCAATAATGAACCAAAAATTGCGCTTCCCAAATGATAGAATATTAAATTTTTCATTGATCTTAAAATAGGCGATTTCAATAGTTTTTTATCTTTAGTGAAATACCATATTGATACACTGCCAGAATAGACAATAAACTGGCAATCTTTTACGAAAATAAATACCCAAATTGAACCAAACAAGAAACCCCATTTTGAGTAATTTAATATATCATCTTGCTCATATGAAACGTAATCCGTTAACGTATGCCTTATTGGCTTTCCTATAAGAATAGAATATTGAATGGCATAATTGCATGTGTTCCACCTAACAAATTAAAATTGAAAATAACCTGCAGTGAAAACGAAAGTAGCCAAAATAATGAGGCTGATTAGTACTGAAGTTGTTACGATAAAAGACTGTATAATTTAAATAAAAAACAAAAACTAAATAAGTAATTATTCATAAATTAGCACAGATTATACAGTATAGCTATATCCATATATTGTAAATATAGAATGTATAAAATATCTGAAATCCTATACATACTATGTACTATATATAGATATATTCTATATATACAATATGTATATAGTATATACATCTCTACGATTAATGATAAATTATTAATTAACTGACTATCAAAGGTAGAAATAGAAGGACGGGCATCTTCCTCAGGGCTTTTCCAGCTTCAGAAAATATTTGAATAAGCTTTACCAAGAAATGTGTATTAGTCATTTCCTTTTATATACAGTATATATATTATAAGATATTAATAATTTAGGTTACCAGGTAAAGTCTCTTTCTCAAAACGAAAAAGAGTAAAAGTATTATCACAGTTGCGCAGCTAACAATACAAGGCAAAATTAAATTTTTCTTATCCTTGTGATTCTGATAATATCTAAACCTTGATGAAATATAAAAGAGGTACAAAAAGAAGGAAAATTGAAAATAAAACAACAATGAAAAGAATAATATGTACCATAAATATCCGGTGAGGGCCATGGAGGAGACGCTTCCTAAAATTATCACTGTATATATAAGTATTCTTGCAAGCCAAGCCATTAGGAGCGTTACTAATAATGAAAGGGCTGTAAAATGAATAAAAAACATAAATGTATAAAGGAATCGGATGATTAGACTAGAGAAATATATGTATATATATATATAAGCTTGGAATTAACAGTACCTAGACCTATTAGCAATAGCATTAAGAGTGGAAACCAACTGACACGGATATCGTTGAGAGCTTCCTATTAAAAAGATTAGACAAGAAAATTTAAGTATATAAAAATTTATTAAAAGACAAAAGAACAAATGCTAACGGAAAGGAATAGAGAAAAAGTGTATAAAGATTTAACATACAATCTATAAATGTTTTGTTTTTTACTGTTCTTTCAATAACCTTACCAATAAATTTTCAAGAATATCATTTTTCAAATTGCAAGCATCCGATAATTTTACCGATACTGATACAGGAAATTTTACTCTTGGAACGCAACGATTCAAGATGTCAATTCTGTTATTCAACAAATAAAAGGGAAGGAAAACGTTTTTTATAATACATTTACAGTATACGATTTACGTTTCAGTTAAGGGCAAGGGAGGGCATCTATCTTTTTCGCTGTCTCCATTAAATATACGAGAATTGTTAACGTCGTATCTGCAAAGGCTACTCTTTGCTTTGAGGGAGAACTTTTTATGGTCTTCAACGTTTGTAATATTTTCAGGACATGTACGAACGCATACAATAGTTCCAGGAATTTCATCGTAAAATGGAAAGATTGAGCGAAAATTGTAAAAATAGACTTTGCTAAAAGTAAAAGTAATTATTAATTAATTAGTAAGTTTTTTTAATGTTTAAATTAGAAAGGAATTAGTATTCTTTTTTTTCTTTTTTTTGCAATATTTGCTCTTACTTGTATCCTTTTAAGTTAATACCGCTAAGCTTATGACCTTTGAATTCTGACCATTTTTCTTCTAAAGGAGTATTATCCACATTGCAAGTGTTACCATAACTATCTTGACCATATATTATTCTTAAGGGATGACCGTATAAATTTGCTATATAGGCAATATAAGCCTGTAATGTAGGATAGGAAAGAATAACAGGATTATTCAACATTAAATTTAGAGTGAATACGAATTAGGTTCAATCCTCTATTAAATATATAGACATTTATACAATTACGTAAGCCTAAGAAAGCTTTAAGAGATTTAAAAAGAATTAACCATTCCTCCAAGAACACATAGGAATAACAATAGGCATAAAATATCCGTGCACGATCTCTTAGAAACGAAAATAGCTTCATTTTCTGGTTGAACTCTATTGTTTCGTAGGCTCTTTTGCATATTAAAGTAGATAATTGAATATTGAGTTTTTATTCAATATATATCAAGTGAAATTTTTATATTAAAATCTTCTTTTCGTTGGTTATATTGTCATTTTAGTAAGGATACGCCATTACTGCGTTATATTCACATATGTATTGATCTCTATTCATTGTTTATAGTGTTGCCAAGTTCTAGTTGAGGGAAAATGGTTATACACTGAATTTTAATCATAACTAGTTTAAAGATTTTGCATAACAAGGTAGAAAAGATAGATATTACCTTTTATCTATAGTTGAATATCTTATTAATTCTTTTATTTAGTGATTTTGCATTGTTTCTTAAAAGTTATTAATAGTAAAGAAATGATCTATTTACTCTTTCTACTTCATTTGTTGTTTATTTTCAAATTTTAAATAAAATACATTATAATTTTTAGTTATAGAATGTTTAAATAATGAATTAGATCAATCTTATTATAAAAAACTCATATTAAATATCATAACTAAAGACGAATTTACTACTTTGTCCTTTCTTCTTTACAACAGTAAAGAACATTGTAAATTGAGTAACGTCTACCTGCAAGAAAGAAGTATTCACTTCATGTCATAGAAAGAATAAAATATCATTTCTAATGTACTTTTAATCAAACTAAGAATCTTTATCTGCATAATAAAAATTATATTAAGCAATAAGGTTATGTAATACTCCAACAATTCCAACTTTTCATTCATCAATTCATCTATCTATATAAGTAAATTTTCTTTTTTACCTAGACATTGATTTACATATTTAAATCAAGAAATATTTTGCATTCATCTTTCGTTATTTATATATTATATATAACCCTGTATATACTGTATATATAGCTTTGTACAGATAGCAAATTCTTAACTAATTGTAAGGTTTAAGAGGCCAAGTGCATCAATTTTATCTGGACAATTTAATATACTAGACGTAACACGTATAGTTTAAATAAAACCATATATCCACTATAGGTATAATATTTATTTATATAAGCTTATATAGATTTATAAATCCTTTATAATACTAAATATATAACAAATCCTTTCAAGTAATAATAACCTTTTAATCTTTTGCCCTAATCTATTGAAGGTAGTTTAAGAATGATTGTCTAACAGGGTCAGATTCAAGGAGAAAATTTTATTACCAAGGTCGATTATTTCACATTAACGATTTTTATATCATATTTTGTAATTCTTCCAAGTATTTCTAGTGTTAATATAAACATTCTATATATGCGTTTATGTATATATATATATATATACATATATATATATATATATATATACATATGTATGTATAGATATAGATTCTTTATTTTGTAATATAAAAATTGTAGAAACAAAATTATCCTTATACCGTATAGTGTATATAATAAGGTCGAGAGTACAAAGCTCCTGAAAGAAGTGATATTGCATGGATGAACTTTTTTATCTAATTAAATGGAAGGAAAGCGTGGGAGGACCAGAAAGGACGAGCGAGGAGAGGAACAGCAAGAGAGAGAGAGAGAGAGAGTGGGGGAGTGTGGTTTAAAGGCAGAACGGAAGACAAATTAGAAACAACTAAGAATTTATCTCTTTCTTTAACACCCACACTAACATAAAAATATATTTTCACGGAAACATATATGCATATGCACAACCGCATGCCTTTTAAGTTCTAACAAACTAGGAAGGATATAAGAATAATAAACCTTTCTCTCTATTAAATGCTTACTCATAAGAATCTCTTTCTAACTTATTTACGGAAGGTTTTGTTAATTTAATTTCATAATTTAAACTTGATAACATTGGAAAAAAGTTTTCTTCTTTCATTCTTTCTGCTTTTCTCCATCTTACTGCATTGTTTATAAAAAAGAGGAGTCACACAGACGCAAAGTAATATCTTCTGTATAAAAAATAAAAGAGTAAGAGTGGAGACAATTGAATTGTAGTTGGTTGTTCGAACAAGGGGAAACCATACGTAATTAGGCTTGTAACTAAAACTGTAGAGCCTGTGTTGCACGATAAGGAGATGGAGGAAAGAGAATGAAAGGAGAAAAAAAAATCTTTTAGGGATTTTGTAATGAATGATTGGAGAATTCTATGAAGCAAGCTATAAAAAATCATAAGCCACCTAAATATACATTGGACAAATCCTCACAGATTTTAACAGTGTAGTGTAATAAAAAGATAATTCTATAAAAAGATAATACTTAAGGAATCTATATGACTAAAATCTTGGACTTGAGTATGTAAATTACAAAAAATGAGAGTTAAGTACTTTTCATATCACATCTTCTGTGACATATACCAATATATATGTATACATGTATATGTATGTATAAAATCTGTACGTTTTATCTATAAATCTATATGTAATACTGATATATTATACTTTTCTATTATATATATATAGATAGATAGATATATATAAACAGTATATGTTATATAGAGTGTACTTTATCTTCCATATAATTCATCTATCAATATTTAATTGTGTTTTTATCATAATTTTTGATGGGAATAATTCAATATATTATTATTACTAATAAATAATTTATAACTATTAATCTATAATTTTAAACGCTTATAAATCTTATTATCAATCAGCTAAAATTAGTTGGTTTGCATTTAATGAGCTGATCTTTTCTATCTTCGATTAATTTTCTCATCATTTATTCTATTTTTAACACCGTTAGAAAAACAGAGAGCTAGTGTGTGTGTTCGTCTCTCTTCTATGTGCACGTGTGCTTATCTCTTTATGATAAATATAATTTGGGAAGTTCAAAATATGGCCATCTTATTTAATATTTTTGATTTCTAAGCATCGAATAAATCATTACTTTTCTCTTAAATAAATATACCGTAAATTATATAAATAGCTAATGTTAATCGTAAAGATTTCGTTAAAAAAAAAAACAATATTAGCTTAACGATTGATTACTTTATCTTTAGTTTTCCATTCGTTTACACAATAAAATAATTTCCCTACTTGACCCTGAGACGTGTTATATAGAGATTGTGAATATATATAGACAATGTATAATATCTTGTTAGCAATACAAGATAATGAATTTAAAATAGTCTATGTTGTATATGTTAGAAAACAGAGATTATTTACTTGTTATTCTGTTTCTCTTGTATTTTTGGAAAATTTATCAAAAGAAAAGAAACAGGTTTAAATTGGTGTTTCCACCTCAAGCTATTCATAGTCTATTGCTAATCAACGCGCCTGAGGATGCCAACCAATCAGAATTAGAGTTTCGGTAACCCGTACACATTTTACTTTATCCTTTCTTCCGCCCACTTGGAATTATACACAGAATACTATATATATATATATACTTTGTCTATTGATTACAAACTATGGTAAAGGATAAAAAGACTATTTATCTAAAAAGTGACCTATTAATTAAACAAATACTATTTTTTATCAAACAGGAGAAAGCGAAATAAATACACTTTCAACTTTTCTTGTTGTAATTCATTATGTTAGATAGTAATATAACAGTACATTATATATTACATACTTTTATTACTCCTTTGTTATTCTATATACTGTAGTATTATATTGTATATCTTCTGTAAAGTAGGTTATGCAACATACTCTGTTTAGAATTTCATCCAAATAGTAAGTGAATAGGTAATATACTGTATTTCCTATATGTAGCTGTGATTGCTTTCTCTATAGAGCTTAACAATCATACGAAAAGGAAATATCAGTTTTATATTTCCTAGAAAAGCTCAATGTTTAGAAGAGGGAAATTTTATAATTCACACTCTTATATTTCAAATAATTAATAGCTGTCCAGTGAGGGAAATGCTACTCTTTTAAATGTCCTTGACTAATTTTTTTCATGTGTTGTCTGTTTGAAGAATTTGCGGTTCAATATCCTTAAGAAGTGCGTCATCTAAAAGGGCAATTAATGAAACTCTAGTATGTAGAGTATATATTGTATACAGAAATGGAAAGCGTATTTCTTTTCTCTTATCTCCAAAGGCTATGAGGTTTATGTTAGTTTAGAAGATGAAGTTTAATTATTGACCGATTTATTTAGAATCAACCAAGAATACAGTTATATATATACATCCCCTTTTTAAATGATATCGTCGTTATTACTGTAGAAAGAGATTTTATAAAAGACTAGTAGGATAATACTGATAATAGTGCCGATTAAACAGAGCTATCTATTAAACAAGAAATGATGTACAGAGAATCGATGATTCGGCAATTTCCGTTTAAAAATCGTAATTATTCATCACGTAATTCGGTCAGTTATGTTCTATTGATTATTCCTTATTATTGATAAGGAAAAAAAACAAAGAGAAACTATTTATACTTCATTTTATACTTTATTCGTTTTATTGAAAAATATTCCATGTACCTTTTATGTAAAGGTAAACTATAAACGTCCGCAATGATTTCATTTCGTTCCTTTATACTCTTATAATCGATTCCATAGAAAATCTAATTAATGACTTAGCATAAATTTTAGCTTCTTATATTTGAGTTTTTTATACCTATGATGTCTTTGAGATTTTTCCCTTTTATTCCTTTCCCATCTAACTTCTCTAGGTTGATTTCGATTAACTCTACATAGAACTAAGTGAGCGAATGACTGAGCGAGTGAGCGAGTGAGTGAGTGAGAGTGAGAGAGAGAGTGAGAGAGTAAGTAAGTAAGTAAGCGAGTGAGTGAAGGAGAGACAGATAGATAGATAGAGAGAGAGGGGGGAGACAATTGATTTATTCAATTATTGTTATTTATATGTAATATGAAATACTTCTAATGGTTTGTTTATGTCAAGATAAAAACCATACATAGGGTTTACTAAAACTGAATATCCTATTTTTTGTCTGCATCATTTCCCCACAGGGAAAGCTATACATAGAGCTCTGACTAAAGATTAACTCTACTAATAATTAATAACTCTCTTTCGTCTACAATCGTCTTGAAAAGTAAAATTTTTCTCTATATTGTATAAACATTCACGAAATATTAATTGTCTTCATTTAATT